TATCTGTTAGTAAAAATCTCTGTCATGCTTGAAATAACAAAGTCTTGCCAAAATACGATCGAATTTTTCAGTTTAAACTAGTTAAAATCAAAGGTAATAGTGCAAATTGTCTCATTTTTTAAAATTTGAATGAATTCACGACTTTTTCGAAAAAAGTCAATGGAATTAATTCACGAATTAAATCACTGATTTAATTCATATGAATTAATTCATGCCAACCCTGCTATCTAGGTAACTTTTTTCTCTAAAATCGAAACTAGTTTTCATGAGCGAAAACAAGGGAACGACTGAAAAAAAAAATTGTGTGAAAGATTTGGAAAGGAGAGACAATAGAGGAGTTCTGATCGGAGTTCTGGGTAGCACCAAACGAGTTCTACATACTATCTTCATAATTTTTTTCTCTAAAATCAATCCAAGATTAATTAATGAATACATACTGTACCTCATTTGATTGCCAACGTCACCAATTATCGATGAAAACTGAAAAGCTTCAAGACAGATACGACTTTGCTATTAAAATAATCATTTCTTATGTTGAAAACGGGAGCAGAATCGGTTCCGAAACGTACAAAGATAAGTGAAAATTTGATATTTTTTCTATATACCTTTATTTCTCTTCTCCAAACTTTTTTCAATACAAATTGTCACTGACAATCTAGTGAATTTTTCTTTTAGGCTCTCTGATAGGAAAATTCTTTAAACGCAGTGACATTTTTGGGCAAATCATCTGATTTGTCCTTACTACACGTATATTGAAATAATATTCATATATTTATTATATAGAAACGAGGAGAGAAAATTCCAAAAAATTTGGAATGATGAATTCATCCACTCTCATTGTTTCACATCACCATAATATTCGGTCCTCGCCATTCAAGTGTTTTCATACTAGGCAGTATCCGGCAGTGATACAAAGCAACCATTTTCATAACTTCCAGCAGGTTAATTGTTTTTATTTCAATAATTCAACAATAATTCATTTGAACTCATTTAAAATTTAATTCTCCTGTGACACTCGGTGTCGGCTCGGGGTGACAATTTTAGGGCGATGAAAACAATAAGTGACTTTCTAGTTTCAAAATTAAAAGAATAAAACTTTTGAAATGAATACACTTGCATAGCCATTACTTCGAGTACAACTTATTTTCATTATGGAGTAGAAAATTTCTGGAAGTGATTGTGTACGGACCCCTACTTTTATATTAGCTGGCGTTTTGCATAAATTACCTATTTTGAATGAAATCCTCAGAAAACATCTCGCACAAAATTCTTGTACAATGAAATGATATGACTCATCCACGGAATTTAAATCGGGCTGAAGATTTCATGCATCCTTGATGTGCTTTCATTTCTTTTTTATGAGGAAGAAACAAAAACACTTTATGACCATTATTTTGCATTCCATAGAAAACTTAATCATAATAAATGCCACAGACCATATTCTGAGTTTATGATTAACGCATTTTTATAGTGGAATACAATGTTGATGCTATTCTGGATCTGGATTAATTTATGCAGAAAAGGAATAAGTACAGGGTGCGCCTCTTAAAATTGAACCTTCATGCAACTATTTTGTTTTCAGAGATATGAAAAAAAATGTTGAATGCAAAAGTTGATTCAAATTTTTACTTTGTGATGACCTTTAATACACAGGGTCATACGTTTCTCCGGCAAGTACATCAACTGATTTGTTTAATGGAACACCCTTTATATTTGTAGACATGCCGATAGAGCCTTCTTCTCTAATTTCAAAAATATAAATAAGTTGTATATTTGGATGAAAAATTGTTGGGTTATTTAATATCAAAGTTTACCAATATATTTCATTCAAGCTGTAACATATTTTTTTAAATTGAAATTAAATGTATTTGATTTCATAATAAACAATATCATGATATTGCCATTGAGCTCAAACAATATATTAACATTCTTTCAAAGCCCACTATTGAAGTGAAGCAAAATAAAGGTTCATGAAGTGGTATTTTGGTAAACATTCATCACTTAACTATTTTTCATCCAAATATTCAACTTATTTATATTTTTGAAGTAAGAAAACAAGGCTCTATCACCATGTCAAAAAATATTTAGGGTGTTCCACTGAAAAAATTGAAGTTAAAGTCCGTTCCGGAAAAACAAATGAACCTGAATAGAACAAGTACAAGGAATAAAAAAGTTTTGTGTCCTTTCAAACAACTTTTTCCAAGACTTTTTCATTTAATATTTTTTCATGTCTCTAAAAACAAGATTTTAGAGGGGGTTCAATTTTAAGAGGCACACCCTGTATTTTGTGAAGTGTTTATTTAATAAGGTGCATTATTTTATTAAATGGGTGATTCACTTGTTTTCAAGAAGTTGGGAATATCTCTTGGGAACCACAGGTTCAAGTTTGGGATCAAATGAGGGCTCAAGTTTGTCTTTGGTACTATAAAGGTAGTACCATTGATATTATCTCTATTCCACTATCTTTCTAAGTCTTTCTTCTGAAACCAAATATCTGATTATTTCAAAATTAGTTCTTATATCACATTAATTTGGGTATTCTCATAATGATTTCAGAGTACATCTACTGAAACTTTTTAGTAAAATATCTTTCTAACATGGTTCCTCAACTCAGTTCCTAAATAGGTACCTATGCAGATTAATGTGTAGTTTTTTGACAAATGGTAATCATGAATTAGGACAATATAAAAAAGCTGTACAGACCTTGGTGAAGGCATTAGGAAGATAACACTATTTTGTGGACTATTTCTCTAACCAAATTTATGATTATCAAAATATTCATAACAAATACATCCAATTGAATATAATTATTATTTCACAAAAATTTTAATGGGGGATATGTGAATGCATGATACATACAAGATTATGTAGGTACCTTCTCCAGTTGCAAAGATTAGATTCCATCAGGTGGAGCATCAGTGAGCATCAGGTTGGTTAGCAGCTTGCTTTAAAAGTCATTGAGGATTGAGGCAATAATAATTATTTTGTGTCATTAACACCGAGATTAACACTCTGTTCATTTGCTTCATTGATTCCCAAACCAACTATACAGGGTGTCCCGAAATTAGCCTGCCAAACTTCACCAGCGGCTTTTACTACCAAAAATAAAAAGAAAACTTCCGATGAACATGAGTCGAGAAACGTCTCCTAAGGGAGCTACGGCCCCCTGGAAGGGGGCTCCTGAAGATGATATTCCTTGAATATTTCTGAAACTCCATGTAATAAAAAGATGCAACTTGGTACAAGAACTAAAATTTCCATGCCTAATGCAGTAAAAATGGAATTATTTCAAAATTTCAATCAGGAGCGTATAATACAGGGTGGGACTACATTAAATATTGCTCAAAATTCTTTGTATGCATATTTTTCGACAATTCAATCTCTGATTATGAAATTTCACACCTATTTACAGAAAAAAGGTACTCTTGTTCCATGACGATCAGATGTATTATTATCGAGTAAAAGCAATAATTTGAAAGTATTGTTACATCTCAGATATCATGCCTAACATTGCAATGAGGCGTAGTGAATATCGAAAAAAATGCACAAAAATTGAAGTAGTGATGTCATCATTATTTTTCTATTTTTTGCGCTTTCATGAGATTGTTTGGTGAAAAGAGAGTACTTGATTTTTTTAAAGCCACTATGATTTGAAAATTGACAACGTTATGCATAAGATGTGAGTGCATCAATATTTTTAAATCGATTTCTCTCGAAGATGATACATCTGATCGATGCGGAACAAGAGCACCTTTTTTTGTGGAATGGTGTGAATTTTCATAATCCGAGATTGAATTGTCAAAAAATATGCATACGAAAAAGTTTGAGCAATATTTAATGTAGTCCCACCCTGTATTATACACTCCTGGATGAAACTTTGAAATTATTTTATGTTCACCGCATTGGGCATGGTGAGGTTAGTTCTTGTACCAAATTGCATCATTTTATCACGTGACGTTTCGGAAATATTCAAGAAATATCATCTTCAGGAGCCCCCTTTCAGGGAGCCGTAGCTCCCGTAGGAGACATTTCTCGACTCATGTTCATTGGAACTTTTCTTCCTATTTTTGGTCGAAGAAGCCGCTGGTGAAGTTTGGCAGGCTAATTACGGGACACCCTGTATAAATAATAATAGGTACTTATTTGAAATACCTTTCATCCATGGTCCAAGTATACTACCTACTTTGAAGTTGATGAATATGTGAATTAATGAATTTACCAAAGAATTTTCTATTGGTTGTACTTTTTATAAATTTTTTTGATGATTTGTATTCACAAATATGAATTGTTTAAAAGGATGGTATTTTTAGAACATGAAGGAACAATGTTCAAATAGAAATCCCCAAGGACTACCACTTCTACATCCAATAATCCTTTGAGAAATCATTTGTAAATAACTGACCATTCAAATCAAGGCTCACATTAGGATAACTGAAGCCTTCCTTCCTCTGGGTAGACTAGGTCTTATTCCTTAGAAGGTATCACTCATGCCAAGTTTCAAAAAGCCTTTTACAATGTCAAAATAGGTACTTAATCTCTAGATAATTAATCTCAAAATGACTTCTCAGGTTGGTCAGTTAGTAGGTGGTAGGTAGATAGGTATCATTATTTGCAGTTGTAAATTTACCTAGGTAATGTTCACAAGATAGAATGAACATGAATACAGAACTAAACTCTGAATGTTTTTACCTGGATTTTCACATTACTTATGTCATTATGAATCCCAGAGTGAATCTCTAAATCCAAGAATATCAATGATTGTGATAAGTAGAATCTCCTAAGAAAAAAATAGGCACTAATACCTAGTAATAGAAACAAACATATACCTATGATATCAATTGGTATCTAGAGGTAAGTAAATACCAAGGTACCTACTTGAATACCTACCTATAATTTATGAATGTTTTGGTTTTGAATTTACTATTTACCATGCTATTTACCTAGGTACATAGTTATTATATCCAGGTACAAATTAATGAATTAATCAAGTCTCTTCTTACCTTACATTGATGACTGAATAAAAATACACAAAGGTCAAGACACAATCAGCATCCAGTAGGTACCACTCAAAAGAAGTGTTTATTGTCTTGTAGGTAATTATGGTGCACCATCTATTTCCTCTTCCTGTAGTTTCTTGATCAGAGAGAAATCAGGAATCCACACGTTAATCAATATTTGGCTGGCAGGTTGATAAACAAAATCACACACGTTGTCTTCTTAGAACAACAACAAATGTAGAACTACTCCATTTTGGAACCTTCGAGGAATGTTTCAAACGAGATTTCTTTGTGTCTTTCCATCATCCTATGCTTCTTATCTAAGAACTTCACTTTGATTTCTTATTTTCTTCAGGCAGGGCTGTTTTTATTTGCAGTATTTGTTTGGGAGTGTCTGTTCACGTATAATTTCGATATTCCCAAATTACATCAATGCAGCTATATATTTTCACTGCTGATATGCCGAGTGCCGACACTGAATTTACTTCAGAAAATAACGAAAAGGCACCACTGTTTCAGTTCAGTCATAGTTCAGTGTTGCCAACGTGAAACAAGAGAACACCAACAGAATTTTAGTTTCAGAACCTATTCACAGATGTCGCAAAAAATGTGAAACGAAACTTTTTCAACAATTTCATGTTTCAAAAAATTTTTCAGGTTTCATTATCATGAAAATGAATTGATCGACTCTGAGGAAGTATCATCAACATGCACCTAATCTCAGTACTGGCTCAAAATCATATTCAACAAAGTGAGAGTAATGTTTGGCACATTTTCGATAGATGTCATACCAAAATGTTTATTAAGAGAATCAACTATTATTTGTTCTTTCATGGAAATTCACAATAATTTACAGAAAATAAAAATTATTTTGGTGTGTTTATGTAGTTCGTATTCATGATTACGAATTATAACATATCACTCCATGACACGCCAAATCAAGACCATAACTGACCATAACAACAACTCGAACAGCATACAGCATTGATCGTGGAAAGTGGCGAATTATAATAGGTATATATAGAGAGAGAATAGTCCCATCTTGTAGCCAAACCAACAGCCTGTAAATTCCTACAATATAGGTACCTATTCAAGCGAAGTTTCAAACTCCTCGAGAGATGGCGATGCGTAATATTTATTATACTCGATCATAATACGAAGTGGTCAAACAAGATCCCAATGAACTCGGATAACTACCTCTTATCAGGGCCGGCTCTACCCAACGGCAACTTATGCTATGTTAATCTGTGGTATAAGGGCGCAAGAGTGGTCCCACGGATAGGGGTGTAGACGGAGTATTTACCCCCTCCAGAGCATTACAACAGATCAGTTTCTTGAAGTTGTTCATAGAATAAATGGTAAAATAAAAACCATTTTCATGCATGTGTGGCATAACGAAATTATTTTGTACTAGTAGGCTAGTGCCCTATTTTGTATGCAAAATAATGATATTTGATTACATTGCGGTCTCATTTCGAAAGGTATTCATAAACGTGACAGTTTTTTACGTTGTGAGGGTTTCTTTAAACAATAAAGAGAAAATAAAATTTCAACATCCAATAGTTTCAAAGTTGAGAGGTTTAGGGCATATGTTCAAATGACCTTTATTCTTAAAATGAGCTATGGAACCGTATCCTATTCTCAGCTGTTTTTTTGTTGCATCGTTAACGCGACTATATATAGCAGTAAAATTGATTGTGGCAATATTTTGTAGCATTACATGTTCAGTGGGTTGTACTTAAGTTTTACAGAATGATCCCTAAAAAAAATTCGAATGGAATACTGTTTTTCATATTTTTTCAGGTATCTGTGAATTTTTGTGATCACAAAAATATATAGATATACAGGGTGATATCTTCTATTTTCACTTCTTTATCACCACTCTTTTGAGCATAGAAAAACAATTTTTGTCTGATTAATCGAAGATCACTCGAGCAGTTTGGGAATGTAGTCGATGATGATGCAACTGTCAAATATATTCTCATTCATGGCTAACACGATATCTGTAGAAGCCAACACACATAAATTGTTTTTCTGGGGTCATAAAGTGGTGATAATGAATTAAAAATAAAATATATCATACTCTATACATACAATATTTCTGTTATCACAAAAAATCACAGAATCCGAAAATCATATAAAAATAATTAATAGTTTGTTACGCTTTCAGGAACCACCCTGTTGAACTTCTGATAGGGGGTTTTGGAAACACCTCATTGCAGCATTCAACTTTCGCATATCGTTATGTTTTTCTCGATTAAAAAATGAGGTAAATGTAGAGGTGGGGCCTTTTCAATGGATAACCCTATACATTTTGCATACCGCGTATTACATATACGACTGGAAAAATTTGATATCTGATGATCGTATTTTAGATTTTAGAACATACACAACTTTTTATGACGCATAACTTTTTTTCTTTAATGAATGATAAAAAAGTTTTCCATATGGTTTCAACTTAGTGAGATATACGAGAGAGATATCGAGATTTGGGAACAGAAAGTGTTTATGATCCGATTCTGAAAAGCGCTCTTTCAAGAGATTGTTGTGTATGTACAATGTCATTTCAAGTCGATTACTGGTCTAGTGGTTATGTATTTGCATAACGTAGTCAAATAAACGCTATCTATCTATCTATCTATCTATAAGGTGTTACCCTGACAGACAATATGAGAGTCACGGATTCGAGCTCTATCTTGGATCAGCTTTTTTTATTTATGCATATGTTTAGTGGAATATTCCAGGAACATTCGTTCATCTATATTCATGTATTATCCCTGGATTATTCCGAATATTATCTGAATCTTCCTAGAATATTGTAGGTACAGGGAATATATTCCACCTCCACCAGCACATTCAGGGAATATGTGCCATCGGAGAATCGGAGATATGTAGGTATCCTGGCATGTTCATGAATTTTCCAAGAAGAATATTCTATGAATATTCATGGAATATCTGGTACTTTCTGGGATTATTGCCGAAAATATGAATCACAGCAATCAATTATTGCATGCGATAAAAAAATGGAAACTGCAAAGCGGCTCTGAAGTTATTAAAAATAAAACAAAGAGCAAAATGAATGTAATATTCTTGAGAGGTATCTAGTTTCGGAAAACATCACAAAAATTACTATTATCCCTTCTTCAGCTTCCTTTAGGACCGACCTTGTGAGGGCGCAAGCGTGAATGGGTGCCGATCAGAGAAAACGTTCTCCCAGAAGTTTCCCACACAATATTCCAGGTTATTTCTATTGGCATCTAGTAATACCTATGTATGGATTGACATTGACCCCATGAAGATCATTTCAGGTATGTACCAATAACAAATGGAATAAATGGTATACCTATATTGTGACAACAATATTCAAATAATTCGAACTATACCTACAACCAACAAAAATTTAGGAATTATATTTTCTTTGACAATTTTATGATAATAATTCTCAAAAGAGAGCTCACTGTAATTCAGGGTTGTCATTTTCGTGAGTGAGACCATTTCGAAATTATAATCACTGATGATGGTTAAATGGGCAGTTAAAAAAATATCACGCAAACCAGAGATTATCTGCGCAAACACATTAGGTAGGTATATTTGTATTTTGTATATTAATTTCCTTCTGAATCATGAAATGACGGATGAAGAAATGGTGAACTATGATAAAGTTATCGCAATCATAAAGGTATTTAAAAAAAAACTTATTCTTCTCAACCAGGGTACCTACCAAAAATCAATTACATGAAGGCAAAAACTACCCTTGCACCGGCCCTGCTTATAATATTGTCCATGACTGTGACGCTGTGACTATGACATGACCTCGAAATTTCAATGGGATTTTGCTTAGTTGAAAAATAAGAATTGGATCTTCCTCACAGATGACAAGTGATTTGAGATGAGATTTTACTCAGATATTCGAATTAGCCTACCTAAACTATCTATCTATCAACTATAGGTAGGTATATAATAAGGCAGAAATATATATTTCATATCAGTGTCGTAGTGAAGAATTTTTGCACCTGGAGCTATGTTGTAAAAAATAAAATGAAATTGAAATAATATAGGTATCATTCATTCAAATGAAATATGTCGATAATGTGTCGTGTGTCCCAATTCGATATCTTCACTTTTGGGATCTCGGTAGTCACGGAAGTTTCAGCAAATTCAATCGTGACTCAGAATCCGTCGGTAAAACTTGACTAGCTTCTGTCATTTCTGAGTTATTCAAGGAAAACTGAAGTTTTGTATTTTCGTTACCTCGAATATCTCGAAAACAATTGATTGTATGAAAAGACGACTTCAACATTATATGATGGTACTTTTTAGTGATATTTTGAATGGTTTCGTTGATTTTTGAAAAAAAAATGAAATGAAAAGAAAAAAATAAGTTGGAGGTCATATCTCAGAAATTTGATATTTTTAACAAAAAATGACAAAACTATTCAAAAGATCACTAAGAGGTACTGTTGAAATGCTGAAGACGTTTTATTATACAATCGATCATTTTCGAGATATTCGAGAAGTATAAAAATTAGTTATTTATACACCAAGGTAGTAAAGAATATCACTATTACCCAGGGACCAAAATTATATCCCGAGGCTTCAGCCGATCTAATAAATATTGCTATATTCCTGGGATATTCCATGAATATGTGCTTAATCTAATATCCTCAAATGATATTTCTAGAATATGTTTTTCGAATATTCCAATATTGCAAAATCAGGTTGTCGGAATCCCTACCTATCCCGAATGTACACAACACACACCTAGGAGCTCCTCTTTTGGCCGCCATTAAAACAACTTCGTTTCAATGGAAAAGTCACAGATGTGTCTCAAATCCTATAGAAACTGATGAGGATCGCAAGGGTCAGGTGCATCTAATTTTTTTTCAGTACTTATATCTATACCAATTTTTTAGATGAAAAATTCAGTAAATATTTGTGGTGTTAGAGATTTAAACGTGACAAAGGAATAAACAATCGATTGAAATCATTTGATCTCAAATGTTGATAAATTCAGTATCTATAGTTCTACCAACTTTTGTTGCACTCCCGAAGCAAAGGTGAGTGAATTCAATCTGTTTTCATATTCAAGTATTTACTGAACTATTCATGTATACCAATAATTGCAGATCCAGCTGAATTCATCGGCGCTGCCGATTAAGAGAATATGATATATAAAGTGCAAGCCTCAAGTATCTTACATACCTACTTCCTCTCTGTGTGTTGATTCTAACCATTTACGTAGTAAATTATATATCAGATGGATATTTCATTCTAGTTATGATAGGAATGCATATTCTATGCATATATACATAACATATCCTCAGCATATGCTACCAATACCTTTTGGATGATACACAGATATTCCTGGTATATTTTTCATGGAGACTTTGGATATTCTTGGAATAAGCACATCATATATGTTTTGGAGAACATGGAATATCCATTGCATATGCCAATACTCCAACCCAATATGCACATGATATTCATGGAATATGATTGTGTCGTCTGGGTTGTAGCTCCAATAATGCCCAAGTTAGCAATAGTGCCGACGTATAGATACTCAAAGATCATATGGCGAATAATTTCGGAGAACTTATTATTATTAATCAATAGATCTGAATTCCAGTGGTGCTGTTGGGAAAGTTTGAATTGTTTTATTCAATGTTCTTGCAATAAAAGTACCCAAGGTGGCCATATGTAGATAGGTAATCTGAAGATTTTATGAGAAAAAGTTTGTACAAAAGTGATATATCGAACGATTTAGTATACGTACCATTTTTAGGAAGGAAGTACGTTCATTGGAATTCAATAATATAATAGGTATATATACCTATTCTGTGATTCATGAATCAATGACTGAATCATATAGAAACCAGACCCCAGGCTATAATGAATTACAAAATTACTTTTATACTTCTAAGTATAGTTTTTCAGTGGAAGAAGAACGAACATACACACTATCACAATCTCCTTTTTTAATAGGTTTTTTTTAATAAGAGATTCAAAATGATGCATTTTCATTCTTTATTATATATAGAGAGAGCCTCCTCGCAATTTTCGCGTGGAGCATATACTGCCCCTCATTGCGGCCCTGTTTTGCATCAATATGTGCCTATATAAAAGTAATTAAAAAGTATAGATTTGATTCTTTAAACGATGGATTTCCCCGTGACGTATCAGATGGCCACCAAATAGCAAACGGGTCTGGAATCTAGCTCAAAATTTCATTTGATATTCAAAATTAGTTGTACCTACTGACATAGTCGAATCCAGGCACCGACTTGCTGGTATATTTTTCGATTTTCAAGCCCGCTGAAATTATTTCAAAAGCAGAGCGCGTCAAAATTATTTTTCAGTGACAGAGTGATTCGAGCGATCTTGAAATCCGCGGGTTCTGATTTGCGACCTTATTAAAAACAAACTGGAAACGGACCGGATTGGAATCTGTGATTCGAACCTCTGCTCATAGGAGGGTCAAGTAATTATCAGCTAGTAGCTACTAACAGCTAGTGTGTCAGTTGATGTTTAAGATTTGATCATATATTATAATGCGACTGTTGATCATTGGTACGTACACATTTTTATTTGTTCAATGTCGAGTGACTTTGTGGTCAGTTCATTCTTTTATTCAATTACTCGAGAACATAGTTCTAATAGGTTCTTCAATATTTCATGTATGAAAAAACTGGTTTGATAAAAATCACTGGTTGAGGCGGCGAGATTACAAATGTACAGGGTGTATCCGAAAGTCTATCGATAAATAAAATGCATTGGGGTGATGTAGGTAAATTTATATGAGACATAATGAATCACAAAGAAGTTGCTTTCTGAGTTTCTGAAAATATTTGAAAATATGTGCGCTCTCACCATACCATATCTTTCAACTATTAATGAACATCCGCAAACATTACATCAGTCATAGATACTTCCGGTGCTTCTGACCTCGCCGGAAGCAAACCATTGAGTGCGGCTATTAACCTCTGATCAAAAGTTTCAGATAGACTTTGAAATTCAGTCTACTGAACAGTATATTTTTTTCCACCAAAACGTATTCATTCAATTCGTGTTGTTTCTTTTTCTTTTATCACTTATTTAATTCATCACAACGATTTCGGCAACACTCTCTGTATTAACGTTTAATTCATTCGAATGAAAAAGCCGAAAAATATGTGTGGAAAGCTTACATGAGATCGAAGAGGACGATACGATACTGAAATTTGCTGTAGGTATCTTTGAAGATTCGAATTTGAAATTTGGATCAGCAGCTATTCAAATTATGGTCGTCAAATTTGGAATGCTATTCATACATACTCATTAATATATTCAAGAAAGAAAACTCGAAGTCGTCTCCACAAGTTTATTGTTGAAAAAGATACAGTCAATCCTGCTTCAATAAGGTTTGACACATGGCTCGGCTATTCAAATGGCAATCTCCAGTCAAATTGGTACATCAAAGTGTATCTACCATAGAAAACCCAAGCTTGATTTTGTACCATGAAGAAAATGAAGAAGGGAATTGACAAAGTTGTAAATGCAACATTGAATTAGTTCTCTCTGATGTTATTGAATTGGGTGTTCTCTATGAAAAACAAAATAAGGATTCACCCTTTCAATGAAAACGGATTCGAGTTGAACAGACTATACAAGGTGTCCCAAAATTGAATAGAAAGATTTCAACCACAGATTCTAGGAAGAGAAATAGTGAAAAAAGTTCATAGAAAGATCTGATGTAGAGCCCGGGGTGATGGATAAATGTAAATATTTTCGAAATCATCTGTGATAAAGAAAAACAAATTTTGTACATGACCTTTACCTACAGCTTCAACTATACGAGGTGGAGAAAAACTTCAAGCATGAAAGTTGTCGCAAAATGGAAAAAAAGATTCCAAATCATTTTTCTCAAAAGGATAACTTTTGTGGAATATCTTTTTCTTCTGTTTACAGATATATATAGTTTGCTTCCAAGAGCCATTTTCGACTAGATTCTTGCTGCACTTCTGAAATTTTTGCAATATTTTCATAATATAATCTTACTATCTCGTATTTTCCCTCTACGGAATAATCCATTTTTATCGAATAACTGGCAGAGATGCCCGTTTTGTTCCCATGGAATTTTGTGTCCACAACCAATCTGAATGTTATATCGGCGTAACTTTGATTCAATGCTAATTAAGTGAAATGTTGAAAATAGTTGAAAATATACAGGGTGTTGAAACCCTACAAGTGCCATATTTGAAATTTTTTTCCACCTCGTATAGTTGAAGTTGTAGGTAGCGGTCAAAATAAAAGGGGACAGCCTGTATATAAATTGTTATGGCTTATTTGAAAATGTTAAGAATTTTCCGAAACTTCGATCAGGGGCGTAAGAAATATGAAAATATCATCATTTTACTCGAAAATTTCACCTACTCTTGTTTAGTTTCGATAGCACCCACCATTTTCGAGATAAATCAATTTTGAAAGTCTGCACTTTACTGATCTCAATTTCCTCTTACTTTCAGTGCTGGTGTTGGGATTGGTATGCCATGCCAGTAAAGTGAATGATGGAAATGATGATGCCTATTTTCCAGCATTTGGATTTTCGGATTCTTTCGACTGGACACTATTTAAAGTAAGCACAAAACCATTTGATGGGGAATTGATGTTATCTATCTTTTGCAAAGAATCAGAGAGAAATATGTGTTTCAATCTAGAACCTTATCATTTTTTTTGTTTTTGATAGAAAAAATAGATGCTATAGTTATAAAAGGTTTTCTAGAATGGATTTCCATGCACATCATTTGAATTGCACAAATTAAAAGTACTCATGCAGGGCGATGCTCAAATAATATGAAGACAAATGTTTACATCGGAAATTTATGATTTTTTAGGAGTTTGCAACACAAAACCGGAATGTTCTCCTTTCCCCTGTGAGTCTTAAAGTCATCTTAGCTCTCCTTTACCAAGGTTCTAGTGAAGGTACAGCTAGAGAATTCCAAAGTGTTCTACAATTTGGTGATAAAAAGACGGTTCTTGAGCATTATGGTCGAATGCTCACATCATTACAGGTTTGTTGATTCGATATTATTAAAAAATAATGTATGACCTGATGGTGATGAATTTGGCATGAATGATGAATTCTTCTGGTGAAACTCAAACTGTTCTGTTACCCGACAATCTCTAATTTTTTTATTCGCAAGTGCTCGCAAAATATTGGACCTCTAATCCCGAAGAGACGAATATCGGTGTATCCTTCTTTTGAAGGTGAACATGTAGTTTTCTTGACAGACATTAGTAGGTGAAGACTAACAAAGTGGTCCTACAAAAAAAGAAATGAACCGACTCCATCGGCAACCTCAGGTAGTGTTTTGGAACTATTTTCTGGATATGGGAACAGTAGGTAGGTACTCAAGGGATGGTCGAATCTGAGCTTCATAGATGTGTCAAGCTGCTGTATCCCGAACCCGCGCACGGTTAGCCTTTTTCGAAAAACTTATACAGGTGGAAACGAAGCAATTGATTTATATGTGTATATACAGTGTGTCTCACTAATGGAAACACCACTTAATCTTACGTAATCGTTGGGTAAGAATCCTGAAATTTGCTGGAGAGGGAGATTTACTAAAAATGCACTCTATGTCTCATTTTCAATGATTCACACTGCTCGCCAACAGCCATGGAACGACCCCAATTTCCGGAAAATAATATTAGAAGTCAAAATAGGTTGAACATCACTTCGGATTCGGAATCAGGACGCCCAATTCGCTAACTATTCATATTCTTCCTCAAAATTCTCCAGTTCTGAATCGTTGGGTTAGGATCCGGAAATTTGCTAGAGCGGAAGATTAACCAAAAATATACTCTATGACCAAGTGGAGTCATCTTCAGTGATAAACATTGCTCGCCAACAGCCGTGGAACTACACACATGTCCGGAAAATAATATAACGAGACAAAATGTCCAGATCAGAACGTCCAATTCACTAACTTCCCATATTTTGACGCATTATTATCGGTAATAACGATTTTCTTCGTACTATTAACGAATTCATTCGTTCATAATTCATTCCAATGACACCCGTTATGATTTCTGATCCATTGGATCACTCCTGATAGTCTATTCGATTGATTTTTAACCTATTTCGACTACTGCTAATATCATTTTTCGGAAATTGAGGTGGTTTAATGGCTGTTGGCGAGCAGTGTATATCACTGAAGATGACCTCGCTTGGTCATATAAGTGCATTTTTGGTATATCTCTCGCTCCAGCAGGAATCAGAACGCCCAATTCACTGGTTATTCATAGTTTTCCTAGACAATTTTCAGTTCAGAAAAATTAAATTTTGTCTCACTTCTCATGGAAGCACTCCCGTATCTCACGTAATTATTGAGGTAGGGTTCTGAAATTTGCAGAAGAAAGGGAAAGTCTAAAGATGAAGTTAATTACGTACGTGTACAGGGGTGCTTCCGTAAAAAGTGCGACAAGATTTAATTTTTCAGAACTGAAAATTTTCCAGGAAAAATATGAATAGGTGAATTGTACGTCCTGATTCCGAATCTAAAGTGATTTTCGACCTATTTTGACTCCTAATATCATTTTCCGGAAATTGGAGTGGTTCCATGGATGTTGGCGAGCAGTGTATATCACTGAAGATGACCCAACTTGGTTATAGAGTGCATTTTTGGTATATCTCTCGCTCCAGCAAATTTCAGGATCCTTATCCAACGATTACGTAAGATACAGTGGTGTTTCCATTAGAAGTGGGTCACACTGTATATACCTAGGTACTTGTTATTCAACTGATTTTCATTTATACAATGTTTATATGTTATACGATTTGTATATGAATAATGTGGTTTGTGTTCTAGGGAGCCATTACTGCCAATCATTCATCACCATCATGCATGCTATACAGGGTGGCTCAGGTTTAACTCGTCTAACTTTGACAATCGATAGCAGAAGTTAAAATATTATAAACGTATTTTTTTGTTTTGTCGTGGAGAAACTTATTATACGGGGTGTTGAAGTTCCCATACATACCGATTTGAAATTCGGTGAGCACTTTTCTATCGGCAATATGAACAGTCCTTATCAATAGATAAGATAAGCTACACATTCTTTTTCAAGCCCTCTGACATGGAAACCATCAGATTTTTCAATTGGGACGCTAGTAGTGGATTGAGCCCGATGAAAAATCATTATCATTTCTTCACCTAACTTTGTGTTTTTCATTTGTTTCAATATCTTTCTCAGTTCCCGAGCTATTGAGCAAATCATATCAGGCGTTTCCTCGGCCTCATCATACTCGATTGGCATTATTGAACAATGTTATCATGGTGTGCTTTGGAAATTGTTGAACTGTCAAAAATATCGACATGTTAGCGAAACTCAATTTTCAATCCGGGTTGTTCATAGATTTGAACTTTATACGAACTTCAACACCCCATATAATGGAAACAAGTTTCTCCACGACAAAACAAAACGATATACATATCTCATATTTTATCGATTGTCAAAGTTAGACGAGGTTAAACCTGAGACACCCTGTGCATAGCTGAGTCATCAGCATCATACATAAGTTGTTTTTCAGGATTCTGAGAGAACCGAGTACTTGCTCAACCTAGGAACTGCGATATTTTTAGATAAACAAATAAAGACTAAACCATATTTTGATCAGATATCCAAGGACTATTTCAGGACACTCATAAAGCCAACCAATTTTTCTAATACAGAAAATGCTAGTAGAAACATCAACCGTTGGGTTCGAAATTTAACCCATGGCAAAGTTAGTCAGTTGGTATCTCCAGGTCGGTGAAATGTGAAATCTATGACTAATACTATAATGGTCACCAGAATGACTATGTCCATCTATGTCCCTGTTTCCTTTGTTTTTCAGATGATCTCACACAAACTATAATGTTGATCACTAATGCTGTTTACTTCAAGGGAACTTGGACCCACAAGTTCCCAAAGAACCAAACTTTCACGGGGAAATTTTATTATTCTGATGACTACCGTGACAAATCTAAGCTGATAACGGTTAATGTTCCATTCATGTCGACGACTGATGAATTTTTTTTTCAAGAATCAAGTTCCTTAGATGCTAAAGTATTGAGACTGCCATATAAAGTGAGTATGTTTCCTGTACTCTGTACAGACATACGTCTCTTTATCAATCTACCTGCTCTGGTACTCATATCTCTGTTTTATTTTCAATTTTTCAGGGAAGTTCTTATTCCATGTTCTTTATCTTGCCGAACTCTCTAGGAGGTCTACCAGAACTGATGAAGAAAATACATCTTGGAACTATATCAGAACTTCTATATTCTCTAGACAAGAGAGTAGTCGAAGTGAATATTCCGAAATTCAAATTCAATTTCTTGGCGAAACTAGCAGACACTTTGAAAGAAGTGAGTGCCTATCTCGAATCGTTTCGAATTTCCAAAAATGACCTCATCGAATTCGTTTCAGTTCGGATTGCACCAAATGTTTCAAAATACGGCTAGCTTCACTGGCATAGTTGAATGGAATAGTACGTTATTGAGGCAACTAGTCGTGTCAGACATCATCCAAAAATGTGGTATTGAAGTCGACGAACAAGGAAGCGTTGTTTATTCAGCTACAGGTATGTAGTTATTATTCAGGACGCTACACTCTGGATAACTTTGGAGGTGAACATTTTCTGGGACACATCCGATCTTATAATACTGTTATGCACGACCGGGCGTAAAGTAGCACTTTACCGTCCGCGGACTACTTTACTGCCCGGCGAAAAGTAACTCGTAATAGGCATTCCTGATGTATAATTCAGGACAATCATGTTTCAGTTGTGATGATGCCAAGAAATTGAACCCAAAATCATCTGCGATGATATTAATTGACTGCGAATATAATGGTCTATACTCCTATTTCAAAAAATTGACTGAGTATCCATGGAAACATGAAAATCAAATATACTGGACATGCCTAACCTGTATATCATCAACACTTAGGTGAATATGTATACAGGGTGAGTCATAACTATATTGGTACATAAGCTGAGAGCCAATTATTTGTACCAAAATATGGCGATATAACTGAATATGCCTCAATGAAATATAACTGTGGGGAAAGATACAGGATGACGAAATCGTCTGATAACTTTTCTGACGAAACTTTTGATCAAAATATGTCATAAACATCATTTCTATACGTAATATTGGTACTCTTGTTTGAAAACAAGATTTCCAACAGTTTTCGAGAAAAACGCAATTGAACAGTTCAAAGCCTGTTCAAAGTCTCGAAAGGGGATTTCTAATATTGTTTAATTTATGACGACTGTGCTTTGGACTGTCAGATAATTGTTGCTGGTGAATTTTTATTTCAGGTTAGTGAATGAATTTTGGTACAAGTTTATATTCAATACTTTTTCCACGACAAAATGTTATCAAAGCATATTTGGTCCTATTGCCATATTTTGGTCGAAACAATCAGCCTTTAGCTATGTACCAATAGTTATGACTCACTCTGTATAGGATAGCGGAAGTAGTATACATGTATTCAAGATCTTCACCCTTGAAAACACGATTGACGAATTTAGTATAGTATACTTTTGGGTGCCTGAACAAATGAATAATTTTGTTGATAAATGGTTTATTTCGTCCAGTAATAGTATTTGTCCACTCTAGTAGTTGATTATACCGAACTTCTTACCTATACCGAGGATTTTGTTTTCAGATGTGAATATAGGTAATAAATTCGGAGAGGCAAATGATGTTTTCAATGCTACACACCCCTTTTTGTTTTTCATTGAGGGGCCCAATGGAACTGTTTTGTTCATTGGAAAAGTCGAAAATCCACTGGAGGAAGAACAAATTCCACTGCCAAGTAGATGGGGAAATATACAGAATAAAATCGATGGTAAGGTAAACTTCAATATAAATCCAAAACATATTAGGTATTTGTTGATAGATTTGAATCATCATAATAAGTAGGGAGATTTTTATGTATATTTTATATCGGAAGTAAGAATAGAAAAAAAAATTATTTCTTCGCATGTAGACATGTTTTCATGAATATTCACCATAGTCTGCAGCACTGAGTAATTTATTATTGAGAATTATTGAAAATATCAATACAGAGGGTGTCTCAGAATAATAATTTATTCAAGACACCATTTCAACCATAACTGATCATTTCATTTCAAAATATTTGCACTATCCCAGCAAAAATTTATACATGGGCCATCACTTTTCAAGCAATGGCATAATATTGACATTTTTCAATGGTAAATCATAAAAGTAAAATACTTGACGGCAATCTTGACGAAGCAGTACTTTCATTTATTGCTTATTCATTGTTGGTCCAGTGATGACTGACAGACGTATTCAAAAGTGCATTTCCAATGAAAGTTGAATGGTTCATTCTCACAAAAGTAATTTGAGGTTATGTTTAGAAGATATTATTTACTTATGATAATAACAACAATCAAAAAAGGGCTGTACAATTGTACATCTCATGATCTGATCTGTAATTCTGCCAAGAGTTTGTAAATCCCATTTATGTTGCTTATATATTAGAATTCCAGGAATTTGTGGAAACTAGACGAAGCTCGAAAACTTTTTTCTTCGAGTACCTATCTAAAATGAATTATTTGTGAATTTCAAGTCACCTTTAAATCACAACTATGAGTAGTTGGGTGGAATTAAAGACTCAAGTCAGTCAAGTCAAAGGTAGAGATAGACTGCTTTTAGGACTGAAACTTCAAATAGTATTGGTATTTTTCAACATACCTATAAGTACTATCATGAGAAGTATACAAACGACATTCCAATCTGGATATTTTCGAAAAAGTATTTCAGTTTATACCAATTCAATATTTCAAATTCATAAGAATCAATAATGTACCTACTCATACAACTTTCTGTCTATATTCCCTTGTTCACTTCATATCTTACAATGACGAGTGACGACACATGTGCAAAAGTACAGGAATAAGAAAATGGAAAACTATGAAAAACGCATATCACTTGTTCATTGTTAGAAACATTTTGCCAATGAAATGCATCTGATAGGTTGATGGACCATTATGATTTTAATGATGTCTTCATGACATTGGAGAATCAATGTCGTTGAATCATCGTTGAACCAGTGATCTTTGTGAAGTGGAAAATGCTCAATGATTCCCCAATGCTGTGATAATAATGTAATATATTGATTCAAATAAATCTATAGGAAATATAATGATGTACCACTACATTTGAAGTGCATCAATGTATAGGTACTTATTATATAATGGAAACAGTAATGAATACGTACTTTTTTCATCACCGACAAATAGTGCCAGTAGTAGTCATCAATAAAATGAATAGGCCATTGAATCGCCAGCGATCTCTATCGTGTTTTTTTTTGATTTTCATTTTTTTTTTTATATTTTTTTATCGCTTGGAGCGCACGAAAGGGAATCCCTATAATGTTCAAAGAACATCGTGCGTTCCTAGAGAGGAGAGGGATAGGAGGTAGGTATTGGAATTTTTTTTGAACTTCTGGAGATTATATGTTGTTGGGAATACTTCCTCAAGCAATGAATTCCAGAGCCTAGCCGTTGTATGGATGAAGGAGTTTTGATAAAGTGTTGTTCGACATCTTTCGAGGTTGACAACGAAAGGATGTGCTGACTGGGCTTGTCTAGTTCGTCTGACTGGTATTGCTAGTGAAGGGATGATAGCAGAGATTTCCGAAGAACATTTCCCGTGGAAGTATCGATAGAAAAGTGAAAGGTCGCCGACCTTTCTACGGTGTTCCAATGATGTCAAAGAGTGAGTGAGTGTGGCGTCACCCACCAGGCGGATGGCTCTTCTCTGAATGGAATCTAAGAGCATCAGCGTATATGTTTTGGTACTGAACCCCATATGTGGGAACAGTATTCTAGAACAGGCTGTATCTGCGCTTTGTAGATCATGAGGAGCTGTTGAGGTGTAAAGTAGCTTTTCGCACGGAACAAGAATCCGAGTTTTTGTGAAGCAGCTTTTGCGATGGATCTGACATGATTATCCCATGAAAGAGTGTTGCTGATGGAAATACCAAGCATAGATATGGTGGGCTTGGTGGGGATGGTGGTGCCAGACATAACAATGTCGGGCATACTGAGTTCCGCCTTTCTAGAGAAAATACAGGCTTGAGTTTTGGTGCCGTTGAATTCAACTAGGTTGTTGGTTCCCCAGGCTGTGATTTCAGCAAGGTCTTCATTGACAGCATTGACCTGCCTGCGCCGTGAGTTCTTATAGTGTCCTAGGAAGAAATGGGAATTCTGGAAGAGAACGCAGTATGGAGGGTACTATGTACTATCATCTGCAAAGCTGTGGATGGGGCAAGTTGTTACTCCCAACAGATCATTGATATGAAGAAGGAATAATGTTGGTGCCAAAATTGATCCTTGTGGTACGCCAATTGTATCAGACGATACACCGTCCACCACCACATGGAGCGATCTGCCTGAAAGAAAACTCGATAAGAGATGGCATAGCTGAGGTGGTAAGCCGTATGATGGTAGTTTGTGAAGGAGTCCCTCGTGCCAAACACGGACGAATGCTATCGATATGTCCAACGCGACAGCTAGATATTCCCCGTGTTTTTCTTACGAAGCTTGCCATAAATGGGTGACGTAGGCAAGTAGATCTCCAGTAGATCTTCGGTGGCGAAAGCCGTATTGTCTATTATTGATGATTCCTGAGGTTCTTATCCCAAGGTGGCGTATGGAGTTAGAAAAAAAGCCCACATAGAACACACATGGGCTGAAGGATCTCTCGTAAGGTCGATGGCCAATTGATATGTATACATGCATACATGCCAACGAAGTATATATTATACTACTATATCTATAAGAAAAATTCTCTATCTTTCTAATCTCACTCTCATTATGGGAGTATTCTTGTATTTCTATCTGCTGGCAACATATGAATCCTGATATTTCATTACATCAATCTTGTGCTGCATCTTTTGCTCAATATTATAGGTAGGTACATCCGACGAATTTGCTCATCTGGTAACTCAGGATTACTCATATCCCTGAGTATTCTGAGTTGCTGTCTATATGTTGTTGTCTGAAATGTTATTGATGATATTACATGATATTACAATGTAATGTTACCAAAATGCAATCACTAGAAACAATGAAGAGTTTAATATTATCTGCGTGCTATCTCTTCTAGAACCAGCTCTACTAATGCCCGGTTATTCATTTTTCAATAATCAGCAATCAAATTATCTTTCCACATTCACCACTCTCTATGCCACTTTCTTCATCATTTTTTATGTCTCCTTCACGTAACGACAAAAAATGCCTCCAAAGGCTCCAAAGACACCTCAGAGCCGATGTCGTCTACAAACGATATGTTTTGTCGTACAGGTACGACATCGTTAGCTACAGAATCTATGCTATAGAATAACAAATATCGTTCCGTAACGATTATCGTTTGCTAACGATGTTGTAAGCGTTACAGAATGGCCCCCTAGGCTAGGACACCCTGATGAGAACCCTAACCGCTGCGCGAAATTGCAGTATGCCCGTTATGATGACTGCAAAATCAAAATGTGACGCTTTCTGCTTTCTGACCTCTGAGAATACTGTTATTTACAAAGGTTAGAGATGGGAATTTCCAAGATGACCAAAGTTACAACATGCACGTAACGTACGGGTTTCTTATTATCCACGCATGTTTTTCAGTCGGCCTCTTCCTGCTATTTTGATCAGTACCCAGTATAATTGTAAAATTGAACCAAATTACATAAGAATTATAGTTGCAGATACCAATTATTTAATCGATCTACACGATTTATTGAATTATTGAGCAATGGAAAAATAATTTGTACCTACTCATTATGGTATAAACGGATATAAAATTATTGCACGTCCATGTATATATTGATGATAATATATTTGTTTCATATTCCATAATATATGCGAATGTCTTAGAACAGTGCACTCAAATTAGTTTATATGCATAGTCGATGTGCATCAGATTGTAAGAAAACAACACGTCCATCAGCAAAATGTGTATGTGTTTCGTCCTTCCAGTGAAAATTTTAGTTTTCATTCTTGTCTTGTCAGGTAAAGTCAAATCTTATTGTATCGAATGTTTTGCCACAGGTTTTGCGTACTCAATATACAGGTCTCAACTTTTCAACACACTAAATGGACCACTCATAATTTGACTTTTTTTCGGCCAACTGTATTTTTTGAGGAAATTGACCGGTTTTCATGTGGTTTTTTCGACAAATTAAGCTAGAACACTGTGAAAATTTCCGCAGAACGAAACTTACTCATAAATAATAAAATGAGGCTAACGGACTTCGTGAGGTATACTTTTCCTTCCATTTCACTCAGCCCAATCTTACAATTCAATACTATTGGGATAACTTATGTAGAAGTCCATACTATTCTCTAGGTGGAGTGTAATGACGAAAGGGTTAGAAAACACAGAGCTTGTCCACTTTTTTAATTTATAAATTACTAATTTAATGGCAAACCCATAATTGCAAGATACCTAAAAAACGGTGGAGTCAACTAATACTCAAAACGACTAACCTACTATCATCAGATGATAGAGGACAAGTTTACAATACCCCGACCTTCAACTGGTGCTTTGCACAAAAAATGTTAACCAATAATTAGTTTTCAAGATATTTTTTTATCCTCGCACGTGAGTAAATTCTGTATTTCATATATTTTTCATCATTACCTTGTATTCATATTAAAGGACCTTTGGTTTGCAAGGATTATAGGCTTACGATGGACACATGACTGTCCGAAACATTTTCCCGGAATAATCTTTCGATTATTAAACGTTATGGAGATGATTTTGTGTTTTTTAACCCTTTTATTGGGATATCTTATCTGCTAATGTGAAAGGTTCTTGGTGCGCGCAAAGTACCTATCACATTAGAAAAAAAAATCCTAAAAGCCTCTCTATAGGCAGAACCCTAACTTGAGTAGGTATATAAGTAGGGATTTGCTGTGTTTTTTTGCAAAGGCCACCTCACTATTTCCACCAGTTTTCGGAGCATACCGCAGCACTTAGTTCCACGGAGTTTTTGTAGGTATTACCTATCTTTTTTCTATAATGATATGGTCAAAACTAGAAACACTCTTCAGGTTAAAAAGTTGCAGGGCGACGATTGTCAGTTCGAATTCGATCATTCAGAGGCAATCCTGTTTCCTCAAGTTCTGACTTTTAGAATATGAAGGGTTCATGATATGTGTCTTCTCATCATCATGTAGAAAAAAATTCAAACCAGTGGACAAGTATCTCAAACTATGAATAATTTTTTATCGAAATGAAGCATTGCCATTGCCAACAATCATATAATTTGGAAAATGTAAAAACTTCACAAACGATAAGATTTCCAAAAAATTCTCAATCGCACGACATGTTCCGCTAACACAGTAGCTTCTTCAGGGGAAATACTGGTACAATGAAATATGCAAAAATCATTATTTCATAATAATGCTAGCAGGTATCGATTGGCATGTCGCTATTAAATTTACTCCACTTATTTTTCCATGATTCTAATTCAGATTAGATTTGTTTTTCATCATGTTCTTGGGGGCTGATAATTACCCTCTTTACCCCTCCCATACCTACGCCCTTGATCGAAACGCCTAATTCGCGAACAAATAATGTTTCTTAACTCTAATGCATGAAGAACCTGGCAGAATTTTTTCATATATCATTTTTGAAAATCATAATATATACAATATAATGATACCCTCCATGTATATGCATATTCAATGCAAAAAGACTTCTAAACAGGAGCATGTCGCATTAACCCTTGAAAAAGACTGTAATTTCACGTGAGCTGCAGTCTGGATCATTCATTATGAATACGGGTTCTGCCAATTTCTGTTCGGATTATCCACATTACTGTATAGTACGAAAGTACGAAAGCGCTGAACGGACATGATACTTTTTTTTTAATAATTGCCAGTTTGAACTGGCATTTAGCTATAATTGCCAGTTTGAACTGGCATTTAGCTATAATTGCCAGTTTGAACTGGCAATTAGCCATAATTGCCAGTTTGATCTGGCAAATAGCCATAATTGCCAGTTTGAACTGGCAATTAGCCATAATTGCCAGTTTGAACTGGCAATTAGCCATAATTGCCAGTTTGAACTGGCATTTAGCTATAATTGCCAGTTTGAACTGGCATTTAGCTATAATTGCCAGTTTGAACTGGCAATTATGGCTAATTGCCAGTTCAAACTGGCAATTATGGCTAATTGCCAGATCAAACTGGCAATTATGACTAATTGCCAGTTCAAACTGGCAATTATAGCTAAATGCCAGTTCAAACTGGCAATTATAGCTAAATGCCAGTTCAAACTGGCAATTATAGCTAAATGCCAGTTCAAACTGGCAATTATAGCTAAATGCCAGTTCAAACTGGCAATTATTAAAAAAAAAGTATCATGTCCGTCCAGCGCTTTCGTAGTATAGGATTGTTGAAAAAATCTGAAATTTCACTTATTTCTGGCCGTTTCTGGAACTAATCTTCTCTCGTTTTCAACATAAAAATGGTGAATAACTCTGAATAATGATTATCTCGATTTATTGAATAAACTTGAAAAATTTTATTATATATATTGTTTCAAGAGAGTCAGCCGGCTAACGCTCAAAATGTACAGTCCATGCCAGAAATGACTGTCGAAGAAATTAGACCGGAACAAAATGATGAAACTTCAGGATCGTCTCCAAATCTATCACCAAATCTGTCACCAAGCTCGGACTCAGACTACGTGTCAGAAGATGTTACTAAGGATGAAATAGCTGACAGGTTCAATTTGTTCGACATTGAACTACTCAATGTAGGTAAAAGTAAAGTTATAAAATCAATTTTCTGTGATTTATCGAGGGTGGATAGTGTTAAATGTGCTAAGTGTTCTTCGAATCTTGTTTTTATGGGACGCCTGGTTTGGCCTATATATGTTCTATCATAATCATCACAACTAATATATTCCTGACTTTTCAAGTGTGTCCACCTTATCTTTTGGATCACCTGATAAATTGCCTAACTTTGAACCAGACTCATAAACGCTTTCAAAACCTAAGTCTTTGAAAACCTTATCAAGTCCTCTTGTGTACTTGGGATTGGGATTTTTCTCTGATTGTTTTTATCTGCTTGAAAAGTCGTAGACTTCCTGAGTGAGATATCACTCAGCGAAACACGTGTCGAGGTGTAAAAAATCGGTTTGGCTAGTTGTAAAACAGTGTGTAGTATATCTAGTTTGATTTCCTTCATATCGTAACTTATTATAGTAATAGTATATTAGAGTTATTCTCTGAAGAATGATTTTTTCAGGCATTCACTGATACCACAACGAACGTTTTCATATCTCCTGCGAGCATCAAAACAACATTGGCTATGATATTGGAAGGAGCTGCTGGAAATTGTGCAAATGAAATCAGTGAAGCCCTAAGAATACCCGATATAAATCGCAAAGGAGTTAGAGATATTTTGCTGGGTCTTTTGAATAATATGAATGTGAGTATTTATTATCGATGGCAAGTAAATTTAGATTGTACCTATATACACTTCTCCAAGAAATCAACGTACCACCAAAAAATAGCCAAAAGTTTTAGAAACATTTTCGTCGAAACTACTTGTCTGATTTGGACGTTTTTTATTTTGAATGACAGGTTATTTCCTTCTGCACATTGGTGTGCAAACTGTATTCGCATAAGAACATTTTTTTACTAATACCAGGTGTAGCTATTATAGCGTGTTTTTTCATGAATTTCGTAATAGCCTATGGAGTGTAACAGTTACGTTATAGAGTTGAAATTGAAAGTACAGTCTAGCCTTATCATGCATGTTTCAACAATCCTTCCTTGGATTCACACCATTATCTTTCCTGTTTCTCCAGAAACACAATTTCATAGCATAACATGATTTTATTGAATTCAATTGGCATTATAAGCACTAAACTAGCGGGCTATGGCCTGGGAAGGTATTTCTTTGAGTGGTCGCATGGAACTTGTGATCATAAATAGAAGCCTTACAGTTGAAAGGTACATATCGGTGATTTTAGAACCACATATAGAGTCAGGATTTTTGTTGATGCAAGATAATGCCATCAGGCCTCACGTCGCCTGTGAGGAATTATCTAGAGGAAGTCTGTATTGTCACCATGCCATGGCCAGCTCGGAGCCCCAATTGAAATCTCATTGAGAATCTCTGAGAAATTATTGGGACAAGGTTACAAAAAGAACGCAACTTGAATACTTTGGACGGCAGAAACTGATGATTCAAATTTGGGAAGACCTGGACCAACATGACATTAGGTCTCTTATTTTGGGTATGGGCCGTCTTTGCCAAGAAGTTTTTGGTGTCTGCGACGAAAATACTCGCTACTGACCTTTCCACTTGTGACTTCGCATTCTGATTCGTTTTTCCGTTATTCAATTTGGATATTGATTTTTCATTAAATCATGTTATGCTATGAAATTGTGTTTATCGAGTTATAGGAAAGATACTGGGGTGAATCCAGAATGAAAATGTTGAAGAAAGATGATGCTGAAGTGTGGATCAAATTATAACTCGATAGTATAACTATTACACTCTACAGGACAAATCGAATTTCAGGAAAAAAACACGATGTAATTGCTACAACCGGTATGTATGGGAAAGAGGTTTTTTTGCGAAAACAAATTGCACACCAATGTTCAGAAGGAAATAACCTGTCATTCAAAACAAAAAACGACCAATCGGACAAGTACTTTTGACGAAAATGTTTCCTAAACCTTTGGCTACTTTTTGGTGGTGCGTTAAAATCTTGGAGAAGTGTATGTATATATCCTAGATGGATAAAATACTATAATCATCTAATATTGCAGGAGCGAGGTGAGAAGACATCCATAGAAAGTTATAATGCCATATTTACCTCAGACCAACATACTATATTAGAAAAATACAGGGATGCTGTAAGGCAGTTTTATGGGGTTGTGTTCAAGACTGTCGATTTCAATAAAATAGCTTCTGCTGTCGAGAAGATCAACCAATGGGTGTCTGATTCAACACACGGGGCTATCACAGAAATTGTATCACCACGTAAGTTTGCAATATAACACTAGTGTGAATACTCAATATATAACTCAATATTAAAATCGATATTGAGTAGGTACCTAACCGTGAGCAATCAGCAGCAAAGGCGTCCCCACAAATCTCAACACAGGTTTTTAATTTATAATGTGAACAATCTCGTAGATTTGTGATTTGTGTAGATCTGTTTTAATATCTGAATAGGATAGAGCGGGAAAAAATGGTGATAATGAACTATCAGAATTTAAAAATTTCTGCATTGACTAAATAGTTAGCCGCAGCTGAGAATGAATATCGTGAAGAATGCAATGGGCGCTCGAAAATATCTAAAATAATCGCCTATTCAAAGTTCAGTAAAATTTGTTGTTAAATTGGATGCCCGCTCGTAATAAGAAGTAGAGGCCATCATTATTCAGCTTTTTCCAGATATCGAACCAAATTTTTCATGTACAGCGTGTTATTTTTTTAATAATTGAAAACTGACTTAGATTCTGTTTTCGATTTATATTCGTTTTTGATGGGTAATATTAATGAAATATACTTACCAAGAATGAATGAATTTTACAAAGTTTTTCAAAAGTAATGACCACATAAATATTTCCCAAAATCAAGATAATCTGTATCTCAGTAACAAAATCGGAAGACACATGAATGGGGTTGATTGGGAACCACCTAAGAACCCACTATCAACAGATATCGTATGCATGATGTATATTTAAATCTCTATATATACAACCTGTTCAAGTATCGTACACAGGGCGTACGACGATATGATTCAAAGTCTCTGCAGATTATTTGGGAATATGAAATAATTTCAAAATTATTCAGATACATGAGTCGGTATATATAATGTGCATCTTTTTGATGATTGCTAAAACTATAATTTTTCTTTCAGAAACACTCAGTACAAAGAGCAAGGTAGTGATTGCAAATGCACTTCACTTCAAAGGTGCATGGCAGAATGCTTTTGACATTAATAATACCGTTACTAAATGTTTTCACACAGCAAAAGGCTGTGTTTCAGCACCTATGATGCATGTGTCTGAGGAGTTCAACTATAACTATATCAGTAGCTTAAGAGCTCATGCAGTTGAATTACCCTACCAGGTAAGACCCACTATATAGATGATCTTTGAAATGATATTCATCAGTTTACCAATATTTTAGGGTAAATTCTCAATGTTGATACTTCTCCCTGCCGAAGATGCAAACATCAGAACAGTTATTAGAGATTTGCCACATTTCAGACTATCCGAAATTTTGCATAAATTGAAATCTACAGATATTGTTCTGGAAATACCAAAATTTGCCTTCGAATACTCGGCTGATATGGTAGAATATCTTGGAATGGTAAGTACCTTCTATTCCTTTCCTTCTGATAAAAAAGTGCCCTCCATTTCCACGAATACACGATCCACGATCCTATATTTTTTCTTGAGAATGCATTATTCTTCTAAACGGTTGAGGATCAGTTGTTAGGTCATTTATGAGTGATGTTAAATTTCTTTTTGCAACTCTTGACGTGATTTCACCTCTGTAGCATAGCCAAAGTGTGTAATACATGTTTTAAGTCAAATTTATTTCGATGATATTCTTGTGATCTGTATAATTATATTAATAATAAAACTGCAAAAGTAACACCAATCTACATAAAAGGTCCAAAAAATTAATTCAATAATTACAGGCCCATCATAGCAATCTTCAATTGCATTGCGAAAATATTTTAGTTAATTTTGTATGAAAAACTTTATTCACATGTGCGGAACATGACATATGTGCAACGGATTTTGTACGAAGCAATCTATTGAAACTAATTTGTTATATTTTACAAATTATGTTCAAGATGGGGCAGGTCAGTATATCCCACATACTGATTGCCAAATCATTTGACAAAGTTGACCATGTCATATTGCTGAAAAAAATAGTCTCCTTTGGAGTGAGTAAAAGCATTATTAGAATTGTTTTCAACATATTTATGGGATAGATGGCAATATGTTAGCTTTAAAGGAATTCAGTCTGAATCCTATTTTGCTGGGTCAGGAATACCACAAGGGTCGAGTTTGGGACCTCTTCTTTTCCTATTAGTCGTCAATGACTTACCTTATGAAGTTACATCGCAGTGCTTAGGTCTTTGCAGACGACTTCAAAATTTTCTTGAAAATTGAGGATCTGAATGATTACTTTCGACTGCAGAATGATATTGATAAAATTTATGATTGGTCCATTGATAATAGACTGACTGTACTTCAACATTGATAAATGTGTTATCATGATCGACAGTCGACAAAAAAATTCAAATTTTCATAAATACACTATGGGAAATGTAGCTCTGATTAGAGTGAGTGAAGTGGTGGATATGGGCATTGTATTCTCTCCCAATCTCAGTTTTCAGTCACACATACAAAATTCTCTCTCTCGGGCATACAAAATTGGAATTCGGATGTTTGTGATATGAAATAATTTCTTGAACAAAGGGAATGTTAATCGAATAGAGACCCTCCAAAATAAATTTCTGAAGTATCTTTTCTATACAAAATTCAACGCATCTCCAGGTTTTGTTTCTTATCAACCCTGGAGGCGTGATTTGAATATTACAAAATCAGAGTACAAGAGAATTCACCGTGGCCTGCTTTTTCTCTATAAACTGATGAATAACCATGTAGACTCTCCAAAACTCCTCCATCAAATAAACATGTACCTGACTATTGTCTCGATGGTAATGCCCAGACTTTTTTGTCAACACTACATATACCCTTGACTCATTATGCCAATTATACAATCGATACTATCTCGAATATAATCTGGATATATTCTGATCAAATCTCGAATCATTCAGAATGGCCGTTTTTGAAATAAAAAGTGAACACTAAAATCGTTTTGGTACTCAACCTCTGACAATCCTGACAAATGAAAAAATTTGGTAGGAACTATTAGTTTGTATTTTGCTCTGAATATAATTCTTCGCCATCATAGGTAAATCGCCCTGTATAGGATTCAGAAGCATTTGAGTCATCAAAGTGAATCGATTTATTTGATATTCAGATCAAAGTTAATCGATTTATTTGATTTTCAGTTGAAGGTGAAGGAAATTTTTGGATCCAATGCCAATTTGTCAGGAATTATCGAAGGAGGCAATGTCCTAGTGAACAATTTAGTACACAAAACGAAAATAGAAGTTGACGAAGATGGAACTGTGGCAGCAGCATCTACTAGCGCTATAATCATTCCTCTCATGGGATCTCTTTCAGTGATAGCTGATAGACCCTTCGTTTTCATCATCTATCATAAGGAATCCCAGAATATTATATTCGAAGGTGTCTTGAGGAATCCTGTTGAACAAAGCCCTACATACAATGTGAGGATCGATGATGTTCCAGCGTCTCTGAAACAACAAATGACTTTCAGGAGCCGACAATTTAATTTTTAATACATTTTATACTTTGATCTGAAACTTCCATTTCAGCTTTTGGCTGCTCTCTGTTTTGAAAACTTTTGTATGCGAAAACTTTTGTAAAATAAATTATTTTAAGTATATTGAGGAATACTGACTTATTACCACTATTCATATCAGAAATGTCAACATACAACATACATGACATACGAATCAATATTGAATTGGTACTTAAAAAAAGTACATTCATGAATAACGTGATTATGATTGGTGTAGGTTTGATTAGGATAACGTACAACTCTAGTATGTATTTCATAGTAATGAAGCAGATTCCTCTTTCCTTCTGAGCGACACTTTTTGTGGATTTCGACGCGAAAATTTTCTCCAGGAAAATGATTATTATTGCAGATTTTTTGAGATTTTCTCTCATTGCTTCTGTGAAATAAAAATATGAGTATATTTAATTCAATATATTAAGTGTACTGAGGAAAAACCAGATTGTTTTCCGCATAAGAGAGCCTAAAAAAAAAGCATTATCTTCGATATGTCATAACTACGAATGCGTTGAAGGGCCACAGCAATTATTTTTCATAATTCCGACTTGGTATCTCGGAATTATTTGATTCCGACATTAATGAGTCAGAATTTAGTAATTCCGAGATACTGAGTCGGAATTATGAGAAATAATTGCGGTGGCCCTTCAACGCCATCGTTCATTACGAAGTTATTCACCTCTGAAAAAAACTCATATAATCTCATATGGTGACATAAAAATAGGAAACCCTATAGTATTTGGACGATCCTATGAATATCTCTTTCATTATCCATGATAGATCAAATAACGTTCAGTTTGGCCAGGAAACGAAAGAATACGAGAGTAACCACATTACGCATTATAGAATCACGGGAAAGACCACCGAGTGATGAAATCCATCCAAATTTCTATGTTGACGGGGATCGAATATCAATCAGCACCAGACGTACATTTTACGTCCGACTTACGTCTTAACGTCCAAGGACGTATACGTATTCGTGTACGTCATCAAGACGTACAAAAATTTACATCTTAAAGACGTATTTCCATTTTAGGTCCGATTCACGTCATTCCTCACAGGACGTATAAGAGAGGTGTTAAATACGTAAATTCTAGTACGTCAAACCAACGTACAGAAATGTACAATCATGTAAGTTTACCTAAAAAGAAAAGAAATAGCCCTCTTTTCGCGTTTTTGGGCCGTACGGCATATATTTTCAGGCAGTACCAGACATTACCAAGACGTACATTTTAGGTTCGATTCACGTACTCTGTCCCAGGACCTGTAAAATACTTCTTGAAGACGTACATTTGGGTAGGTTTCCAAGATGTTAGAAATGCACGACTTAAATTTTCAGGTTCTATCCATGTCTGAATGTGTTACTGACAGCATAACCTATAGGCCGAACAATTATATTCTCCTTTTGCTGGCTTTTAGATGAAAATTTCTCAATTTTTTCTCATCAACAAGTGATGTTTTTAAAATTTATTTCTTCCGTCATTTTGGAATCTCTGTGTTAGATTCTTGAATTTCGACCCAAAATCGTAATCTCCAACCCCGAAGACCCCATCAGTTACCAATCTTGAATAAAATCTTACCATAATCACAAAACTCGTCCGCCATTTTGAAGCCGCCATCTTGATTTTTCTTTTTTCGACAAAAGAATCATAATCTCCGATCCCGAAAACCCCCAGATACCAATTTTGAGTCGAATCAGACCATAATCAGAAAACTTTAGTCTGCCACATTGGAGTCACCATCTTTAATTTCTCAATTTGGACATAACAATCATGATTTTCAACCCCGAAAACCCCCAGAATGAATTGTCACCAGAATTCTATTCACATGCTGAATTTCGCATCAGACTGCAAATGTCCTGCTGGACCACATTGACACTCTCACGTACTACCTCTTCCATGGAATGACACCGTCCATAATAGATGTGATGCTGACCAAGAACATCACTGCATTATTTGCACTCTCAGCTGTGGACGTGCTGAGATCTAATCATCTGCCAGTGATTCACAGTTTTGGAGTTAAACCTCCTGGAATAAGAACAACCTATTTCAATTATAAAACCACTGACTAGCAAAAGTTTAGATCGCAGCTCGTCGACCAAATCACCATCAATGTCTCAGAATTAAATTTTAAGACACAAATGTTGTTATGCAATCATTCAAGCGGGAAACAAAACAACGAGACTGGTCAGCATCGACTCCACCAAGGGTATAACCTTCCAGGGGACATTCTTGAACTCATCTCTGTAAACAAAAATCTCAGAAAGGGAAGACTTCAACCGTGTGGACCAACAAATTGAGACTTCAGGAATGTCACCTCTGGAGGATCAAGGTGGAGACTCGCGACAACACTCTCTGGAGGATATAACAAAGAGGTTGAAAAGAAAATTTACCCCTGCCCCTTTCTTGGAGTGTGGTCGTAGCGACGCGGTGTCAGCCCTGTCTGATCCTGAAAAGGCGGAGGTGCTTGATGGGAGACACTTTCAGTTCTTTAACCAAATCAATGTGACCCAATGGGAGAGGTCCAGGAAGTCCAGGCGACCCGAATCAAGGCTCTGCCTACGGTGTCCTTGCCTCGTCGAGTCGTGGGCCAGTCTATGTAGCCCAAAAGAAATCGAAAATTGTATAAAATGTTTAAACATCAACAGGGCTCCAGGACTCGACGGGATAGACGTAGTTCTACTGAAAAACTTGTCTCGTAAGGCTCTGGTTCAACTACATTACATTGTTAACATGATAATGAAGTACAAGCCCTATCCAGATTGTTCTTTGTTCTAAAATTGTTCTTATCCATCATTCGGTTGCCCTCCTACGAGCAACCCTCAGAAGTATTCAAGATACTTGTGCGAGCAAGGAATGACGGGGTCTTACCTTTTAACGTGTGATCCCAAACACTTTCTTCTTGCTTGAAGACTTGGCCAATACCAAAATTGGGCAAGGTCCTAAAACGTCTGGGAAGTTACCACCTCATGTCACTTCTCAGCATAGTAGATAAGATAGTGGATAAAGTCCTTGGTTGATTGACGACTTGAACCTGATCCCAGAGATGAACAATTCGGGTTGCGCAAATAGGGACATATAGGCCTATTATCACTATTTTGTCGAATCATAATCTAATATACAAGGTGAACCACCCTCGTGTAATGACGCCATCACCATTTTTTTTTTCAATTTTCGGATTGCCCTTGCTAAGCTGCTTCCGAAAATGTATAATACGTTGCTTCAAATTGGTACAGTGTGGGCAAAAATGATCTGATCCAGCTTGTTCCTAATATTCAAATACCCACGCACACCGCCACATTTCGCAGTAACAGGGCGCGATTTTTATTTTTCTAACACAACTTTTCCACAAAGGTGAATAGGAAGAAGGGGACCTGCTAGATCACCTGATCTGAGCCCATTAGCAAGGGCCTTCCGGAAATAGAAGAAAAGGGAGGGTTCCATCTAAAAAAATGGTGATGACGTCATTACACGAAGGTTGTTCACCCTGTATATCAGATTATGATTCGAAAAAATACTAAATTAAAATCAAAAATAGACCTGTTTCGGGAATTTCTAATTTTATTTTTCATTTAGCCGATAATGAATTTATGCGTTTCTTTATGGACGCACTGAATTATGATGTATTGACTGTATTGTACTGCTTATTTGCCAGGTAGCGGACCAATCGTCAAATCATTGAATACCTATATATAAACGTGATATTTTATACTCATATGATACGTAATAGTTGGTAATTATAATTTACATGTTGAACGGTAACTGTCAATGAACCATGTGAATAATTTCGTCAAGGTTACTCCAAAAATCAGAAAAATGAAGAATACCAAAATTTTTCAACAGTTCGAGGTTCTCATTGATCCATCATCAAGGCTATGCATGCGTATTTTCCTTTGGTTCAAATTCAGAGGGAATTAACTAGTTCTTTTCCATAGTGAAAGAATCTTCACCTTCTGATAGGTATTCTAACCAACTCCATATACCTAACAGTATATAGAGATGGAAAATATACATGATAAATGAAATTTATATTTACATACATGGGCTGTTCTTATGAGTACATCAGCAAGTGACTTATAAATTATGATTTTCATAATTACCGAAAAACGGTGTTAGAAACCGATTGGAAAATCAAACTTATTAAAATTGCATCGTGCGTTGTGCGTTGTGCCCAATATAATCCCAATTGACAATAGATCACTCAACTATAATTCATTTTCATGAACCGCATCAAAAAAAATTTTTTGATGGGTGCCAAAGTTGGCAGATTAATGGGGCTACTTTGGCAGCACATGAATATCGAATTTGCGCCAATGTAGAGGTTGTATATAATAGGAAGGCGCTGAACGGACATAGCAAAGAAATTTTTTGTCGTCGTTTGAATATAATTGCAAGATTTTTCTGGTATTTAAGCTAATTGCTAGATTTATCTTGCAAATAAGGCCTAATTGACATATTCATCTCGCACTTAAGCGAATTGACAGACTTATCTTGCATTCAAGCTATTGACAGATTTATTTGGCATTTGAGCTAATTGCAAGATTTATTATTCCAGATTTTTTGTGATTTTCTCTCCTCGTTTCTATAAAATAAAAATATGAATATTATTTCAATACAGCACGTGTGCAAATAAAACACCCTGCATCTCGGTTATATGAAGAATTATAAACCCATAAAATATAGATTATTCAGAAGCACCTTAGTGCGTACCCTATCTACCCTTACTATATGCGCATTTCACAATGAATCACCCTGTATAATCTCCCATAATATTCACTCACATAAACACTTTGACGATTTTTAGTATATAATTGTAAGATGAAGCTTACAATTATCTTAGATTCCAGATAAATCATTCAATTAGCTTATATGCCAGATAAATTAATCTGTAAATTAGGCCTTAGTTGCAAAATTATTCTTTTTTCTTGCTATGTCCTTCCAGCGCCTTCGTAGAATAAAACCTTATTTGGCACCAAAAATGTTACAAAATGAAAGCACCTTCGAGTTTGGTCCAATTATCTTTTGTAATTCCGAAGTTATTGAAGTATAAGAATGCATTTTATCAAATTGAACAATCATCCCAGTCAACACACGGACATTCGATGGACATCCATTGGACGTCCATTTAGGATATTTGGGATATCCAGAGAATATCCAGGGATATCCAATGTATATCTTATGGACGTCCAATGGACGTGCCGAGTGGAAGGAGTTGGACTTCTATAGGATATCCTTCAGGGACATCCATAAGACATTTTTCAGGGATACCCATAAGATATTGTTCACAAATATCCATAAGACATTTTTCAGGGATATCCATAAGATATTGTTCACAAATATCCATGAGATATTTTTCAGGGATATTTACTAAATATCCTTAACAATATAGAACACCATGTATATTATTCCATAATGAATTAGGAACTATTATAACGAATTCAACGGTACCGGATTGGATAGGGTTATTTCAAACGATTAGGAAGATATTTGCATTCGAAGTTTTCATATGCTCATTGAGGATATGGAAATGTGAATATCTTCCTAATCGTTTGTAGAAATCCTATCAAACACAGTATCGTTGAATTCGTTATGATAATCCTTAACCGATTATGGAATAAAATACAGGGTGTCCCGTTTAAAAATGCCATCCTCCGTTAAAGTGCCAGTTATGAAGCAAACATGTAGGTACATACAACACAAATAAATAGTTGATCTTTGTGACATTTATTTGAAAAGTACAACTACCAAGGACAGGTTTGACATTTCCAGAAAAGAAGTTGCTCGTCCACCCTGTTTGTGATAGGAAAATTGAGAATATTCATTAGGTTTCATATAACTGGTCTCTTCATTTTTTTCTTAAAACAGGGCATCTCATCTATAGGAATACTGATATTGTATTAGTCCCTCTGTTGATTGCTTTTTGTGTCAACCAAGCATATTTATATCTCTGGAAGATCCCACATTCTTCCTGAAAACAATGAAATAGAGTTGAGTTTCAGGAGTTTACCAATATCATTATTAGGGAGAGTTCTTCTTACCTGACACACACAGTGGACTGTAAACATAATGAGGCATAATACTTATTATACTTCAATGCAATCATTTGCATCCATTTGACCAGCCAAAACCAGGTGGCCCGCATTTATGAGCTCAGCTTCATTTTGGAGACACTGAATCACTGAAAAAGGATAGACAGATTGAAATGCACAGGCTAAATGGCCAAATCATAAGAATTCTTGTTCAATAATGATAAAAACTTACAGCTTATGTTGGTATAGGACGATAGGTTTTAGGTTCAACATTCCAACTAGAGGTAGGTAGGTGTTCTACTGTTAAACATCAGAGATATTATTGTCCTCAATCAAAACACAATGAACCACTGGAAAACACGGATTTAAAAGATACACAAATATCAAAGCTGAGAATGATTGAGAACTCAAAACGAAATTAACATAAACACACCTCTCAATAAACACCATCACCAAAACCAAACAATGTAAAATATAAACAATCAAATGTACTGGCTTACCGGTCTGGCTTTCGCCGTTCTGGCTCTGGCGCTACGATCTCTCTTTCGTTTGACATGGCGGTATTTTCAAATCATCCCACCCATAGACATATAAAAAGTAAAATAACTTACTCTGAACAATCTATATAACCTCTATGTATTACGGTGAAGTTATAAAAATTATGAAATTGAAAATATTTCATTAGCCTGAATCAATATGATCATACCTATATTTCTTATTAAAAGTTTAACGCATATTATGAGAATAGAACCATAACTAAGTGTGGAATTCAGGAATTCTGAGAGTGGAGAACGTTCAGATATGACACACTAAAAGTCATTATGATTAATATACTTATTATAATATACCAAATATCATTATTGCTTATTTGTATTATTACGATGTCTTTAAGACGTATTCAGGACGTGAGAATCAGATATCTTTGAAACGTCTGAATGATGACATCTTGTAGACGTCTTATTCAGGGAGTAAGACGTACAGACTAAGATAGGATATAATTCAGACATCTTAAAGACGTCTTGTGCTATCTGGGTAAGATATCTTCTGATGGATATCCGCTATAAATCCATGGATGAATATCTCATGGATGTCCATCTGAAGACCACAAAAAAGTAAATATATGAGAGCTATTTTCGAGTGATTGTATATTTTTGTACGAAAACATTGAACAACAGAGAAAAATTCCAAACTGTGGTGTTGTTATTTATATGAATTCATATTTGCATCGGATATCTTAATTGTGGCTATAACATATTATACCTACACAACAATAGTTATATGATGGAAAACTACCTTTGAATTTCTAATAAACATGTGATTTGCATGTGATATTTGTGATGATTCGTATTGTTTTGAACCATTCTCAATCAACAATTTTTGTTCGCTAAACGAACATCTTATGGACGTCCATAGGTGATCCGCATCAGAAATATCCATTTGATATCCTCTGACGGATATCCTATGGATATCCATTTCATGTCCCAGGATATCCCGACCTGAAATGGACTTGAGAAGGATATCCATAGGATATCCTGTGTTATCTGGGATGTTATCCAACGAATATAGAAAACTAACTAAAAATAATTCCTGAACGGAGATAAATCCTTAAGAAGTTAAATAGAAAACATAGAAAACTAAATATTTATCACATCATAACGCCAGTTTACAAACAAAAATCCCCAATTACTCCCAGTCACTGAAGTATTTGTTAGAAATTGCTCCTCGGCAGTTGTAAATTCCCTTGGATGACCTGAAAGTCGCGTATGCTCGCCCTTCAACTTATTCTGAAGAGTCCCGCGAGAACTTTTGTACCATTTACTGGCCGCCTACTGACTCATGGTATTCCTAATAATGGCAGCCCACCCTTTCAAGATCAGCTTCAGTAGAATTTCTGTAGGTACACCCCCTCCCCCCCAAGTTTTTTCTGATACTTTCTAGGCATGTTTAATTACTTTTTATCTCTGACAAAAGAGAACAACTGAAAAATCGCAGAAAATATATACGAAATCAAATATTTTTTACATAATATGACCAATCTGCCAAGGTAGGCCAAAGTAACCCAATTTTACGGTACCAAATGACGCACGTGGATCATACTAAAGCTATGCTTTTCAGATGATATCAATGACAATGCAGAATGATAGAAATAATATATATTACAAACATTCATCAACATCACAGATTTGCTTCTACACAATATTAAGTTATTTAACTAACAAACACACTAAAGGCATATTGTACAACATATATGAAGATAATTCAAAACACTTTCATTCTATTTCAAATTTGAGGTATTGACAAAATTCCCTCCTTTTCAGGAAAGTATGGATTTTATATTAAATTTGGTGTGTTCTGATAAGTGTCAGTGTGTCAATATCGGTGAATAAATAACGGCGATTATTTTTTTTATTACAGAATTTCAGCACGCAATCTTCGGAACGATGTGTTTTATATCTTTAATTTAGATTTTTCAAGTAAATATTTTCACGTGTACTTAAAATAGGTAGGTATGTGTACTCGAGTGTAATGAGTTTTTCCCAAATCACCCTGTATACAATTCAAGACTTCAAGATTTAGCTGTCATTCACCTATATCATTTTAGCATGATTGAGTGGGTTTACAAAATGATATTTCGTTAATTAGGTACTTATTATATTATCTATATATGATGGTAGACTACAATAACATATTGTTCAATGTTTAATCAGAATTAGATAAATTATAGTTTACATGTTCCGAATCTGAATGAAACAGATATCGGCAAGCAAAAGTTGCGAGCTTGATGGCAACACTTTTATTTACTGAGAAGTAGGTAGGTTCCTACTTTTTAAACCTAGGAACTCTAAAAGTAGCCCAGAAACTAACAGATATTGACTAGAAACTTAATTTCACTGATTATGATGTTAAAAGTTAATACAGTTGCTGAAAAACGAATCACTAATTCAATATCATTTCTACGGACACACATTTTTGCCTCATTGAACACAAAAAATATATTCGTGATATAATCCTAAGGGTAGGCCTCCTGAAAGTCATAAGAAGCTGACATGTTTTTATAATCTATTTCATAAAGACAGATGTTGAATAATTAATTTTACTTTTAATACTTTAATTTCAATCACACATATTATGTCAGTGTCACAACATGATTCAAATTCATTCTTTCCATTGAAGAATTAAAAAAGATCATAAACAGAAAACACATTTTTTTAACGATTACCTATACATATTCTATGGAACATTTTTTCACTTAACATACAAAGTTATATGAAGGCATTTTTTGTCAGTTGAAATTCGTTCACCTGTTCCCAATGATAAATATTGACATTGGCCCTAGTCAATCGCTTATACCTACAGCAAGTCAATTACCTAATTGAGTTAATAAAACTGGCTAAAATTGTATAATAACCTAATATTTATATGCACAACGCACAACTTTCCTATATTGCATATACTTCACATTCTCAAATTGAATATTTATTTGAAGAAGGAGAACGACAATGACACTACGGAAAGTTTGACTTTTCTTCAACTTATCATTAGCTTCAAGAATAGTGTAGCTGTGGAGGTCTAGAAGCATCATTTTAATATCCACGGTCCTCGGGCACAATATAGGTAAGCGTATGATTAACCTTTTGTTCTTCCCCTTGAAGGATCTAATGTTAAAAAGACAGGAACAATCGAACAATAACTCTTCCCAAAATAATTTTTATCACAGTCAACCTACTCTATAGATTCATACAACGAAGTTTCTTTCCTTGGAGTCTTTCTGAAAATTGGCATGTACCAGCTCTGTCTTGTTCTCCGTCCTGTGCATTTGATGGAGACCTCTGAACTTCCTTTTTGACGAAGGCAATGCAACCATCTCCATTTCCCATCAATGACTTCATACACATTTTTTTACTATGGACCAACGCTAGTACCTCCTTCTCTAATTCGAACAAATGGTCGTCATAATGGGATGAAAAATTGTCCCTCATGAAATCCGCTAGCCTTATCACATACTCAACGTTATGACCACTAGCACCTCTACAATTCACTACTTGTTGAGCTATCGTTTTGGCATCATCGTCACCCATCCAAAGGGCATTGGAGGACTTCGCTAGATAAACTAACACTTTGAACGAGTTGCCCTGTTTGGGGTAGAATGTGGTGAATTCTGAGGCATAGCCCCCTAGTTCAGTTTCCCTTCTGGAAAGGTAGGGGATAGCTGCCTCTCCGCTAACAGCAAAGGCCACACCCGGAACTAGTCCCTGAAACAACGGAATAGCTGATAATCTACGATAGCAGACTTTCAGAAGTCGATGAAAGGACAAATCGATCTCATATGGATCGTATATGAGCAAGTTCATGTAATTATTGAGCTAGATCGGTTTTCACGTGAGATATTTGGTACCAATAGTTTGTCGGATTTCAGTTACAGACATCGGATATCTTGTTTGAATCGATATAAATAATATATGTAGGTATATTACGGAGGGAAATTGTGAAACCACTTATGGTATATAATATGATGTATACAGGGAGATCAATGAATAATATACTCCTCAAATCGATGATACTCATATTGAGATATGGAGGGTATGATTTTTTTTGAAGAAAATATGTCAATAACAATCGTTGGGAGATATACCGGGTGGTCCATTCAAGACTATCCACCCTCGATATCTCCCAGAATTATTATTTTTCAAAAAAAATAAGGAAACAAGTCATATGGAGGGGGACACCTTTCGACGCAAAATAAATAATCCATACTTCAACCCCCTACTTCCCATGGCAACCCCCTCAATAATCTGAATAGGGAATTAGGGTCGTGCTATACATCATTGCGAAGGTAATTCAATTCTGAAACTATCAGTGGAAAGTTTTTTGAAATCCAACAAGTCGTTTTCGAAATATTCAAGTTCAAATGGTATGTTTTCCAATTGCGAGTGATTGAATGTACGGAATGAATTATCCACAACAAATGTTCAAAATTACCTTCATTGACTTCCAGACAGTGGTAGAATCTATTTGTAAATTCCTTTCGCACATTTGAAATGTTTCTCTAGTTATTGCCTGGCATTCAACCCTCATCCTTCTCAACTTATCGTCCAGATCATTGTAGATTCCGTTTTATAAATAACGGAATTCTAATGATCCCAAAGAAAAAAATCATTGGGTGGGTGCCATGTCCGGCGAGCGTGCTGGCCATTTTGATGGTCCTTCACGACCTCCTTATTTGTTTGGGAAATTTTGGGGTAGCCATTCTCTCACCTGTGATATGGAATGAGGTGACACAGTATCTTGTTGAGAATGAATATTATCTGCCAATAGATTTCGATTACCAGCATCATAGAGGTCCGTAGAGGACCAATAGAATGGACAGCACGTCTGCCGGACTTAGCACCCAATGATTTTTTCCTATGGGGTCATTTAAGATTGGACATTTATAAAACGGAACCTACTGACCTCGATGATTTGGAGAGAAGAATGAGAACTGAATGTCAGGCAATATCAAGAGAAACATTCTCAAACGTACAAGAGGAATTTTCAAATAGACTCTACCACTGTCTAGGAGTCAATGGAGGTCATTTTGAACATCTCTTGTGAATACCTATTCAATTAACTATAATTTACATTCATTTACTCACAATTAGAAAACATACCATTCGAAACTCGAATATCTCTAGTACGACTTGTTGGAATTCAAAAAACTTTCCACTGCTAGTTTCAGAATTGAATTACCTTCGCAATGATGTATAACACAACCCTTGTTCCCTATTCAGATTATTGAGGGGGTTGCTCTGGGGAGTAGAGGGTTGAAGTATGGATTATTTATTTCGCGTCAAAAGGTGCCCCCCTCCAATGAAAATCGACCTGTTTCGTAAATTTTTGTAAAATAATAATTCTGGGAGATAACGAGGGTGTCTTAAATGGACCACTCGGTATATTTTATCATATAACATTTCGATCGAACTGCATGTAGGTTGAAATGAATCACAAAATCTGTGGAGAAATTCATGCCAAATACCTACTGAGCATATTAAATATGATCAATTTCTTGAGAAGAATAATACAATAATCTCAAACGGCATCAATTGAACAGATTCAATTTTATCAATTATCTTGCGAACCACGAAATATCGAAATGAGTCAAGTGATCTTAAATTCAGGTATTGAGGGCAATATTGAGAAATGTATATGGATCAGTGGCGTACTGAAAAATAAGGAGAACTGGTATATCGATTTTCTTACTAGATACTCAAAATATGTACCACCCTGTATGTCGATCGAAATGTTATGTTCTCAGTGTGACTGCATAATCTCAGAGCTATATATCTATCAACAATATTGAAAAAGATTTTAGATAAAAAATGTAATATTCAAGTCCCATATCTCAAGAACGAACTGAATGGAATTACATAACAGCATATATCTATTTATAGAAAGAGATTATGGTATTTCACTGAGTTCTATGGAATCTTGGAGTCTTATTCATTAAAACTTGTTCACCCTATATACATTCTATATCTGTCAAAATATTCTATTTATATTTATGAATGATGAGAAAAACATTCAGAAATGATGCACTATATCAAATGCTGATGGTTCAATCATCAATGTTTGATCTGAAAGGACACACAAAAATTTGAGCGATTCCACTTGTGTCCGAACGGTGTACATAGACAATAACGTCATCTTTTTCGAACATCAATTACTATATACGTATCACAATCCCAGACATATACATAATATTCCATGAATGTTCTCACAACGTTCACAACATACCTCCTCCAGAATATTCCAAAGAATATTCATAGAATATGATGAGAATGTCCTGAATGTTCATAGAATGTTTCACGAGCATATGCATAGAACATTTCATCTAAATATCCTATGAACGTTCCTAGAATGATTCATTATATTCTTTGAATGTTATTCAGGATTGAATGATCATAGTATGTATTGTTCGAATATTCTATGTTTGTTCTCCAGGTACCTATGTCCATCATAGAATATATTATTTAGATACTCTGAGCAAGAGACGAATTTTTGTTTGCTATAAACAAATGTCCTAACTTGCTTCATTTTTAAGATACAGTGAGTCAAATTTTTTAGAAAAAAAATCGATTTTTAATTGATTATTCAAAATCCTTTCCGCTGATTTTGATTAAACTTGTCATGCTCATCTGCGGTAGCAATGGGGTTCAGTGAATTCAAATTTACCGCTAATTTCTCCAATTACTTTCTTCTCACCCGCTGAAACTAAATATTTTTTGTATTTTTTTTTGTATATATCGCTACTCCAAAGTTGGGAACCAACTCCCCAGAAGTCGAAACTTGTGCGGGGTTAGGAAGAGCGGAACCTACAGCTTATAGTGGAATCCGAACCACTTCTGGGGCATCGAGGTGCTGCCAGGATTACACCTATGAATCACACATTTTAAAGAAAAATGCTCAGCCGATAGCCGGATTCGAACCGACAGTATTTCGCATCGTGAACGGTTATCTAGCGAATTTCAGTGCATAGACAAACTCGGCTGAGAATATTCCTAGATCATTCCAAAGATGTTCTATATATTCTTAGATTGTTCTGAGAATGTTATTGGATCGTGAATTTTCGTCTCATTTGCATGATCTTAGAATATTCTCAGAACGTTCAGTGCACCTTGAGAGAACATTCTGAGAATATTCGAAATGTTCCACGGGAATATTCTCAAGAAGAAGAACGTTCTCAAAATCACTGAGCTGTCTGGGATGGTCCAAGTATTCGGATATAGTAACATTGAAATTCGTTCAAAGGTAACTGTACGAATTCCTTATCTCTCAGACCCTGTATAATCATTAATCCATCTGCCTCAAATTCACAATTCTATAAATATTTGTAGAAATCACGCATTTATCAGCCATTCTATGGGTGTAGTGAGGTGGAAATAGAAGCATTAAAAAAATACGGTGCCAAACTTTGTGTGTCCTTGAAAACATGAATGTGCGAATACTTTTGTTTATTAATAATCAAATCAGAATAGAATATCGGCTGCGTAGATCTGGACATTGCTCCCAAAAGTGGTTCTCAATGGTAGGTAGCATAATATGGTGACTTAAATTTAAACTACGCAGTTTTCTGCATTTCAAACTTGGTTTTTACATGGTTTTAGCAGACCTAACAATAATTTCTACATTCGAATGGCTAAAACATTTCTTCCAATCCGCAATTATCCTTCCTCCTATATAGAGGGTGTATCTAAATAACGCCGAAAAAATTCAAGGGTCCATTTCTTGTGATGTTCTAGCAAATTAAGTTCATGTGAGCATGTGTCCTAACTTGCTCCGTTTTTGAGATACAGGATGTTGAAGTTGGAAGTATTAATTGTTTTTATTCCTAACCTCCCTGTATAAGCTTTCATGGTGCCAAAATTCAGTATGGTTGGACACTGAGGCAGCCCCAAAATTTCAAAATGATTTTAATTGGAGTTATTGAGTGATCTCAATGGAAGTCTTGAAAACGCACCCACAATAAATTTGGCGTCAAATCGAATTTTCATCAAAAACTAAGCTAGATACAAAAATCACACAAAAGACAAAAAAGTTGTTATTTCAATAGTTCAATCTAATAAAAATATGAAACTCAGAAAAACTGCTAGCGTACAATGACATTCACCATAAATATTGATATATTTACCAACTGTGACGCCACTGGAAATATTATTTCGAATATAATTGCACCAGAAGAAGCTCCATATTACTATTAACGAAACCACAACGTTTTATTGAAATTGATAAAAAGCAAGACAATTGAGTAATGAATAAAAAAACGATTTTTCATGGAAATATCAATACCCTGTATCTCGAAAACGATGCAAGTTCATATGAACTTTATTTCCTAAAATATCACAAAGAATCGCCCCTTGATTTTTTAGGTTTTATATAGATACACCCTGTAGATTTGCGACGTTTTCTTTACAACTATAATGAATGTAACTGTGATAGATATTCTAAACAATTTTCACCGTGCTCACACCAAATATGGACTCTATCAACTGTTCTCAATTTGGCCCTCTGATCTACCGGCGTATCATGAAATCATTATCGAAGATTCAACCTCAATTCCCGATTAAAAAACTCATCTTCGCAGTAAATAGCCCACTTTTTGTCCTTCATAATAAATTCGGATTCCGGTTGAACCGCCGGAAGTGATATTGAATTTGTTTTTCTGCAATCGGCTCAAAAGTCTTCCATTTTTGTTCCAAAATTAGCTCTTGAAGTTGACGTTTCTCTTACTGACACAATAATGATTAGTATGTGTGTTGCTAGGCAACGTTTTTAGTGTCTAGGAGATAAAGTTGAAGTTTAACCCCTACGAACTAAAAACGTGTCAGATGATATAGCTGCTTTGTTTGACATTGAAATGCTCAAGTAACTCAAAATATTGGTATTTTCACTTATATTTTATCAATAAGGTATCAATTATTTTGATTGCAGAAAAAATAGCATGTTTAATTCGGATCAAAAGTAACTCTGTTTGACTCGCAAAATTTGAGTGCTCGCGGTCGCTCCGCCTCGCAAACGCAAATATCGCTTGTCAAACAAAGTGCCATATTTGATCCCAATAAAACAATAATGTACAGCCTTAAAATTATGTAATATTCGAATTCTACGTGAAATTCTTGAGCTACTGTATCTTAATTGTTTCAATCTTCAAATGTTTTGAGATGTTCAATTTTTCAAAAAAAATTCGATAGTGACCAACTGTAATGCATTGATAAAAAGTTTATTCTTGGTATTCACCTTTAAGAAAGAAAAATATCGTACACCTTAGAAAATAATAAATAATTCCAAATTGTTAAACAGGGTCTTTGGTATTCTCGCTTACTTTCTTGACAAAATAGATTCCAATAACTTTCTCATTTCAAATGGAACGACCATAAAAGATTCCTATCTCAGAGTGTATAGGGCTACCGAGGCTACAACCTACAACTTTCACAAATAGTCTCTTGGAACTGGGAACAAGAGAATGGTCTGACTTGTTGCCGAGGGTGGTTTTGATGCTCCTAGAATTCAGAAGGGCGAAAAATTAGAATTACATTAACATCAATCTGGCTTTTTGGTATATTGAAGTTGATAATGTTCCAAAAGTGTAGAAAAATTGCAACAGGCCAGTGGGTGGTTGGAAGATAAGTGCCAAAGTTGCCTACACAACTGAACTATTTACGTGAATTTGATTTATCATCTTTGAATCCATATCCTCAAAAACGAGAGCGCATCAATACCAGACTTGAATTTGGTGCATTAGACTGATTAACATTATTTATATAATCGATTAATCGAATGATAAGCACTGCGCAAGAATTCAAAAATTCCAAACATCCTCGAATGAGCATTTTAAAAAGCATGAAAAATGAATTTTATCAAATACCTATCTTGCAAACCTACAACTTTCACAAATAGTCCCTTTGGACTAGGAACAAGAGAATGGTCTGACTTGTTGCCAAGGGTGGTTTTGATGCTCCTAGAATTTAGAAGAGCGAAAAATCAAAATTACATCAACATCAATCTGGCTTTTTGGTATATTGAAGTTGATAATGTTCCAAAAGTGTAGAAAAATTGCAACAGGCCAGTGGGTCGTTGGAAGATAAGTGCCAAAGTTGACTACGAAACTGAACTATTTACGTGAATTTGATTTATCATCTTTGAATCTATATCCTCAAAAAGCAGAGCGCATCAATACCAGACTTGAATTCGGTGCATTAGACTGATTAACATTATTTATATAATCGATTAATCGAATGATAAGCACTGCGCAAGAATTCAATAATTCCAAACATCATCAAATGAGCATTTTAAAAAGCATAAAAAATGAATTTCATCAAATACCTATCTTGCAAGCCAAACGAAATATCCATCACGAAAGCTGCTTCACAAAAACTCGGATTTTTATTCCGTGCGAAAATCTACTTTACACCTCAACAGCTTCTCATGATCCACAATGCGAAACAGCCACTTTCAGAATATTGTTCTCACATATGGGGATCAGCACCCAAACATACGCTGATGCTCTTATATAGATTCCATCCAGAGAAGAGCTATTCGCCTGGTGGCTGGTGATGCCACACTCACTAATCATTTGACCTCATTAGAACACCGTCGCAAAGACGGCGACCTTAGACCTTTCACTTTTCTATAGATACTTCCACGGGAAATGTTCCTCAGAGATATCTGCTATCATTCCATCAGTAGCAATACCAGTCAGACAAACTCAACAGACCCAGTCAGCACATCCTTTCGTTGTCGACCTTGAAATCTGTCGAGTAACACTTTAACAGAACTCGTTCGTCTATAGAACGGTAAAGCTTTGGAATTTATTGCCAATGGAAGCATTCCAGCAAGAGTTTAAAGAACATTCCAACATCTACCTGCTCTCCCTATATCCGCACGATGTTCTTCGAACATTATAGGAATTTCCTTTCGTGCGATCCAAGAGATTTAAAAATCAATGGGGCGCCAAAAGTTAGGTATTGAACGGTGGAATTGAGAAAATTATTGGAATCTGGTCAGTGGCATTCTAAAAAAAATTATCATTGATCGAAATTTGAAAAAATTAAACAATTTGGAAACCGAATATTGATATTGAAGCAAATGAGTACAGGAGTACGAGAATATATTATCAAATTGTTAAACGAAGATTCATTATATAAAACATGGGCTTGCATTATCATTTGGTTTTATACCGGATGTGATAGCTCTGGCAATGGCAGAAAAATGTAAGTACCTATACTTAATTAATATACTCACCTGGTGGTCTTCAACTAATGTGGCAACACGACCAGGCTGAAATGAAAAACAAAATTGAAAGTCGATGTCATGAAACATTCTGATAATATAAGGATAAGGGCACACATTGAGCTAAAGTAACAAGACCTACTCATAACATATCACTTTGGGCTGAAGGACCTCTGTAGATGGATATGATGAGTTACTGATACTGAGATACTGATTTCCATACTTTTGGCGGAAGTCATTACTATACAATACATACAAACGTGAATCGAGCATGAAAGTGGCATGAAACCAAAATAAATAAGCTATAAGTATACGTGAAACGTGACCACTGAAAATAAGCGCTGATAAGTATAAACAATTTATTGGTGATAATAAATAATTCGATAATTTCTTTATTTATAGGGGTGGTAAATAACTTCGGTAAATTGATTTTGTTTTATTCTGGAGGTGAATTTCTCGATCTATACAAAAATAATACAGGCTTATCTGCATCTGCATTTAAGAGAAAATAATATTGTCACTTTTTTAACAAAATCACCATTAGCGGCATATTTCAAGATGGGTCAAGGTATATACCTATGTTATATAATACATTTTATACTTATATACTTCAATTTAATAGGACTTATTCCGGGAAAAGTAATTTTCCTGATGAGTGTTGCTTTTGATGAGGAAAAATAAGAAACAATTAAATGCATCAGCAGAGATGTTTGTAAGGGTGTGTCGAGGGGTGTGTGCTGTAAACACAAATATACAGTGTGGAAACCTATGATGGAATGAAATCCGTATCTCCATAACAGAAATATACGGAAATATATTTTTGAAAATCCCGAGGAAAATCCTTGTACAAGTCGATTTTTATTTATGAAAATCTATTTATTTGCCTAAACATTTTCAACTTTCTGTGAACCTCCTGCCCAATATATCAACACCTCGTTAGAGAGCTATTTTAAATCTCTATACAACGCTCTATTATTTTGATTGGGAGCATCAGTCTAACAATTTTAAATTAATTAAAATCTTACGAAATTTTAGTCCAAATTATTGGAAATGGTATCCCAGGCAACCAGATGACGTTCCAGTGACGTCTTTTTCACGTCACTTGAATGACCAAGGTGACGTCAGTAGTTGACGTCGCATTGACGTGATAATGACGTGAATAAGTCACAGCCCAATGACGTCATATTACTCACGTCGTATTGACGTCATTCACTCACCAAACTGTGACGTCCGACTGACGTCATAATGACGTCAAAATGACGATTGAATTTGGCGATGAAACGTAAAAAAAGATTCCTTTAACATGGTGTGATAAACACCACTAGCCTCTGATAGCATTATATCATATTGATTATTCATTGTTGAGTCTGCTTGGTGGATCCCTCCTGTGTCATGTTCATTCAATCGCCTATTCAGCAGCGCTATCCTTCAGTACGCATCTTCATCAGAATGCCATCAGTTACGCGTATATGTATAAAAATTTTTGTAGTTTGTGTCGGCGAGATGTAAGCAAACAAGAATAGTTTGATAGCAATGGAAAGGATGTTGGCGAATTTTGCTTCACTCTGTTGAATAATGTATATTGATGCATTCTTTTTCACCAAACAAAAATCGCAATAGCAAATTATTGAAAAATTTCCTAAATGACGCAGCTCACCAAATTGGTACGTCACACCGACGTGATTTTTAGACGTCATAGATACGTCACTGCAACGTCATAAGAGTAACGGTTCTAATATGTATAGGTACATGAACAATCATTTCTATACATACATAGCTTGTTGGTTTCCGAGATATACAGTGTGTCAAAGTTTTTTAGAGAAAGGTTTTTCTACTACTTTTCGGGTATATTAATAATCAGAATAAAACTTGCATTTGCTATCATGAGTAAAACTTCTGTTTCACATGATAATATATAAGTATCCATGGTTTGGAGGTCTGGGAAAAATTGACGTCGACAGGACGTCCCTGCAACGTCATGAAACTGACGTCTTCTTTTACCCATCTAAGTGACGTTCACTCGACGTCGAAACAATGACGTGATTATCACGTCATAGAAAGTACGTCATAGTGACGTCATAAATTGGTGTGTGACGTCTCTGACGAAAAATCACCAATTTGGGACGTCACAGTGACGTGATCATTCGTCATCTGGTTGCCTGGGATAGGTACTGTTTCATTTATTTTACAAGCCAGTACCTACAATGAAAAAGTACCTATCATTACCAATAATTTTGACGAACATTCCAATAAATTTTGAATCTTTCGACTGCTCTCCCATACAGCACGAAATATTTTATGAATATTCTGACAACGTTCATATATATACTTATTTTTTAACCTTTTCGCGACGGGGTTCGTTTGGCGCGCGTGAGCCGCCACAACGGGGTTCGAAAGCGCGTTCGCATTTATGCGGGTCCCGTTGTTTGAGCCCATTTTCAGAAAATATTTCGCAATGATACATAATGAGAAAAACTCAATTTGATTTATACTTTAGTATATTTTGAACGCTAACAAGCCTATCAGTAACCAGTGAACACAATACAGAATGCCTAGTGGACGGAGGCCGCAGATTAGGCCCTGCTTCTACCCGCTTCCCGTCGTTGTAACATGTGTTGTTATCCGATCATGGACAACGAGAATTCCCGACCAAAACCATCTAAAGACGATGCGAATGAAGGTGATGAGACGATAGCGCGCGGTTCCCGTCGTTAGAACACTTCTCCGGTCGATTGAAAATATGCGGCTCCCGTGTATCAGATGCTTCAGTGAAATACGCATATATACGTTTCCCGTCGCGAAAGGGTTAATATTCTGTTTTCAGAATGATCATAGAATATTTTCATCCTGCAACAAATATTCTATGAACATTCAATTACACATATTCTTTTCGAATGTTCTGAGAAACTAAGATTTGTATCAAAATTTGATACTGGATTTTTGTATCAATATTCACAATGTTTCCCCCTGGAGTTCTCCTGACCCAACCTATTATTCTCTAAAATTCAATCGCAAGAAAGTATTGGTTTGCATCTCCAGCAGGGCATCTTTATTGCAATTTTCGGTGAAATTATCTAATATCATTTGCAGGCAGAGGGTGAACACTTGGCCTGGGAAAAAATATCGATATATCGATATATCGAATATAAATATATAATTTTCAAAAATATCGATATATCGATTACTATCGACTTATTTAATTAGTTTGGTTGAAGATTTAATAACCTTTTGTTAAGGTGAAAAATAAGATTATTTTGAGTTAGGAGTGGGGAAAAATAGATATATCGATATATAAATTCACTCATATCGATACTTCGATAAATGGATAAATAATTTCAAAAATATCGATATATCGATATACAGGGTATGTCACGACGAGCTTACACTATCATTATATCGAGAATCAGTCAGGAGAAATCGATTAAAATATGAATTTAAAATATTTTCGACAATGCAGTGCTGCCGCTTCTACCAGAAAGTAGTAGCAACATTGATATTTTAAACGGAACACCTTGTATTTTATCGCATTTTTTATTCTCCCTGAAGAGCTGATTTTCTCGATGTATCACACTTCGGGTCTATCGAAAAAGATTACAGAGATATAGGGTGTTCAAAATCGAGTTTTTTTTGTGTCGAAACTATTCATCATCGGTCAAAACGGTTCACATGTCCCTATCTCAACTTTTGATTCACTATTTACTGATATTTAATCGGAACAGATACAGGGTGATTCAAGATTCAGAGGGAGGATAGGGAGAGGAGGTAGGTATTGAAATTTTTTTGAACTTTTGGAGGTTATAAGTTCTTGGGAATATGTACTTCCATTGGCAAATAATTTCAAAGCTTTGCTGTTCTATAGACGAACGAGTTTTTGTATTATTCGACATCTTTCAAGGTTAACATCGAAAGGATGTGCTGACTGGACCAGTCGAGTTCGTCTGACTGTTATTGCTATAGTGGTGGAATCATAGCAGAGATTTCTGAGGAACATTTCCCTTGAAAGTTTCTATAGAAAAGTGAAAGATCGCCGACTTTTCTACGGTGTTTTAATGAGGCCAAAGGATTAGTGAGTGTGGCATCACCCATCAGGCGAATGGCTCTTATCTGGATGGAATCTAAGAGCCTAGTAGTGGGTGTTACAAAACAGCAAAAGCGACATCGACAATTAATTGAGGAGAAAAACACTGTTTGAATGATGATTTTCTGAGTGAATAGTCAGAGTTGGACCATTGCATATATGGCCTCCTTGATCTCACTGGACTATACAGTCAAATCTGATAGCATCGAAACATATGTCTATACAGATGTCTTTCATAACTAGAGAAAAATTCACCAAGTTTCAAGTGAATCTTAAGATTTATCGAGATAATTCAATGAAAATACGATTTTTCAAAATAACACGAGACTGAAAACATTGAAAATGAAGTATTTTCGGACGTATGTTTATGAAGCATCGGTCCGGAAAATAGTGGAATTATTTATTTGTATTAATAACTTTTGAAAATAAAATTATACCTACCAAACGATTTAATTCTATATTTTTACATTTAGTAATGAATACATATCTACTATTTCTTTTCTACATAGTATAGAGGGTTTACCTATATACAGGGTGTTCCCCAATGACATAGTAATATTTAAGGGGGCGATTAATGGACCCACTTCAAGAAAAAACTTCATTATTCTGAACGTACCGAGGGTGTCAAAGGTGATAAAAAAATAATGCTTTTATTCAATTACTATACAACCTCTCAACAAAAATCGGAAAATATTCCCACGAATTGAAGAGACCTTGAGGCAAATGGCTCCTGATGGGGAGATTATTGTTTGAATTTCACTAGAAAGTAAGCAACGAAGGAGAATTTCCGAATTCTATACAAAACTGTGAAAGGCCATATAATTTTGTACAAAAAAGGACCACTTGTTGAAACTGAATAGGACGCACCTTTTCTGAGAAAAAACGGAACAATAAGACCAGACTCCTAGTTTTGATGTTTTTCGCAATATTTCAGTCACATTTACATCAGGCGTCCCAGAATAACGTTCGTAATGTTCGTAAGGCAATTCTGCAGATAAAAATAAGAAAACAGTTTCCATCAACATGTGCCCAAAAATGGAATATAGGTCCTTAAATTCATTGTTCTTCAATTATCTTTTTATCATTGATCCTAGAAACACGAAATATGGTACCTAGGGTGTTTTGATCTTAGAAATCGTTTCTTGGTATGAAAAACATGATTTAATATGCAGGGAGGTGCGAAGCTGTTAACCCAGACAGCACAGAATATTCTATGAATATTCTGACAACGTTCAAAAATACTTATTTTAGAATATTATAGAATTTTCTCAGAATAATCATAACATATTCATTTTATTTATCAATAAGGTTCGTGGCGAAGTGGTTAAGGTTTCAGGTTCGTAAAAATTCAATGACAAGATATTAGGTTCGCATCTCCAGAGCAAGCTTATTTTAATTACCTTCCTGCTCTTTTAATATACTATAGGCATATTCTCAGAATATTCAAAACGGTCCATTCCGAATGTTCATAAAACATCCCTATAAAATATGTGTATCATATTGTGAGGATATTTTGAGAATATTCAAATTTTCTCGAAGAATATCCTATGAACGATCTATGAATGACATTGTGCTATCTGGGAACCGCGATGCTATAAAAATGGCCCATTTTTTTTATTTCAAGAATTATCTCAATTCTATATACTACCAGAATATGATTATTCGAATACATGGAAAAGGTATTCTCGTTGAAATACCGTAAAGCAAACCGTTTTCGAGAAAAAGGGTCATTTTTCATTTTGATTTCCAAAAAAACTCACATCAATGATTTTGAGCGTGTGTTCTCAAGATGGGTAAGTTATATTAGAACTTGATGATTATAACTCTACATTTCCAGTTAGTTTTGTTTCATCATATTTAATCGTGATGTTGATTTGTTGAGAAAATATCAAATGTCCACAACTGAAATTGACTGAATTTCGCAAACTTATTTACTCAACAAATCATCATTCACATCTCTTTATTGTACTACAACGATTCCTCTCTAAAATTAAAAATCGAGTTAAAAATCCATAATACCTATTTAAAATTGATTAAATAAATTGAGGCACATGTGGCTTGTTTGGTGAGGGGATTGGGTGAATGATATCAATTGATGCATAATAAATAAAGAAAGAATGCGATGAACTCAATAAATGAGAAATTATTAACTCACTCTGTCGACTGTACCGCGGTGTGTGACATTTCCCTGCCAAAATCTCCTCTGGAACCCCTTGACACATCCCGTGACGGCCTTATGGAACTGGAACCCTGGTCTCCAACAAAGGGACCCGTATGCGAACACCCATAAACTTTTGATATCGTCGACCTGAACTTCTGCTTGGAGTTCCGCCGTCTCCATATCGGAAAATGAAAACAGCGGATCGAAAGGCTGATGCAATATCAACGTATTGTCAGTCACAGCTTACGCGCGAATGCCGAGTTGTGCGATTATTTATTTATCAATACGCTGCTCCGTGTCTGTTAGCCAAGAATATCTGTGAATCGACTGAGCCATTGACTGAACACTGAACCACCAACTTTCTGTGCCTACATTGGATCATTTTCGAGGAACCTCGATCGCAAAAGCAACAATAATTATTATTGAATGTTATTTGTCCTCTACGGTCTGAATATTTCAGACGCGTCTTCATTTACTGCCTGCCTATCAAAGAAATAGTATTATTTAACCAACTTGTTTATTAATCGCCTTCTAATATTGGTTACAAAAATTTTCCGTCGACTATATTTCTCATTTCTCCTGCAATGAAGATAACTTTGTTGGCGAATTCATCATTCATCTGGAAACTACTAAAGAATCACCCAGTAGCCTGGTCACTGACATTAGTGACATTTGCGACATTTGTGGAAATAATCAACTTAGAAAAAAAAGTCCTTATGTTAGAAAACAGGGATTAAAATCGTTTCAGAAACTTAGAAAGGCTAAACTGTTAACGGAAAATCATATCATGTTTGGTTGCCTATGCTAAAATCATGCATTAACCCATTAACGCCTATAGGCACCAAATGGGCCCACCTGCAGAGATTCATTCAAGAGCTGCAGCTACGCAAGTGCTTCGCTTTTAGAGCCGCTTTACAGTTCTCAATTTTTTATTGCATGCAATTGATTGCTGCAATTTGTATTGCAGGCAATAATAATTGCAGGCTATTTTACACTACGCGGAATGGCCGAATTGCAGTGACATTTCGTCATTGCTTTAATGCTGCCAACTTCTATAATAATTGACAGTGAAAACCCTTCTGTCACTTCTGTCATCCTCCTTTCAAGGACATGATTTGAAAATTCAAAATTCAAACTCATACTCATGCAAAGTAATTTGTTTGAAAATGGAATCATCTGATATGAAAAAGAGAGTTCACTTGTGCATTATAATAATCTGCTGTGCATTATTGTTTTCGCGGGAAAGAAGATGGTGGGTGAAGCCCTGGCTCACCAGAGTTTCAGGAAATTTGAATCTCACTACTGACTTTATAAAAAAAGATGATTTGGAAAGCTATAAGAATTTTTTGAGGATGGATGAAGATACATTCCTCAAGTTATTGAATAAAATTCAGCGCAGGATATGTAAAAGATCATACAGACGCGAATGTATTTCCGCTAAAAATAAATTGATCATTACATTGAGGTACCTTGCTACCGGTGAATCTTACAGGAGCCTCATGTACAATTACAGAGTGTCAGAAAGTACAATTTCTTTATTTGTTCCACAAGTGTGCCGCGTTATATATGAGGAACTCAAAGATGAATATCTCAGAGTAAGAGACAAAATATAGTATAATTATTCCTTGAACTATTACTCATTTTATACTTTTTTCAGGTACCAAATACAGCAGCTGAATGGTTGGAAAAATCTAGAGAGTTTGAAGAAAAGTGGAACATGCCAAATGTGATTGGGGCATTGGATGGCAAACATATTATGATTCGAGCTCCAACTGAACAAGGGTCAGCCTTTTATAATTATAAAAGTCAGCACAGTATTGTTTTACTAGCATTGGTTGATGCAGATTATAATTTTATGTATATCAATGTTGGAATGAATGGCCGTATTTCTGATGGAGGAATTTACTGGGAAAGTGACTTATCCAGAGCAATAGAACAGAATATTTTGAATTTACCTGAAGATAAACCATTACCGGGAAGAAATATTCCTGTTCCATATGTAATTGTGGCAGATGGTGCTTTTAGTTTATCAAGGCATATATTGAAACCATTTCCAATGAAAGGAATAACAAGAGAAAAGAGAATTTTTAATTATAGGCTTAGTAGAGCAAGAAGAATGGTAGAGAGTACATTTGGAATATTGGCAAATCGTTTCCGAGTACTTCTCAATACTAACATCCTATGTCCTGAGAAGGTCAAGATTGTTACACAAGCTTGTTGTACCTTACATAATTATTTGAGAAGAGAATCTCAATTGCGGTACATGAATCAAAGTTCTACAGATCATGCATTTCGTTTTGTTTATGGCCTGTCTGCTCCAAGTCAAACAAAAAGGCCAACTAGAGAAGCAATTAGAATTAGAGAAGAATTCACAGAATATGTTAATGGCTGTGGATCAGTTGCATGGCAGGATAAAAAAATTGACATCAGGTTTCCAGACATAAATGTTTAATGGCAGTTTTCCTACATTTTTTTCATTAACATTATCTACCTAATTCATTAAAACACAATTTCATATTTCAATAATAAATACTTCAAATTTTCCATATCATTGTTTCTTTTGTCGATTTAAGTTCTTTGCTTCATATAATGAGCACAACATTTTTTGTTTCAATGCGTCTAGAATTGATTCATCCTCAATTGTGTTCATTTCACTAGCAATCATCCTATGAAAAAAATATTCAGTTTTTTGCTAGTTCAGTGTATGATGAATATTAATAAACTACTCATTGAATTCACATTCAGCCTACTATATCAAAATCAGGCCAATTGTATTATTTATAAAATGAAAAGTTTTTGATACACTTGATTGATACATCCTAAACTGAGTGTACCAAAAATGACTAGACTCTAATACTCACTTTCCAAATAATTGATTCTGCTCTCCCAATATATTTGGAATAACATTCTCTTTCTCAGTCAAGCTTATCAAAGACTTTGAAGCCATGTCCAATAAATTTTCAATTTTATCAGCTTTTCTCCTTCTTTTTGGAGTATTAACTGGTTGGACAGGCTCTTGAGATATGATATCTTCATTCTGACTAGAACAGGGATTGGACTTCTTATTAAGTTCCAGGTGGATTTCATTTAAATCAGAAGCATACCCATCATATAGAATCTCATTGTCAGCATTATCATCATACTAAAAACAAGAGAAGACAAACTATTATTATTAATTTTATTTGAAACAATATTCAATCATTCAGGCAAATCAGAACCTGTTGGACTGATGTCTGGTGAATATCTGATGGTGTATGTACCTATGCCCTTAATACTAGTTTCATGAAAGGAATATAGATACCTACCTCTATATCAATTGAATTTTCAGTTTGCACACTGTTTTCACCATTTTCAGGTAAGTTGAGATTAGATTCTCCCTTGTTTACTACTTCCGTAGATGGATTCAAGTAGCTCAAGGCATCAAAACACCACAATGTTGGTTTGTATATGTCCTTTGTTCCTGCTCCTGAGGCTTTACTTTTTTTTATTTTGTTTAGCTCATTCAGGTACTGGGTCCTTATGCCATGTATTTTTTTTTTAATATCTTCTGGCGTGAGATTTGCCAAGGTCCTACGATTGAATTCTTCTTTAATTGCAACATAGGCTGCATGCTTGATGTCTTTATTATGATACTCTGGTAAAGTTGAAATATATAAACAGGGATAATTTTCATATAGTTCAATGAGAACCGTGGTCCCTTCTCTGGACCAGGTATATTGATATTTCCTAGAAATTGAATGATTATTCTTTATAGTAAACAAAAAAACTATAATTCAACTTACTTATCAAATACAGGATAGGATTGCATAATTAAAAGGTAATGATACTGACAATAATAGTGACAGGAGGTACGCACTTTTTCGAGGTTAAGTAGAAGGAACAGTAACATTTAATTTTCTATTGATATTGGACATACTGAAAATCCACCATTTTATCACTAGAATTGCACCAGCAATACGAATTGCCGCAATAAAAATAGGTCCGGACCCATTTTCTGCAATGCAATGAAAAATTGCAGCAACTGTCGAAATTGACCTAGTGCGCACGCGCGCAATGAAAATTGCTGCAATTTTATGGAAAATTGCGAACTGTAAAGCGGCTCTTAAGGTTAACGCTTGTTGCCTATCGGTAGTCATACCATTTCGTCAACACGTGCTGTGCGGTGTTCAGTGTTTTGGAGCTCATCGACGAATATAACTAATATTCATGATTGTGTCTCCCTGTGAATTGGGAAATATCATGGATTTCAAGTTAGAGTGAGTATTTCTGTATCTGTTTTCTTGAATAAATGGAACTAAATGTCAATTGTGGAATACAATATATACGAAAGAATGACGTGGCACAAGCATGAAGCAGACCCTAATTTGTCAATTCCTGAACTGAAAATTTTCATTTCAATTCTTCTTCTGAGTGGATATAACCAATTGCCTTCGAAGAGGAGCTATTGGGAGAACATTTTTCAGAGTTATTTGACGATGTATAAAACACCAGCCAAAAGGAGCGGGAAAACGCCAAAAGCAGCTGGAAGTGATTTTCGCATTTCTGATACAATAAGATATGACTGTTCTAATCACTGGATCGTTCCAGTCCCAGAAGGAAAGAGAAGAAGATGTGCTTTGACAACATGTGATTCAAAAGGTCGTACAATATGTGTGATAAATGCAATTTGGGGCTTTGCGTGGCATGTTAAGTCGTTTCACACAAAGGGAGATAATTAGATAGTTCTTTCCGTTTCTATTCTTGGGATACGCCTAGTGGTCCCATATGAGTACATCATTTTTTTCATAAAAAAACTCATCATTTCATATTATTTTGTTGAATTGTTGTGGAATCAATGCTTACTATCATATCTGTAATTTTTTTTTTGAATTGGATTACTTTTTCTATTCTCGGCGTTAATGGGTTAATAGACAAATTGATCATAGGGGCCATTACACATCAATTACATAAACATTGAACTTACTCGTTAATACGAGGTTGACGAAAAAGATAATAAAACAGATCACATATCAGCAACAGATTCATCTCCCCATTATTCTTATACCGAGTGTGCCAGAATTTGTTTACCATCAGAACCACACGCAATACCTATATCTCCGCTTTTCGAAAGGTCTAACATGATATAATTCACTAGAACTGAAATGAATTCTCGATGAATTATGCAGTAAAGGTTCTTTCGTATTACGATCCATTTTTGCCCACCTAACGATTGGTTGTGAATAAAATGGATATGTCGAACGTATAAATTAGAAGATTGACAAAATGGGAGATTTCACACTTCTTTAATACTTCTCATAATGCTGTCTTTCAGAAATCATATGATACTCTTGATGATAATAAATTTTGAAATTGGACTTGGGCATTCATCAGTTTCGCTTTTGCTTCAAAACAGATGAAAAAATGACCAACATGTCAAAATAAGTGACATTTATCAAAAGGAATCGCTGAAAATAGGCTTATTTGTTCGAATGTCGAAAAAGTTTACTGAAAAAAGCTGTATCTCCAATAATAAGGTAGAAAAAAAAGGATGTTCCAATATTTCCCTTTTTTCGATATAAAATTGTTTGGAAATTTTCTAAGGCAATACGCAACTGTTTTCCTATTTGACATTGACTGAATTCGTATCTCCTTCCGTTTCCGAGATCCCCATGCTGTGCAAACTCTTTATCGTGTCACACTGTATCTATATTATAGGGATTATGAATTATTCTATTTGTTTTTTATTCTCACATCATAATCTATCGAAGAGAGTTCATGAATTTTCTTGCTCATAATGAATAATTTTATAATGATTAACTCATTATATATCCAATTATTATTCAGGTGTTTGACGAGAAGCGCGTCAGAACAATACTCGAATTTACCGCCACCAGTATGAAGCCGACACCCATGTTTTCTTCCTGGACCGAAACGCTCGTGTTTTGTCGTTTACTCGACGAGCGTCTCGGACCAGGAAAAAGTCATGGGTGTCGGCTTCATTATGTTCTGACAGATGACATTAGAGGACGGGTGAAGTGGTCGATGTGATTCATTGATTCAATTATATTTTCGTTCAGGATCGAGATCTATTTCAGGAATCATTCATGAAACCACATGAAACTAATGATGTGCTAATAATACATTCCTAACGTGTTAGTTAGAATGAAGCCAACTACCCTGTACATTCCTACTCCGAGACGCCTATTTGCGATTTGACTTTGACATTTGACTGATTTTAGTTGTGTCTGTTCACTGTTGGTAGTGTTGGTTATTTATTAGAAATTGTTTTGTTTACATTTTTGCGGCGTTTTATTTTACAAGAATATTTATTTATTTTCAGTAACGAAGCCAGAAATATAAGTATGTTATATAGATTCTAGAAGAAAATGAAGTCAAATGCTCCGATCTTATATGTTGCCACCAAGCCACCACAATATTTGTAATAAAAATTTCTTGACCAGAATTGAATAATGAAATGAGAATGATTACCATACATTGGGCTTTTCACCGGATTCCCCAGTCTGTATAGTAAGCAGTTTCAATACTGGTTTGAATGAAAACTAATTTATATCACTTTCAGTCTTCTGATCAAATCATTTTTCCAAAAATGTCGGATATCCTGTCAGTCTCTCACATACAATCATTTTATGGATCAAAATTATGCAGCTGATGTGTGTATGGAACCGATGTTCTGGTTTGTTGATAACTTCACATATGCAATAGGACCTGTAAGTGACAATGAAGAGACAACAGACAATTTCTTGAAACCATAATATCCTCTTTCAGTTATTTGTGATTGCTGTTGTTGGACTTACAGCATCTGTGGTTGTCCTTGCCTATTGGATAGGGGTTCCATACTGGTGGAACAGAAATTGTTACATGTGTGTAATTCTAGTCATCATTGGACATTGGCTGTTGATAAACATTTGTTTTCACTATTACATGGCAGTTGTTACCCCTGCTGGCTATCCACCACTGGTATAGAATTTGTAAGTCTATGACTCAAAAGGTTTTGTCTGTATAGATTAATTGTTTCAGGGTGAATTGATTCCAGAAGCTGTTAGTATTTGTAAAAAATGTATTGCTCCTAAACCACCTAGAACTCATCATTGTTCAGTATGTAATAGGTGCATTTTGAAAATGGATCATCACTGTCGTATCCTTTACAAATATGACTTCTGGAACTTGATTAATTGAGCAACTTGAAGACTTCAGCTATTTTTTCAATATCTTGAGGATTTAAACCCATAATGATCATTTAGTTGCAACCATATGGAAAACTTTTTTATGATTCTCTTGGAAAAAAGGTTTTCTTCATAAAAAGTTCTGCATGTTCTAAAATCTAAAATACAATCATCAGATATAACATTTTCAGTCCTGTACATGGTGTGTCAAATATAAATGTAAGTACTTTACTTTTGAGTACAATTCATATTTTCTGACACACTGCATACATGACTGGAAAAAAGATAGCTGATTGTTGTATTTTAGATTTTAGGACATCATGTAGAACTTTTTAAGAATAAGTTTTTTCCTTGAATGATTAATAAAAGTAGATTTTCATATGGTTTGAACTTACTGAATCATACTGTATATGCCTAAAAAATATTAACCCATGGTTGTTAGTTTCAGGTCCATATAAGTTTTTTGGAAAATCCAAGTGAAAAAATTATTTGCAAATAATATTTTATGTTCCAACACTATTTTTATTTTGTCCTATTTTTCCTAACTACATATCTAGCATGGCTAAACAATTGTGTGGGGTACAGAAACCATAGATATTTTTTTCTTTATATGGTGTACATGGTTGCAGGAGTGTTTTTTGTGATTTTATGTGGATTTGATTTAGCATATACTATGATTATGCTCACTCCTTCAGACTCTGATGAGCCTGAATTAGAAGGACATTCTGTGAAGATTAATAAAACTGGTGCATTGATACCAGTGGTAAGTTCACACTTTTTATGGTCTTTATCAATATAAACATCTTTAAATTGTTTACTCATGTTTTTTTTTTGTGGAAAAACATACAAATAGTACTGCTATTTTCATTTAACTAATAAATCAGGAACACATGATTTGGGTCACTGTAGATAAGCCTAATTGGATATCACCCATTTTGTTGATGAAGATCAGTTTTCTATGTCAAAATAAAAAACTCTCATGCCTCCAGAAAATTGGTTCCTTTTGATGCATGTTGGGTCATGGTACAGACTCTTTACTGAATTTCATCATGACATGACAAAATGGTCCAAAATTCCAAAATTAATAATAAAAATCAATAAAGTTCATTTGTATTTTTTCAGACTGATTCACAATATTTAGATAGTTTTCTGCTGGAAGATGACACAGTTTTAGAATACATAAGTCCTTGGAGAAGGAGGGCTGTAGTATATATGGCACTAATAAATAGTGGTAAGTTGAACTGGGCAACAAAAGGGGGGGCGGAATATAAAACAGTTAAGGGACATAGCAAGTCAAACCAGTGTCCTGTTACAAGACCACAGCAGGCTCTCCTCCATTATTACATGAATTAGTTCAAATGACAATTATCTTATTGTGCAAAAAATACATTGTGATTACTATAGTAGGAGGTAACAGGCATAGTAACAAACATAGAATGTTACCAATAACACTAATGTAATGCAAATTCAAAACTATAGCTATAAAAATGAAATTCCTATAAAACATGAAGTTGATTTGATTTTTAACAACAAATCCACATTACTAATTTTTCATGATACTGATCCTGTTATTTTTAGGCGTTTTTGTTGCTTTGGGTCTATTATCCCTTTGGCACAGTCAGTTGATAGGAAGAGGTGAAACCAGTATTGAAGCAAACATCAACAAAGCAGAGACAGCTAGGTTACGAGAAATCGGCAGGAAATACAAAAATCCTTATAACTTTGGAAAAAGAAAAAACTGGTTGATTTTTCTTGGCTTAGTCCAAGGAAGGTATGTATCTAGCTTATTTTTTTTGTTTACTCGAAATTTCATATCTATACAGGGTGTCCCATTGAAAAACGGAAAAACTAAAATGGTTGATAGAGGCCATCAAGGTGGTTCCAAAAATATTATATTTGTAGGGTCTCAAAAGTCTTTATTCCAGATATTGTGTTTTATCAACTTTGCCCAATTCTTTGTGAGGACATAACTTTTATGAACCACCCATTTTTTTTCAATTTGGACATTAGTTCTCCTCTTTCTAGGTAATTACAAGATTTTAGTCTTCCTGTTGCAGCTGGCTAAATCCTTGGTAGATGGTGGTTTCTGGATATTTACGTTTTCGTCGGAAGTTTAGGGGGGTTGAAATGATTTGTGGTGTAATGATCGGGATATTGTTGGTAGATTTTGCAAATGTCTTGCCGAGTCGGTGGGAACGCTAAAGTATTGGTTCCACTTTCTTTGAATTATAAAATAAGGTATTGGAGGGGTTGTGTAGGGGGTTGTCCGGATGACGAATTTTTGTAAGAATTCTCAAGCAACTTCTTTCTGTTACTTCTAGATTTATTAATGTTGTTTTCCTACAGGTGCTGAATAGAATGAAGTCCAATTTGTTATCAAAGAGAACCCCTTGGTAACGGGCTTCTGGAACAGGGTTTATGGTTTCATTAAGGATGTTGATGGTTGGTGAATTGTCCACAATTTCGTGATTAAATATGATTAATTTGCATTTTCTTGGGTTGGGTGTTAGCCTCCATTGGCAGAACCATTCTGACAACTTGCTAACCATATCTTGTAATTGTTCCATCATTCTCTGCATATTGTTGCCATGTGCTATCAGGGTGGTATCGTCGGATTCTCATTCCGATGGTGTCTTGTAGGCAGTGCTTCAATTTTTTTTCAATTTTTTTTTTACAATTACTGGAAGCACTGTAATTTGACGATAGTTTTCTAGTATGGAATGATCATGATTGGGCTTAGGTATAGTAATAACTACACCTTCTTTCCATTCTGGGGAAAATGGTGATTTCAATGCAATAATTGTAAATTTCAATAATTTCATCGTGGATGTCATCTGAAAGTTTTCGCAATAGTGATGTTGTCGTGGCCCGATGCAGTATTTTTACCTGAGTTTAGTTTTGAGAAGTATTCATCAGTTGTAATATTCGGTGCATGAAAAATTTTAGACAAAATACAACATTTTTTCATTTGACGGTTTAGTTACGTGTATGCAGCTGGTACAAATCTTCAAAAAATGGACTGTTTCGAATTTCACTTATCGAAGTTTTTTCGTTTTCCAATGGGACACCCTGTATATTTTTCTTCGAAAAATGTTTTTCTAAGATATGTCAATTATAATGATAATTACCAGTTCAAAATCAACTACATGATATTGGATTTACAATTTGGGAATGGTTCAGTGATGAACCATGTTGAATATTTTCCGTTGAGTATATGTGATGTCCTCTTTATCTGTCGTGGAAATTGTATTTGCAGTCGAATATTTTTGCAGGTCTTTCTTTAAATATGTGTTGTTACCGTCAGCCCATGAGCCTATTGGTGATGGACTTACTTGGCACACCATTCATGATGAACAAATCGATGAATGGCCATAACTTTTCTAGTCATTTTCCACTATTTCAGCAAAAGTACCTAAGATTTACCATCATGGTTATATAAAAATGAGACTGCTATTAAGTGACTTTATCTGATACATTCCATTTATGAATTTGATTTACTGTTACTGCCTTATGTCTACAGTTACCGAAAATGCAACTGCAGGAATTATTATTACATTCACAATTATAATGATTTGTCAATAGATGATCACCTGGCATATTTGATAAATATGAAGTGCGCATAATCGATTTCTCAAATGAATTTTACAAATTTGAGTTTTGATTATCATAGTTTAATATAATTAGTTGAAATGTTGCTATTTTTTTGAAGACTGGTATCTTTGTTTTGCTTTATTTATAAATATTTGTCTGTCTATGCTATAGTGACATGACTTGATTATACAAATATTGTGTCTATAGAATGTTCCAGGATTATTTAACACTGTAAATATTGACATTTTCCAACTCTTCCATATTCAACGAGAAAATAAATTATTGTTGCATTTGATCATGTTTTTCACTATTTCCTTGAATTTCTACCTCACTCTTATTCATTATGAAATGAATCATTCAGTTGCTTCATATATTATATAATACCAGTAACAAAACTGTCAAAATCTTGAATAAATTTTTTATAGCACCTATCTACCATATAGTCTGTTCAATCCATGTAACATATTCAGACACTCTAGTATAGATAGCAGGGGTATTTCTTTGGCCACATGATTTTCCAAATGAAGTTACGCCAACTACATAGAAGCTACATTGATTGCCAGGCCTTGTTACAATGAGAGGTCCTCCAGAATCGCCCTAAAAGAAGTTTAACAATTAATACATGATATTGAAGCTCATTTCTTATCGTAGCGGGCTATGGAAAATACGAATATTAAAATAATGCATACCAGGATGTGATGCTCTCAGATCTATTTCAAAATAAAAGTTTGTAAGTTGGGCGACCAGTTATGAAGTAAGGTGGTGGGAGCAGTATGAGGCTCACACATAAAACGAGCAACTTCATGGCCTTGCATGAGAGAATGGCCATATTATGGATGATGGAGGTTATATTCATATATTGGGGCTCCGAATAATTTCAAAATCATAATATTAGAAAATGCATGCATATTTGGAGCTGTAGTTGTGGTGATTGGAGAAACTTCTCTGAGATAGAGAGAATTAATTTCATACAAGATTGAACATTTGAAACCTATCTTACTTGAAAGAATCATAAACTTGTGAACCTCATGATGAAAATGTCTTCTAAAAATGTCTTCTACTTTCAGAAAGTTTCATTTTTCGTCAATATAATTTAATGTTTTGTAGTAAGACGGAAAGAAAAGTAGCAACCGTAATCGTTAGAGTTGCAAATAAAACGACACATTAATGTGCTTCCGAAGGCGGAATCGGATAAATAAAACACAACTGATGATATTTGATTTGACAATTGGGGCAACCATATTCATCCTCTAGTTCTTTGAGTAGAACTGGTGCATCCATGCCCACCCAAGTGTCATTAGGTATCATAGTGGCTAACTTGTAGTCCCACTCTGTAGCGTGAACGTAGGGGTTGTAGGCGTTGGTTATAGGCACTGACATAACTACTATCTAGACTGCTATATGTGATATCCCAGCAACCCGAACATCTCGGGTGAATTGCTCGCCTGAAAACGCTTCTGCTCAAAGCACAAGATCTACCAAACTGTAGTTCATGACATGAGTAAGAGTAAGATATATGACAGGTCCTTAATGTTCATGATTCATGTTCTCCAGTTCAACCTCGTGAGTGGCATAGCTTCTTTCTCATGGAATCAGCGGTCTATATAATATTTTATATCAGTGGTTATATAGGTGGCAGCACCCGGAAGTGTGCGTTGATTTAGTTAGCCTACCTTCGATCTCAGGCCACTATATGGCAACATAACTAGATCATCATATCATCCGGCGATTTTAGAGTTTTAATATGAGCAATGGGGTTCATAATAGTTCACTTACTTGACATGTATCCCTTCCTCCTTTCAATTCCCCTGCACATATCATATTCGATGTGATGCCACTCGGCAAATCCTTATTGTTCTGATACGTTCTATAGCACTGTTGATTATTATAAATGTTCAGGGTGACCTTCATCAATTTATCACTATTTTCTCCCGCAAAATCTGTCCTTCCCCATCCAGTCGCAATCCCAGCTTGGAATTCTATATGGCTTTTGGTGTAAAGACATGCTGGTCTCACAAACGCCGTGAACCTCACCCTTTTGTGCGTCCTCAACAGAGCGATATCGTTGTATTTCAGAGGGTATCTGTATTCCGGATGAGTTGTCACTCTCGATACTAGGTAGGTCTGGTGTTCGGAACCATCGTTGTCGTTCGATAGGTCTAGACCTCCCAGGCGAATAATTGCTGGTGATCCTCTGAAAGTTTGTTGAAATTACATTTTTGGTACCATAATTACACTGTTTCAACCACCAACCAAACCGATTTCTTGACTAATTTAGCAAATTAGAACTTACTAACATAGTAAGCGGAACAAATGTCGAGGCGTAAAAGAATCGGTTTGGATCGTGGTGAAACAGTGACGTGTGTATGTGTAACTCCTAAAATATGTAGTTGGTCTTAGTTTTCAAAATAATGAAATGAAATGATTAAGTAACTAAGAGAGCGGTATCCATCCAATGAAGGATACTAGGCTTGAGCCACCACGTTTCTCCAAACGGCCTCTTGCACGTCCAGAAGCCCAGAATGCTGCAGGTGCCTTCTGGACCTTCCTCTCTATGTGCTCTTTCCAATTGAGCCTGGAATAAAAAATGACTCCTAAATATTTGGTGGCCTTTATATTGCAGGGGCTTACCCGGTAGTCGTATACCGATCGGGGTGACCCCCTTGCCTTGCGTTTTCTGGTGAAAAGTAAAATTTCCGCTTATCACGTTTAGACCTTAGTCCCGTGTTACGACACCAGCAGTCCACCCCATCAAGGGCCGGTGTGCCTTTCTCCGACTGGAAATGAACCCCCTTCGGTCAGAATGACTATATATGCCATCTGCATAGGTCTGGATATAGTAACCCATGTTCTGTATCTCTAATAGGAGGTCTCCATGACGAGGCACCATAGAAGGGGTGATAGCACCCCTCCCTGCGGACAGCCTCTTGATACAACGGCCTCCTCCGAGCTGTTTTGGAGAGTCGATCTCACTATCTTTCGAGATAGGAGTGCGTGTATCCACTTAATCAAAATTTGACTAAAGCCTCTCTCTGCTGCTACCCGACATATAGAGTCAAATGATGTATTGTCAAATTTTCTATGAACATCCCCAGGGCAGCGAGTCCTTACGGTCTAAACACTCCCTCAACTCTGTGAGTGAGTCGATGAAGAGCCGCGTCGGTCGACCACTTAGGTACGCAAATTGCACTGAGTACCGTTTAGAAAAGTAAATACAGGGTGATCTATTTGAAAAATACTAGTTCATGTAAAATTTGTAGGTTCACGATACTTTTTTTGCATTTTCCAGTACTAGATTCTGAATGCCATAAAAATGCTTCACTTTTGCCCTTTCGAACGTTTCTGTAGGATCAATATCAACTGAAATAGCTATTTGAATAAATTATAAACAATCACCCTGTACATGTGTCATGAAGATATCGTAGATAGAAGCAAAGTAATTTTTGACTTCATAATATTACGTTTTGAGCCAATTTTCTTTGAAAGTACCTATATTTGCTGACAAGATAAATTTATTAATTATGGAAACAGTGATGTCAAAATCATTCTAGACGTTCGTCTACTACGATTATATTTCCAAGTTGGAAAAATAGACGCCTACTACATTGATATTCCTCATAAGAAATTAAATGATAATTAGGCAGCTGATTACTAGAATACTATTATCTCCAAAACTGTAGAGTGTTAACAAATGGATATGAGTCTTCTGTTTTGTTAAAATTACATTCGAAATACTTCAGGAGCAGAAAAAATTAAGCGTGAATTTTTACATCGGAGTAGATACCAAATTATTATTTTTTATATCCAAAAATTCCTAGTTCCGAAATTGTTATGGGATAGTTCAAAAGACGATGGAGTTTGATACTCACGCATCTCTAGTAAATGTACAGTGGCCAGCGGTTAGGACGTATCTGTCACTTATCAAAGTACCACCACATCTCCAAGGCTCCTCAGTTGTATTGAAACCAATAGCAGCCTAAAAATAAGCACCTACAGTATTTGAACACTAACCGAATTTTTCAATTGAAAGGTCTGGGTTCTGTATACATACTATAAGATCTATAAATAAATGTAGATTTGACCTTGCAACTGGCGTTAATCTAGATAATCTATCGCATTCACAAATTTTGTTATTTTATATAGTTGAAAAACAATAATGGGATTTCTGAAATTACCATGAATGGAAATTCACCAGGGGAAGCTGGTTTTCCTCCAACAATTAGTGGGACACCATTGTACTCACATTTTGGCACGGTTATATTGATAGGTTTTGTGTTTGTCACTAATGGAATAACTTGGACGACAGAAGTTACTGGTCTAGTGTACTCTTCACATTCTGAAAAATACTTTATTTCAAGTCTACTGGAATTGAACATTAATGTCCATTTTAGCAGACCAGTTCAGTGATTAGCGATTCAAGAACAATATATTTGCACTTACTCTGGTCACTGATCCTCAAATTTTCTGAATTGTCCGCGTTAAAGGATTCTCCATCTATCGAAAGATTGTCAGGAAATACGAGATCTGCCTCATTTGAGAATAAATTATCATTTGGAACAACATTGGAACTGTTGTCTGAAAGTCATAAACAAATTCCTAGATATACATATAATCTCTTGTTTTTTGTGATTTTGGGATTAACAATTCATTTCTACATATTCTAGATTACTAAAAATAAAAAATTCTAACTTTTGAGTTTCCTGTTGATGAAAGATTATCACTCTTTAACGATAGGTATCTACCATTAAAATAAGCGCTTATAATTGTTTGAAATTGACACTAGACTAGACTCAAAATATGGAAATTGACAGGCTCAGAAAGCCATGCTTACTTTGTTTACTAAGATTTTCGCTATTTGCTTCAGACGGGAATATAAAATCTGTTCCATCCACGTTTGGTTGAGCTTGTAAACCGATCTCTGAAAACAGGTAGGTAATCGCTACTGATAGGTTTGAAACAAATGATTGGCCTGAAACCATATATTAAATTATTCTTCATGCTCACCTACACAACATACTATAGGCTCGGTTAGCTGATAAAATCCACACAAAGTTGTTTCTACGCCTATCTTGGCTAGTTCCACTGCTGCTGGACAATCCGTAATAAGTTTGCATATACCTTGACTATTTGAGTGCCTTTCGAAACATCTGTCATTAACTGAAAGGAAATCTACTTGATATCTTTCATAGACATATCTTCTGATCTGCAATAATTACAATTTTGGAAAAAATAGTTCGATTTTGATGACGGGGAAGCTAAATACCAGTATCGAGATGATTCCCTTAACCCCCAGACACCCATACTATGAAATTCCAAATGACCCCCTGCCCTACCGTGAGATACATGAAATTCAAATTCCAGCAATAACCAAATCAACCAGGTGGAAACAGAACTATTTTGTCTATATACTCGTTTGGCAAAAATAATTTTCTTATAAAGAAACCGTGTAATGGTTAAGCGTCGTTGCCCCACCTACTCGAGTATGGCATCCATGCGAACAATGGACTCGCTCGAAGGAGGAGCTAACTCGATACGAAGCGTTATGGTAACGTCGCCGTTCTCTTTGTTAAAATGTCCATGAACCGAATGCAAAAAGTATTTTTGCCAGGCGTGTATATCAGAGATACACGTCAATTATAATGTCAAGTGAGAACTTGAGGAAGGTCAGTTACAGCCGAATATTTTGTCAAATTTCATTGAAGGTTGAAAGTGTCATCGAAATTGAAGAGAAATAAATTATAATGTAGTACACGCCATTGATGTACATACAGTTGAATTTCTTGTAGAATCCATTAACAGATGGATTGGTGTACTTTTCCTTACTTTCAACTTTTGCGTGCCTCCTTCAGAAATATTTGGTTGTTGAAAATTGTTAAATAGTAATTTGTAACTATCCATCCATCATATGACTCTTGTGAGAGAATTTGAAGACATTAGATTCGTTTGCAATAAAAAAACTGTTCGACCAAGAGTTTTTGATTTAGCCGCTATTGTGTCACTTTTCTATAGAATTTACGAACTCTAACCCAAAAGTGTCGAAATTACGATTACATCAGTTGTTTGGATATTTGTCATATTTTTCTTCTATACCGATGAGAGAATGGTCGAATCAACGGTTCCCGAGACAGTGGTTTGGCAGAGGAGGAATCATAGAATGACTGGCAAGATCTCCAGATTTGGCCTTCCTTGACCATTTTCTGTGAGGTCACTTGAAAACAATGGTTACTCAAACTCCCCCAGAAAATATTGATGAACTCAAACGGAGATTTCTTACAAATTAATGGGAAAACGGTTTAAAAGGTTCGTGAAGAATTCTAAAATAGGCTATACTATTGCTCACAGACTAATTGGAGTATATTTTGATTATAATATAAATAATATAATAATAATAATAAATATACTATTTTGATTAATTGCTTCAATACCCCTGTGAAAAATTGTTTTTCTTGACCTTTCTAAATTTTGTTGATATCTTCAACACGATTCGTCAAGATGAATTATTGTTCATCTATAGTCAGTATGGTTTTTGTTTCCGCATGAATCTGATTTATCTCAAGGTAGGGAGTTTCATTTGAAATTATAAAGTTAGGAGGCTGGAGATAGAGGGAATAAACATATCATTCACTCGAAACCTATACTGGTTTTTTACAACCCCCTCAATATCTAAATCGACCTATTTTTTTCCGAAAAATGTTATCACCGATGATCAGGAAGATATGCAGGGTGATAAGTTTTGAAATCAAAGCCCTGTATGCATATTTTAGTAACTATTCCATAACACGCCAAATATTATGTATAGGGTACTATTTTTCAAATAATTTGAGCATTGTTATGAAATATGAATAAATCAGAATTGCTATAGTATTTATATTTTGTATCCATCAATACAATGAGTACATGCATTACTGCAGTGATAGCAATGTTGTGGAAGAGAATTGAGAAAACTTTGGACATTATAAAGAGATTTTTTACCGTCTTATTTCACCCATTTGATTAGTTGAAATGTAAAACCAAGATTTCAACGGCTAGTTATTTTATTAATTAAGGTTTTTCAATCTATTTTACTCTCAACAATTTTTGCGTTTCACGACCTGACATTATTTTATTGTGAAATATAATGTACGGATTCTTCACGAACATTATTTTGAGTACTTATTTCTTTGAAAAATTGTAGATTGATATCTTTTTTCTGTCGAGATAATTTTATTGACATAACTATCTCTCATTTTTTGGGAATATAGCATAATATATGATTACGAAGATATGACAGAAAGAACTCGTTCAACTATTTTTATGTACCACTCAAAATCTTGAGAGAAAATCACAATCTGGAGTTTTTTTGTAGTTAATAATGAAGGTTCAGGTATGAAGAGGAATTTAAAAAGATTTTCAAGGTTAAGATAGTTTTGTTTGTTTGAATCGGCCCTCATCAAAAAATAACTGTATATTGCACAAATAAAAATGTTATCATTCCCTACAGATTCAATACCTATAAAAAAAATTACGAACCTCAAGGAAATATATAGTTACTTATATTGAACGTGAACTTGAACGATGGATATTTATTATAATTACCTATCTATTATATGAATATTAAGACTACTTAAGTAAAAGTGTGCTTACCTTGCGCGATCGCAGTGAAACAAATGGTAAAAAAAATAAAAACTTGCGTCACTTTTTCCAACATGATGCCAAATAATGCAAGGAGCTCAAAACACTGTCACTAACATATCTGTAAGTATCTAAGGCTATCAGTATTCATCGAATTAACCAAATCAAGAACGTGCCGGATTTACCAGATTCACAGGCGTGTCCTTTCACGCAAATTTGTGAAATTCGACGAACTCTTTATTTTCAGACGAAAAAAATCAGTGTACAGGAAACTCTTCGTTCTTGCTTGACACATACAGTTATTGAGTGGGTAACACCTTCTTGTCCCATTCCACTTGACTTGGTACAACTTGCTCTTGCTACTTACTGCTCGCTGGTTTACCATGATGTGGTATCGTCATTAATTATACATTTATTTTGTTGTTTTCACATAAACATACAGAGTGACTCTCGGAAGGTGCATCAATTTGATAGAAAGTTTAATCACCTTGAGAAACGGTTTTTATTTAAATACTGTCTGTAGGTTAATCGAGGAGGTGGTACATTTAGTTTACTTGATTTTTTGGAATTTTCTCTCCTCGTTTCTATATAACAAAAATATGCGTATTATTTCAATATATTTGTAGTGGGACAAATCAGATGATTTACCCCCAAATGTCACTGCGTTTAACAAATTTTTCTATCAGGGAGCCTAAAAGAAAAATCCAGTAGCTTGTCAGTGACAATTTGTTTGAATAAATATTTGAAGGAAAGAAATATAGATATATTGAAAAAATATCGAATTTTTACTTATCTTTGGACGATTCGGGACCGAATCTGCTCCCGTTCTCAACATGAAAATGCAAAATAATTCTCTTTGGAAGTTGTGCTGCTTATAGTTTGACACTTTTCAGTGTCATACTGATGTTGGCATATGAATGAGTGATTCTAGTCTACAAATGAGTTGAATAAATGTAAAAAGTTCATGATAATTATAAAATATTTATGGTTTTGCGAAAAATCGACCGTTTCTCAATTCACGGCACAGTAGAAAAAATTCATCTCTGAAAAAACTATTAATGATTTCGAATACGAGAATGGCATGACGAACAAGTGAGATATCGAAGGTTACAATTTGAAATGATACAATCTGTATGATATAGTGCCGTAGGACAGAAAAAAATAATCTTGATTAGTTGTTTGGTATAATCTCTGAATATTCAGCAGTTTCTCGAAAAAGATTACAATAATTATATCATTAAGTGATGAGATTTGTGATACCTCTACAGGGTGTCCCAGTATGAAGAAATTGTAGAAGTGCTGAAACCATCCTCAACAACTGACATTCTTTTCAGAACATTCTTAGGGGTGGTAATAGAGGGTTCTCAATTTTTTTAAGCTAGATGATTGATAAATTATCTTCTTGTGAAAATTAGGTATTCTGCATAGTTCCGAAGGAAAAAACTGTTTTCCTAAATAATGCTAACTGATATTTCTGGTAAAAGTTTGATAAAACTGTAATACAAAATTTTAGTTGGCAGTGGAAACAAAGGAATTGACATTTGTATTGATGACGGTGGGCGTCATATTGAACATTGATTAAAAAAACGTTCTGCCTTTGTTTCCACTGTCAAACATTTCTTTTACTATCATGATATTTTGATATTAAACTTTTACTAGGAATATCTGTTAGCATTATTTAAGGAAACATGTTTCTCTTTCGGAACCATGCCAAATACGATATTTTCACAAGAGTAATAAAATGAAGATAGCTTATCAGTCATCTCGCTTATAAAATTTGAAAACCGTTGCCACCCCTAAAAATGATCTGAAAAAAATAACAGGGGGTGAGTGTGGTTTTAACCCTTCTACAATTTTGGGTTTTTTTGATAACCGAAAGAAGGGCAATCCTCTAAAATGCACTTTTGTGAAATTTCATCCAATTTGTTTCTCTCATTTTTGAACAGCGTACAAAAATGTGTTTCTATGTAAACTTTGAACTCGTTTCACGAAAACAGTACATTTTTGTTTTATAAATTAATTGGGTCCAATCAACTTATTTTGACCTGTATTACATGTGGTAGCTGGGTGTTCCTGCAATTTTGGGACACCCGTATACCCAAAACCATAAAAATGATCTATCCCAAATTATTTTTTTCGTACGGTTTCCACACCTCGAAAGCAACGAATTCCATTTGGATCACACCCAAAATCAGATAAAAAATGATTTCTTATAAATGTTGAGTCTGCGGTTAGCGAGAATTCTATGATGTTGGATGTTGAAAGAATTCTTGTAGGTGTATAATCTATAATTTTCTTTATGTAGTTTATTCTTCATCTTTTTGGGGAATCCCAGTTTTCCGAAGAATTCTCGATCATTTGTAATGGTTTTTATGCCATTGGTAATCTTAGATGAGTCGATAAAATATTATACACGGTGGCTTTGGCTTTTTACTTGACTGATGCAATTCTGGAACTGGACCAATATTGAATCGTCGCCAATTATAATGGGTGTGTGATTAAGATTATACAGTGTCTTTCAAAAGTATCGGAACGGTCTCATATTTCAGGAACGGCTTGAGATTCACGAAATTTTCTACAGGGTGATTATTGATGATGTCCGATTCAATGATGATGGCATCGGCAATGTTGCCAAGTTTTTAGTTTTTCAGATATTAGGAGTAACTTTATATTTTCAAATGAAATACCCCATTTATTTTTATTGCAATTGATTAAGCGCCTCCTAATTACTTGAGTCCCTGAATATCAGATTCGTAATTAACGTGATTTTCGAAATATGACAATATAGCATTTTCGTTAAAAAGTTCTGGAACGGTATCATATTTCAGAAACGGCTCAGAGAAAATTTATGAAAACTTCGACAGAATGGTTGTTGATGATGCACGATTCAATGGTGATATCGGCAATGTTGCCAAATCTACAGTTTTTCAGATATTTAGGGTAACTCAATTTTTTCAAATGGAATACCCTATTTGTTTTCATTGCAATACATTCAGCGACGCCTCATTACTTATGTCTCCAAATATCAGATTTTAAATTGAAGTGGTTTTCGAAATATGACAACATGGCATTTTCGTTCAAAAGTCTGGGAAACTTCTAATATTTTCAATACGGTTCAAGGAAAATTCATGAAATTTTATACAAGATGGTTTCTGATGATGCCCGATTCAATGAAAACAAATAGGGTATTCCATTTGAAAAAATTGAGTTACCCTGAATATCTGAAAAACTGTTGATTTGGCAACATTGCCGATATCACCATTGAATCGGGCATCATCAACAACCATCCTGTCAAAGTTTTCATAAATTTTCTCTGAGCCGTTTCTGAGATATGGGACCGTTCCAGAACTTTTTAACGAAAATGCTATGTGACTCAAGTAATAAGGAGGCGCTTAATTAATTGCAATACAAATTAATGGGGTATTCCATTTGAAAAAGTAAAGTTACTCCTAATATCTGAAAAACTGTAAACTTGGCAACATTGCCGATGCCACCATTGAATCGGACATCATCAATAATCATCCTGTAGAAAATTTCGTGAATTTTTCTCAAGCCGTTCCTGAAATATGAGACCGTTCCGATACTTTTGAAAGACACTGTATGTACAGGGTGTTTCACAATTGAATGCTGATCCTTGAGGGCGATAATCCTTGGATGATTTCAAAGAGAAAAGTTTATATCAACATATGTCCTAAACCTCTTAGTTATTGAGCTACAGGGTGATGAAATTTCAAGAAAAAAATGAGTTTTTCATCATAATTTTTTATCACTCTTAGATATTGTTATGATATTTTGTATATACCTTTTCATTATTAAGGAGCATATTTTTACGTGAAAGATATTTAAAAATTCTCACCAGTGGCGTCCGTACGGGGTTTGAACTGTCAATTTTTGAAGAAAAAAAATAGTACGCCACTGATTTTTCTGAGAACCAGATTTTTTTTTTCAATTCTTATTCATTTTGGAGCAAATTTGGTTCCTAGACTTACTTTCATACAACGTACAGTTTTCGCGTAAAAAAATAAAAACCAAAGAATTTTGTTCTTTCAGTTCTTGGATATTGTTTTTGGTAATTCAGTAGACACCCACTATAAGTGAAAACACATTTTATTTTGGGACGAAAATCAAACTTTTACTTTCACCAGTGATGTCCTCGTAGACCTGATATTGAATGTATAGTTTAAAAAAACGCTGTACGCTTCTGATTTCAACACCCTGTAGCTCAAAAACTAAGAGGTTCAAGACATATGTTGATATGAACTTCTCTCCTCAAAATCATCCAAGGATCATCGCCCTTTAGGATCAGCATTCAATTATGAAACACCCTGTATATGGTCTTATATATACGTTCACTCAAGAATATATTAGATGCTCTTTTTTCATTGGCATTTTTCTCTATATAATATTTTGAATTATTTATATGAATATGATTTTCAACGTTACTGCATGAATGGTCGCGAAAATCACGAACCAATAGATGGCGATATTGAACGTCAAATCAACGTCAAATTTCAAACTGAGTATGAACAAAAAAAACATTGCCGTATGTACCCATTGCAAATTGACTATTTCGAAATCATTTTGCAAAATAATAATATAAGTTGACTTCGTGAAATCTTCATGGTACAAGGTTTCCAGTATGGAAAAAATATCTTTTTGTGCAGAGAAATTGCCATTTTCATGTGGACAATGGTGATATTCATCATTGATATCACATTACAATCAGGGGCGGCGAGTTTTGTTTCGTCCAATGGGAGCCAAAATTGAGAGGTCAGGGTAAGACAAAATTATGCGCCGCAGGCGAAAATTTTTCATGGTTCAAGGTCAAATGCCTTCAAATTTCAAGATAGATCAAAGCATTATTTATTTTGCATCAAGTGTGAAACACCTCTACCAAAATACAATCTTTTGTGACTAATCGGGTTTCGAGTTTATGGTTGATATATCAATATGAACAAGGATGAGAAATAGAAGAATTTTTTTTCACCATTGAAAAAAATGAATATAACTCAAAATTTGAAACGATATTAGAAAATTCAATCTCTACAAAAATAAAATAAGATTTAATAATTCTCATATCTATTCAGTATTCAAAAAATGAAATAGAGAAACTTTGGGATTCGCAAAAATTAGCAAGTAACTCCAGTTAATTTATTGCAAAGGTATTCCTACTGACTGTATTATCAATGGATTCATTAGCCACTTCAATTTTTTTTCAAACTGGCACTTGTGACCTGTGATGTCATAATGTCTAAAATTTAAATCGGAATATCTTTGCACAGTGCACAGTGTCAAACCCTGGATGCACATGAATCGAATATACGGTTCGCATGGTTGTTTACCTATACTTGTCCAGCAACAATGTGCAATATTTACAAGTGCTCATTTCGCCCGTATCTGATTTGTTTTTTATACGTCTGTTTCGGCCAATGGGTGCATTGCACCCATACCCACTGCCTACATGGGTGCATTGGCCCCGATGCTCCCATGCACTCGCCGCCCCTGATTACAATTCCAAAGTTTTCAAACATATGGAAGAAATCCAAATAATTGAGCCTGTGCAAAGAATAATAATAAATTGATAGGAAAACTAGCCTGGGTGTATATACTCGACAAAACATGTTCTTTCCGGAGTGATAGAATAATGAGATATTTCGGATAGCAAAAGCCATTAAATTATAATTTGGGGTGATGTTATTTTCCTGTATCGTTATGAATACCTACAATAACCTCATCATCATCAAGGTTTTAAGTTCTAGACATTCGCTAGTCGTATTTGCTTCTTTTTAACATAAATGGGCCACTCTGAATGTTTCTGATATTTGAAATGAAACTAATATTTTTTTTAATAAAACAACTATTTTACTATTTAGCAATTGGAATATACATACAAAATACCCATTTCTGGAAACCTTAAATCAGTCTCATCATTCATTCATCTGATTATTGATCTACAATAATTAAATCTGCTGGCATAATCGTTACTCAGCAACAACTACCAGATCTGTTCTTCAATCCATGATACATATTCCGAAACTCTGGTATAAATTGCTGGAATTTTGCTTACTCCACAAGCTTTTCCAAGCGAGGTTATCCCAATAACGTAAAATTGGCACAAATTTGATTCTCTTGCTACTATCAAGGGTCCACCAGAATCACCCTGCAAACACAATTGGTTGGTTGAGCTTCCACATCCAGAATAATTGAAAAATCACATCTTAGAATTCGAAACTGAGACTGAAATAAAAGTTGACATCAAACTGAAAGTTTTATCCTCCATCATCAACCAATAATATAGGTTCCCAGTTAACACAGATTGATCCCAGAGATATTAGAGGGCATCACATTCATGCCACACATCACATCCGTGACTCGAATTGAGAGTCCTACTGAAATCACAATGACTGCTATTCCGGACCCTTTTGGTCATTTTATGATTCACATTTAGATGCCGAATGGGACTCAAAGTTAGCTGAATGTGACTCTAGATTTCACGTTTAAATTAGACTCACATTGAGGTTACATTATAATCAAAATGTGAGGTTTGGTAAACCATCGACCATTTCTAAATGTGAGGTTCTTTTCGATTATTATACTGATATAATAGCGGCCCTGAGAAAATTATATTGTGCTTCTCAAAAATGCCACATACACATTTAGTTTTGATTCTCTAGTGAAATCACATGTAGATTGATGAAGGTATTCAATGAGAGGACTGATAGGTGTCGAATCTCTGGTCAAATAGATAACTCAAACGTTTCACAAGGCTACTCGATTTTATTGAAAATTAATCTCATTTCACATCAAAATATGTACGTACATGTAATATTGAGCAAAACTATAGCTACATCTAACAATGATTAAAATTTTAGAATCAGCGTTAGCCTGGACATTGTTGAAATGATTATTATACAGGGAATATCTTCACGAGTTAAGGCGATATCTATACCGGGATTACCAGGTGACACATACTCATGGTCTACCCCTCTTTCTCCTTTGTTTTTCTAGCTATATTACTGAAATTTAGAACATCGAATATGCTGACTATATACAGGGCACTATCTCACATTTTATGACTTTCTTTATCTTCCAGTTATTCTGGAATTGACATCAACTTTCGATTTTTGAATGGAATACCCCATATTTTATTCTTCAATTGGTTAGAGACTATAATAACAAATACAATACCGGGTTCGATTGGGTTATTTCAAACGATCACGAAGATATTTACGTTTGAAGTATCCATATTATGATCAATGGTTGTGACGGCGCAATATCGAAACTTCGAACGCAAATATCTTCGTGATCGTTTGAAATAACCCAATCAAACCCGGTATCGTTGAATTCGTTATAATAATCTCCAACCAATCATGAAATAAAGTACAGGGTGTTCCGTTTGAAAATCGAAAGTTGAAGTCATTTCCAGGAAAACGGAAAGGTGGAAAAAATCCTAAAATGTGAGAAAGTGCCCTCTAGTGAGCATATTCGATGTTTCAACTTCTAGAAATATAGCTAGAAGAAAAAAATTAGAAAAGGGGCGTATACCATGAGTCTGTGTCACCCGGTATATGGAGAACTAAAAGTGGCACAATTCTGGACATTCGTAATGACGGTGAAGGAAACATGAAGCATCCAACTAAGATATTTTTGTTATCGTCAAGCTTCCGTTTTTTCCAGAAGTGAGGGCATCTTTTTTTTTCAATATAAATTACACCCTGAATTTTTTTACATTTCTGTATTCCTCTATACTATTGAAGCTCCGGACAGTAATTTTCCTCAAAATATGGCCTCTTCAAGTCATGATTTTGATTCAAAATTATGTATCATACCCTAATTTAAATTTTTAGTGCTATGCATTGATTAAATCGTGAATATTGATTGATCTGGAACATTGAAAATCTCATTTTTTTTCAAATGAAAACCATATTTTTTCTCATCATAATTCAATTCTATAATAAAAATGAGCCCTAGTTCGAAGTGACTTCCCTATACCCAGAACCAAAAATTTTGGAGATATTGCATAAATAGTTTTTAATCCTGCATACTTTTACTTAAGTATATATATATATACCTAAAATGAAGCGTGCTTGACTTATTCGTGTTTTTCTGGAAAAAGTATGCAGGATTAAAAACTATTTTTGGAATATCTCCAAAATTTTTGGTTCTGGGTATAGGGAAGTCACTTCGAACTAGGGCTCATTTTTATTATAGAATTGAATTATGATGGAAAAAAATATGGTTTTCATTCGAAAAAAATTGAGATTTTCAATGTTCCAGATCAATCAATATTCACGATTTAATCAATATGCATATCACTTAAAATTTAAATTCCCATAAAAATTTTCTATGTTCAAAAGGCTGCATTGAATGACAAATTTTGTCGAACTTTTTCAAGAAAAACTCGAATAACTCAAGAACGCTCCATTTTGGGTATGAGGTATGATGCATTAATTTGAATCAAAATTATGAGAGGAATTCAAAAATGTTGAATAATACAGGGTGTTCCATTGGAAATAATAAAGATGAAGTCACTTTCGGAAAAGTCAGAAGCTTCACAATAACGAAAATATTTTAGAAGGATTTCCCATAATTCCTTCATCGTCCCTACAAATTTTAAGAATCGTGCTACTTTTAGTTCTCCATATATAGATCGCGTTAACTGTTGAAGATATACCCTGTATAATAGTGAAGAAATTAACTTGAATGAGATCAATGGATCAATCCAACTATGCGAACACATCATGTAGCCAAGAACATCCAATATCTGCTCCTCATCGCTCCTTCCGTTGTAGCATATGGAAACCAATCCCTGCTCAATATTTCAAATTATTCCAAGGTAATGGTCCAGATGTCTTTTGTGATTTGGCATCTGGAAATCAATATAAGAACAATCAATTGATTTCTCTTTGCCCATTTCCTGTTGATCATCTATACAACTATAATAGGGTAAGTATAGATAAGAAATACTATCTTATAGAGTGAGTAGAGAATAACCATCCCAGGTAACACGGATCTCTCCGCGATATCTCTAAGTAGTTATCTTCAGGATCAAAATGCGAAATCCTCCTGCGAGGTGTCAAAGATCACTATAGGCTCTCACCATGGGAAATACTCTCTGGAGTCGTCCGAAAGAAATCGCGGAGATCTCGCCTCAGATTTGATATATTCCCCATTATTGCGAATCCTTGAGGTTATCTAGAACAGGAAATGAATAGGCATTTCTTTCTGCGAGCACCCAAGGATATCCTGGACGTTACAAGATCGAGAATTTCCCATTGCGAGCTCCTAAAGTAATCACAAACATAACCTGAATAATTAATGAATATTCCTACAAAAATATTGAGTTGTTTTTTTCAATAGCCTTTATAATTCGAATACTGGGTGTCCCAAGTTATCGTTTACAGGCAATATCTCGCCTATATGTCAAGATATCAAAAGCATTAAAAACTGCATTAAATGCCATTAAATAACCTTCCTAATGGCTTATGAAGAATGTGATATATTTGGCAGCCCCCGGATGGTAGATACTGATCAGTTTTTATTTTCTAGTAGCATATTAGTCTCTGAAAATTGCGTGTCAATCTATTTGGAATACAACGATATAGCACATACTTGGTGTTTTGTTCTTGATAACAACAAAAACATGAACATTTTGTGACTTTTTTACGTTACTCAAATGACAAATTACTTTCACCCATGTGTTCAAGAAATTCACAAATAAGAAGTATGGATTGCATTTTTGTTTCAAAATATTAATGACAGATATTCCATTTCGAACTGCAGAACATCAATCATTGCAGACGGTACCTACCTAGTGTAATAAATAATCTAATTTCATTGTGGGACATTTTTACGAACACGGGAGGAGGCAATTTTCAATCGATGTAACGTAAATGAGGTCAAAAAATTGTATTGTTAATGTTGTTATTGATGAACAAAATAAAAAGTACCGATGTGCTATCGTTCATTCCCGAAATAGGATGATTGGCAATTTTCAATGACAATATACAGGGAGTCCATTAAATGAAAATTGAGGAGTTGCTACCAGGTGGCTGTCCAATCTAATACACTTCTTTTTGAGTCATAAAGAAAGTTCTCTGATGTCATTTGAAGCATTTTTACTATTTTTCGTTCATCTTGTCGAGTAAGCAAGTTTTTGCCGGTACCTTTACGATAACTTGGGACACCCAGTATTAACATGAAATGGGAGTCATTAATCTATGATAATAATAATTGTATATACTAGATACTAGATTTTCTTACTGTCTCAGAGAATGTGTTCAACAGGTCATATTATTATCTCTCCGCCATTATGGAAGATTATTTCAAATTTTGCAGTGAATTAATGATAATTAATTATCTGCTCTGACGAAAAAGACAAAAATGTTCCAATTCAGGTGGGATCGAGAATCAAATATCTACCTCAAATTCGTGGGTAGATATCGGACGACCTTTTTTTTTTTGAAGAATACCCGGCCAACTTCTCGGAGATTTTTTCAAGTGATGAAGTTTACTTGATCAATGTCTTGCTATAGAATAATATATTGAAGCTCATTACGTTGATCTAACTCTAAGTTTGGTAACTCAATCTTTTTCGCTGAAACAAATATCCAGTAAATTTAACTCCTCCCCAAACAATATAGCTGGCGCTAGCTAGACTTCGCCGACAGAAGACTGCTGATAACCAATGACTTCTCAAGAATTGAACACCTTACCATAATAGTGGCGATCATGTGGCGATTGATGCAAATATCGCTCTTGAAGGCCTCGTTATAAGGTGATGTGCACGGATTCTTGAACAATTCATAGTTGCGAGCACTTGAAGAGTTCGCTATTAGTAATTGATGCGAATTTCCCAAAGTTCTCTTCACAAGGCGATGCGTGCGAAAATCTCAAACAGCTCGTAGTCGCGAGCACTTAAAGACCTCGCCAGAAGCAATTGATGCGAATCTCCCAATGTCCTCGTCACAAAGCAATGTAAGAAAATTTCTCAAACAGCTCATGATTGCGAGCACTTTCAGTTATCGCCAGTGGCGATGGAAGCGTATATCTCAAAGTGCGCGCCTGAGGGCATTGTATGAGAATTTCTGCGTGCAATATCTTCAAGACCTCGCTGAGCTCAGCCTAGGTGGCGGACATTTGGCCTAGATATAGCACTCTCGGCGATCTCTCAAAGAAGTTACAAAAGGCATCACAATTTCCTAAAAGGATTTCTTCAAGATATCTTTAGGACCTCTTTGTGCTGGCTGGGATAATGAGAATATTGAAAAGTGTTTGAGTCACTTCATATCTACATACCTACTATTTCATACCGGGTGACAACGGAGATAGAGAATAGCTGCGGCGCATTTTTTCGTTCCATTCATGTTGCTAAAATTTTGTTCTTAATCAGACTTTGGGCCCACCTTAGGTCCCACCACTTATAGTTCAACCGTGAGTAGCACCAATTCTTATATATATGTAGGTACAATCAGAATGTGCACGTTCACTGACACCCTGATCTCAAAATGATATCTTCAAAGCTAACATTGTAAGTATCATCATCGTCTTGAAATTGCGACGTGTCGTCTACCCTTTCCTCATTGTCAACCAGTATTGTATCAAGTTATGAACGTTGTAGGTAATCGTACTTACCCTGTAACTTAGATGAGAAGCACATAGCATCTTTAGTCAATCATAATTTACTATTAGAAAAACATGCTTCAGTATGTGAGCAATAACGTCAAACCCGAACTGCATACTAACACCGAATGAACTGGAACATCGAAATGGACGATACGAAAGCATGCCACTGCTGAAGAATTTACGGACACGTGTACATTAGTCAGACCGACACCGACCGAGTGTGTACGAATCTTATCATAAGTCACATTGTGCGCTACATTCATGAGTATGAGAGTAGACCGATAATTCCAAGTATTGTTCGATATTAAATGAATTTCCTTGAGATGTGAGAGAGATTCACAAATTGACGCATATTTTTGTTTTATCATTCTGCACAATGTGAAGCAGTTTGTCAATTAAGATACATCGAATTACGACTCTCAACTACTGAAATTTTAGATTCCAAAATTATAGTCTCTGTTATGTCAAGGAGCTTCTTCGATATTATATCCATAATGGTCTCAGATCCTACAGAATGTGATGGAATTTGCGAACTATCTGTCACACGAGGAATTCCGTGTAGATATCAGCGATGTAATATTGTGATTCGCTTTTATGACATCAACTGCCATGAATGCGACATCTCATAGATATGTTTGTGTTAACTGGGTTAAAATATCATTTCAGTGAAAACCTAGAGGATTAATACTTTTGTCTTATCACAATGAAATTTTTTAATGATATAGTCCTGTTTTTTATTGTATTTACTCTATGAGTTATTCTCACCCAGAGTTATGGGACAGTATATACATATACATTATAGGTCATTCATATGTTGTTCAATGAAGTGTGAAATATTATATTTCTATAGTGTTCGAATTGATTTAATAGATTTTGTTCTCATGTAAATAATTCTTACTTCGCAAGTGTCTTTCCTATCGGTTGAATTCCGTGGTTCTCCTACACACAACATACTGGATATTATCCCATTCGGCAGTTTTTCTTCATTGCTATAAGACCTGTTGCATATCGCGTTATCAAATATCTCCAGAGATACCTTTAAAAGTTTATCACTGTACGGATCATTGAAACCTGTTTTTCCCCAACCGGTTGCCAAAGGTTTTCCAGTTTTCAGAAAACGACTGTTTGCCAGGCAAGCTGGTCTAATGAATCTCGTGAATACGACTCTGGTTTGTAATCGCAATAGTGCGATATCGTTGTATACCTGTGGCCAGTTGTAATCTGGATACACGATTATCGATGAAACACGGTAATCCATGTGCTGGGACCCATCGTTATCACTTGATAAGTCTAGTTCTCCCAGCCGTACCTTTGTCGGGACACTGGATATCAAACTAAAAGAATTGTCTTTCATATAAATTGTCTAAATTATTTCAAATAAACTTATTAAGATGAATAGAGTTGCCCCATCTGTCGGCAAAAAAGAAACATTACTTTTTCGGCCCACTTTGGCTAAAGATGACGGTGGTGTACTGTGCAATTAAGGAATCCTACCTTTAATCGCTGGTCACTAAATGTCGATAACATAAATGAGAGATGCCACAAATTACGAGGGATTAGAGACTATTCAAAAACTGCATATCTGTACAAAATACTCTGACGTCTGACTGGTGTTGGGCAGCTTACAATGCATGTTTTTGATCAGTTTTGACATTTGAATGGGGATTGATGAGCAGTTCATGATAATGTTACGTACGAATCTGACGAGAATGTACAGTGAGCAGCAGTGAGAACGTATCTTTCACTTATCAAAGTGCCTCCACATTTCCATGGTGATTCAGTTGTGTTGAAACCCACCAGCGCCTAGAAACAAAATAAGTAGGTACTTGCACATTAACGATAATATCGTCTGATTGGATTTGAAACTTTAAGAATAATAGTGCCTAGGCCAATATTCCTTCATTGTACCTACTGTACAACGATGGTTCAGCTGTCTCTATATATTCACCAGGAGACTGTCCTGATTTCAAACCAATTGAACTAACGTCGTGTAAGACAGAAAGTCGGTAACTAGTTGACAAACGTCAATGAACAGCAAACTATCTACCCACCCGTGTGAACATTATCTCCGTCAATTACAGATTCGTAAAAAATTCCGATTCAGTATGGTCTAAACGAGCACTCACTATATTATGTTGAATTCAAATTGTATGTTAATAAATATTGGAAAACGTTACCATAAATGGGAATTCTCCGAGCTCTGCTGGTTCTCCTCCAACTATCAGAGGAACCCGATTATAAGTGCAGTTATCAGTGATCACAGTAAGTGTTTCAGGATTTGCATCCAGAGTAATTAAGCTAAATTTTCTTGTAATGGGTGTACTGTATAGTTCGCATTCTGAAAGTTTATATAATTCGAATTCGTTGACGTGGTTGATTATTAGGACTCACTTTGTTCACTGATTCTCATAGTGGTAATTGATCTGCCATTACTATCTGAAAACATTAATTGATTCAATTCCGTTGATGGAAGTAGAAATAAAATAAACCTACCAGGGCAGCAGACTATGGGTATTACCAGTTCATGAAATCCACATAGTGTTGCTTTTATACCAAGTTTTGCTTGATTTATTACGAAGGGGCATTGCGACTCAATTTTGCACACTCCTTCCTGGCTGGTTCTCTTTGATATACATGACTCACCAACTGAAAAAAACAAGTTTTGTCTACAGAGCAGTCACAAAAAGTTTAAATAGTCATTTGAGAATCAGAGTTATGCTATGATGAAGAAAAGCCATATTCTCTCATATATAGATGAGTTAAATAAGTGTGAATGGTACGTGCTTGAGAAATTCTTTGAGTTTAGCGTTGTTGCTGGAATCAGGAACCCTTTGGCAAATTATAGAGCAAATTGAAACTGGTCAAAAACCGAGATTGTTTCACCATATTAGAAGAACATTTGCACATTTATGCAAAGATATTTGTATATGGCCTGTAGCCCCATGTAGAGGTGACTAAAGCAACACTGAAACTGAAACCATCCATCTATCAAGTGAAATTATCCGAAAGTAAAATACCTCTCCTTTCGGATTTCCGGTTGAGAGGTGCTAGAGGGTGTTCACCATCGGCTAATAAAAGCCTCAAGACCTTTGTAATATCCGAGGTCTAAGTAAGAACATTAACGATGTCCATCGACACCTTCAAATTGAAAAGAAAGACATATTGGCTCTTACTGAGACACAGGTCAATTCATCCACCAATACGACCTATCTGCTCTGTCCTGGGTACGAACTCCACACACGTTTCAGATTCAAGGGAGTTATCTCTGCCTCTATTCCAAAACGAATCTCTCATGTCATCGACAAAAAACTTTTGAACCAAATAAGTTTGATGTTATGTGGTCCAAACTCGATAGCCAGAAACAGAGCAAATATATTTGTTGTCTCTACTCATCACCAACTGATCCATCCTCTGAAGAGCTCTTCGAGTTCTTGTCCCTGAAGTTTGACCTCATTCAGTAGAACCATCTAGCAGCAGAAATCATCATCATGGGCGATTTCAATGTACACAACACTGCTTGACTCGTACAGAGTCCAACAGAACGGATGAAGCTGGGAAACAATCCGAAGCTTTCGCCATCACTCACGGCTTTTAGCAGCTTATCAAGGGGCCACACGAATTCCCGATGTCGAGAACCATTCTGCCAACACACTTGTTTATTCCTCACTAATAATTCAGCACCTTACACCATCGATGTACGAGCTCTATTTGGCAATTCTGATCACACACTCATCTCCACAACCTTCCATTTTTCATTCTGAGGATCCATCACAGTGTGCTGCGAAAATATCCGAGATCATCACGCTTGGAATGTACACATACATACCTGATTCTTCGAAAAGTTCAGCACCTTCGAAACCCTGGTTCAAAATGAAATGTTCCAGACCTGTTGCCTTGAAACAAACAGCCTTCCATCGCTGACGTAAGAACCGTAACAACGTGACTAGAGCAGAATATGTTGAAAGACAGGAATAACTGTAGCAAAATAATAGATACATCAAAAGAATCATAGAATGCCAAAATACTCGAAAATTATCCCAATGGCTCCCGTTCGTTCTGGTCCCTCGCTAAAGCAGTCGGAAGGAATTTCTTTGATAGTTCATTCCCAACACTCGAAAACGGCACATTGGCAACAACATTGAAAGAGAAAGCAAACATTTTTGCAGAGATGCTTGCAGCAAACTCCACCTTAGATTCTCAGGGAAAAGGGCCACCAGACATTGCACCCGTTGAAAGGCTTATGCTCGAACTTGTATTTCGTCGACGAACTATCAGACGCATTCTGCTTGTCTGAAAACAAATAAGGCAGACGGAATTCTACTTACCATCCTCAAACAGTGTGCACCAGAATTTACACCGATTTTCTGCAAGTTATTTATTACCATCTCGTACAAGTCGGGTAATTTTCTATCTTGCTAGCTAGAGTCCAACCAATCTGCAAAAAAGGAAACAGAAGCCGCCCAACAAGTAGGACAATTGCCCTGTTATCAGTCAACTAGAAAGTGATGGAGAAAGCCATCAACATTGAGCTCATCAAATATCTGGGAAGCTCAGGAATCATTAATGATAGACACTATGGCTTTCGTCACCAAAGATCAACTGGAGATTTACTTGCTTACGTCACCCATATATCTCTATGGAATCTATAGTTGTGGCCATGGATATATCGAAGGCATTCAAAGAAAAATAATACAGATCTGCCAACCAATTTACAGAAACCTGAACAAATCAACAATTATTTCAGTTCTGTTTTCATTGACAAAGAAGTTGATAATGACCTCCTCAATTTCTACAATACTGAAAAATTTCCTCGACTAAAACATCATGATTCTCCTTTTAAAATACACTTCATTTCTGTCTTGGAAGTCAGAGAAATTTTGTTAAGTATAAAATCTAATGCTGTTGGCTTCGATGGAATAACTATTAATATGTTGAAATATTGTAGTCCAATAATTGATATCTATCTAACTCATATATTGAATTTTTGCATAGAAAAAAACTATTTTCCCAATTTATGGAAAGTAGCTGTAATCAAACCTCTCTGTAAAATCAAGAACCCTCAAGAATTTTCTGATCTGAGGCCAATTAGCATTTTACCTGCAATATCGAAGATTCTAGAAAAAGCCGTTCATCGGCAACTAACATTATATGTTAATGAAAACAACATTGTTCCAGATTGTCAAGCTGGATTCCGGGCAGGCTACAATACGACATCAGCTTTAGTACAGGTTACTGATGATATCGTTAGAAATACAGATAGTAAAGACATAACAGCTTTAATTACCCTCGATTTCTCGAAGGCCTTCGATACGATCAACCACACATTACTCTGTTACAAACTAAAATACTTGGGTTTCTCTGACGACACCATATTCTTCATCAACTCTTACCTCTCGAATCGCAGCCAGAAAGTCTCTATTAACAATGTTATGTCAACTTCTCAAATTGTAACTTCCGGCGTACCTCAGGGGTCTATTCTGGGGCCGCTCCTCTTCATCTTATATACGAGCGATATCCTAACCTCTATTAAATACTGCAAAATTCAAGCATACGCAGATGATACCCAGATTTACTCAAACCTCAATATGGAAAACTTTCAATCTGTTCAAAACCACATCAACAGTGACCTCAGAATAATAAACGACCTAGCTGATAAACATAACTTAAAACTCAATAAAAGCAAATGTCATTTCATATTATTTGGTAACAAAAATTTAAGAATGCGCCTCTCACAAGATATATCTATTGAAATAGACGACACCCCTCTATCTATTGTGGAATCCACGAAAAACCTGGGTATTATCTTTGACTCCGATCTAAAATTCACTTTACATATTAATAGTCTGCTCAAAAAATCATTCAGCTCTTTGAAAATGATCTATCCACATAGGCACTACCTCAATCAACCCATACGGAAATTGCTGAGTGAATCACTTGTCCTGTCTAGGTTCAATTACGGTGATATTGTTTACGGTGATTTACTCACTAAATTTGATCAGAATCGTATTCAGAAAGTACAGAACTTTTGTTGTCGATTCATCTTCTCCCTCAAAAAATACGATCATGTTTCCAATAAAATGAGGGAACTGAAGTGGCTTACAATGGCTAATCGTTCTAAATACAATTTTTGTGTCTTTCTATATAAAATAATAAAGAACAGGATTCCTCTATCTCTCTATTGTAAATTAACTCCAAGGTCATCTTTACATTCATTAGAAGTGAGAAATAAACATCACTTTAATGTTCCTCGTCACTGTTCAGTCATGTTCCACAAATCCTTCACCTATCAGGCTGTAAAATTTTACAATTCACTCCTCATCAATCACCTTCATTTATCTGAATTTAATATCAAGAAATTGCTGAAAGCAAAATTTTGTGAATCCCCAATATAAATTAAGACTTGAAACTCTATAACCTAGTTATACTTTGACAAATTACTTTTGTTTATTCGACTTACGATGATTATGTTCTTTATTACCTCATGAATGTCTGTATTAGCTAAATTTTCTGTCGATTGTACAATTTAGGTTAAGTGTAAGAGTAGCAATAGCTAAACTTCGCCTACTTTGTACCAAAGAAAAAATAAAGACGATTTATTATTATTATTATTATTCGACCGTGTTTGGCATCAAGGACTTCTCTACAAACTACTATCGTACGGCTTACCACCTCAGCTATGCCCAGGACCGTCTTTCACCTATCAGAGGCCCTGGGCACAATAGAATAATGGGGCCCCTATGACCATAATAAAGTACTATTTTGTTAGAATAGACAAATAATGTAGAAATGCAAAGTTTTAGCATTATTTTTATTTCAGATATGATGAATAGATTATTCACACTAAGTAACCAGCGTCCACGATTAGTCCTTATACTCCTTATATAAGTATCTATGCTGATTGAAGAGGTACCCTTCTAGATTTGAGTTGAGCAAAATCGTTTATAACATCTTCGAAATCTATGTTTTCCAGCATATCACATTCTATCGACATAAGCGACAAACTATTCAATCTCTCTTGAAGCATTGTACTTCTTAATTCACTTTTCATTCGTTTTAATTTGGAGAAGGAGCGTTCCCCACTGCAGTTGGTTACCATCATGCTTAGAAAGATTCTCAGTGCGATTTCTACATTAGGAAAGGTGTCTTCAATTTTGCTCTCTTTCAAAAGATGATATATTTCTGTATACTATTAGTTTTTTCATTTTTACTCTGATCAATTTTCAAGTATTCTGTTAAATGCAGACATTCCATTTCTAACTCTTTCTCGTTTACGTCTTCAAAGTAGATTTCAGCAAGTTCTTTGTCTTTGTCTTCTTTTGTCCCAACTCTTCGGAATTCAGAGTTTTCAAGTGAAAAAACAAACCAAACTTCTATCATTATTTTTTCACTTTTTTTCAAGTGAATTATTATTGCGAAAGGCAATTGAAATGAAAAATTATATTGAAATTTATTAAACATGCTGCATTCGGTAAGCCTGATTTCCAGGCGAGAGTGGAATAGCTATCGGGACTAGGGGGCCCCAATCCTCGCGGGGCCCTGGGCACGTGCCCAGTGTGCCCAGTGGGGAAGAGGGGCCTGGCTATGCCATCTTTTATCGAGTTTCCTTTCCTTGCTACCAATTCCGGCGTTCCACAAGGATCAATTTTGGCACCAACATTGTACCTACTTCATATCAATGATCTGTTGGGAGCAACCACTTGTCCTATCCACAGCTTTGCAGACGATAGAGCGTTATCTTAATGATAATAATTTATTTCATTAAAGAAGGAAACTGAATCCATTTGAAGCCTCCATCAGTACTTCAAAGAGCATCAACTGAAGTCAATGAGGTTTAATATCTAGCCGCTACCCTAGATACGAAACTCACCTGGACCCACATTCACATAATGTAAACAAAAAATGCAAAATGGTCCTAAAATGGCAGAAGTAAGTACCTACAGGGGCGGCGAGTGCATGGGGGCATCGGGGCCAATGCACCCATGTAGACCATAGGTATGGGTGCAATGCACCCATTGGCCGAAACGAAGATGTACCTTTGTTTATGTTGATATTAACAACAGACCCGAAACCCGATTAGTCAAAAAACATTATATCTAGTGGGGGTGTTTCACACGTAATGCAGAATCAATATTGCATCAAGCTATCTTCAAATTTGAAGGCATTTGACCTTGAGCCATAAAATTTTTTTGCCTGCGGCGCATTTTTTGTTGGCTTGCCCTAACCCCTCCATTTTGGCACCCATTGGGCAAAACAAAACTCGCCGCCCCTGAGTACCTACATTTAGTAAGACAAGGATTTCAATAGGGATCGCAATCCCGAACAAAAATCTCAACCTGGGATTTGGGGTTTTTGTTTACCTAATCCTGGGAATCCCGGGTTTCGGGATCGATGTATAAATGGTTATAATTGATTCAAGACACATTAGTAAATGATAGAAGCTGCCATATATTTATTCTCTAGATTCAACAAACAAATACAAACAATACAAAATAACGGCAAATGCAGCAAAAGAGCAAAAGTTGAAAAAAATAAATAAAGATTCCGTAGTCCGTCCTCCTTGGAGATATATCAACAAAAATAAAATGTACTTAATGTTTATACTACGTGTTCTCATTTCGAATCGACTGACTAAACCAGTAGCGCAAAAAAAATTGGAGCGTACAAATCCCGGTATTGCTGGGATCAAAATTTTGCCGGGTTATCTATAGGGATTTCTGGATAGTAAACCCCTCCGAACAACGAATTTTGATGATCGAAGGTAAACCCTAACTCAAATCACTCATGGTTATCTGGCTGTACATTATTGTGGTGATCAATTATCGAGCGAAGACCTTTATTAGTGTATAAAGGCTAGTCTGGTCTTAGTATAACAGGAGTAATGATTAATTTTTCAACTGCAGTCATAAGTCAAAATCCTTCTGAATCTACAAATTCTTCATATCTTTGTCGGGATGGAGTTGCAATGGAGATTCGTATGGGCAGAACAGAATCACGAGGGTAATGAGGAACCTGTGCTAATGATTGTATTATTGCTTTCTCACCTTGCGCAAAAATAGTTGAACCCGATAATTGGATTATTACTAATTTGAGTAATAATCGTAGTGTCATATTCTTATTCGAAATTATACTATTTTCACCACGTACATAAACATTCTAGTCGTTGAATTGCTGAAGATGAATACTTAAAAACAAAGAACAATATTGTTTCATAATCATTGAAAGATCTATATTGAGTATTGGTATGCCATGATTACGAGCCGAGATGTATCTCTGATCTTTGACCAAGGATCATTGGCGTTCACCGCCGCTCTACTTTTCACCAGGTCAAAAAGTCCGACTTTTTTAGTTAATTCGGACTTTTTTGAATTGATGATTTTGAAAACAATCAAATTTCATTTACCCAAACAAAATACAAAAACGTAAGAAATAATCTAAGTATTTATTTTCATTAAAAATCTCAAAGCATAAAATAATAAAACATACATATGCAACTTATTACTTATTCAGAATATTCATTAGATCCACAATGGATATTACTTTTTTCATGGATTCTTTTACCCAACTCAAAACTCGGTGAAGAGTAATACGTATACACAGAATTTATGACAAAAAGACATTGCAATTTGCAATAATCCGGTCATTTCGAATTAATGGTGACTTCAGTTTTTATGCTGTTTCGTTATCGGTCAGATAAATCTTGTTCACTCATGAAGCAAGATTGTCAAGTCACCAATTATATAAAAAAGTTACCAAAAAGATGTTAGATTCCTGTCGTTGAATAAAACATATTAGGAGGAAGCCATGCGATATAGTTTATTTTTGACTCTTTAGAGCAACCAGCATGGCCAAATATTTCTTACACCCCACAACAAAATATCATGTAATTGTTCGAGACTTGGCAACATGTGCTGAATGCTGAGAACTGACAAGACACCGTCTACAATTCGTGCGCCGTGTGGTCACGTTTATCTTTCCAAATGTTCTCTCTAGTGTGAATGAATACCATTATTATTATTTACACAAAATAAATGTATAATAAGCAATGAGCCACAACACATGAGGAAATATTTTGAGACAATGGATTTTTTATTGCTTATTAGGAATATCACTAATACATAATTGAAAATTCAAAAATTATTAAATATTTGATATTTCTGAATTTCCCGATCGTATTTCAACATATATCAACTGTGCCATTGTATAACTGAGATGTTTATAAGTTGACACTGTTGACACCTAAGATGAGGTATAACCCTAATGAAATTGTGCTTTTTCCGCTGATGTAAGGTTGTTTATATTCAGTTCATTGGATGTAAGTTATAATCAATGATGGAAGTAAGATATGGTGCGCGTATTCGGCCATTATTACGTATTGAAAATTTCAGAAAAATCACTCACAGTCACTCACAGTCTGAAGGTCCATGGTTCGAATCGCTGTGAACTTGAACTTTTTTTTGCAACTTTTTTTTTCACCAATGTTTTATTACTTCATTCTGGTTTTCCTTTTTCATAAAATATTTGAAGTCAAATATGTTAGTGCGTTTAGGATAAACAGTCTCATTTTATTCAATTTTGTTGAAGAACTCAACTTTTGAAATATATTATTAATCAATGTGTTCCTACACTCCATTCGGTTTTCCTTCCTCAAAAATATTGCAATCAGGGATAGGTTAGTTCGTTAAGGATAAATAGTCTCTGAGTTTTGCCTAAGTACTTCGAAAGATGAGATATTACGGTGGGCGTGGTTTGTGCTAGCGTACAGTATATTTAGTAAAATCGCGTCCCCGCACCAATGATAGATGCGCAGTTTTGTCGTGACGTCACCAATTTCCTGATGGAATTTACGATGGAATCGATGCTGCGATAAAATCGATGCTACAATGGAATATACAAAACATTGATGGAAAAACGGATTTTTTTGATGTATGTCAGTCTATCTTTCGAAACAATAGAGACTGATACGACTTTATTGTTTAACACAAACTCAATCTTTTAAAATCTCATGAAAATCTCTCAAGAATCTCAAAATCCTCATATTTTTTGTTCTCTATCAAAACAAAACATAGAGCAACTAAAAATGTGTCAATTGTCATGTCAATCTCTTCCAAACCGCTGGATTCTCTCAAAAAGGAAATTGAAAGTGCGCATTTCATAACAACAGTTTTATGGAATTCCATCAACGTTTCAGCGGAATTTTGTAACAGTTTGATGGTTTCTTCGATTCATGCGCATGACAAAATGTTAGAATGAAAAACGCACCCGGTGTTCTTGCTCCCTGGCATCTCTTTTGCATCCTGTCTCTAGATGCTTCAATTCAGGTGGTATTGAATTCGTTCAAAGTGTAGTCGGTGAATAGCTCCTACAGACAGGAGGTAACAAATAATCATCGCGGTGTGGGAACTACTATAATTTTCAGCTACGTGCGTGGCGTAGTTTGGGAAGTTTCTTGCGTATTCGAGTGCCACGCTGGTGATACCTGCAACAGACGGTTTTTCAGTTCTGGATTCTCAAGTGATTTTCCGAAAAATATATTTTTTAGAAAAAGTTTCATTTAGGCCGAGTAAGGTTAGGTTGTTTGAAAAAGTAGTCTCCTTTTTCATGCAGAAGGGATATTTTTCTTCCTGCCTGAAAATAGTAATGTGGGGGCATTTACTGTTGAGGCCAATAGTTATTCGCTATTTCATTGATGCTTTTTTACAGGATCGCCGTGAGCGAAACTATCGGCTGGAACATTTCTGTAGACTCGTTTCTGCGCCAATTAAGGGTATTCGCGATAGAAAATAACACGTCACCCCATCTGACGGCATCAATTTGAACACTTCGGAGCGAAACGAAAACCAAATGTGAACCAATATAAACAAAGTGAACAGACCGGTCTGACAGCTTTCAGAAACAGCGATAGGTGGCGTACGCTTATTTTCTATCGCGAATGTTATTTACCTACCAATAATAATTTATAGTTTTGACGATGGTTTTGCTGTCGCGGTACGGCGCTGTAGCGTTCCCCCGTCCCGATGATTATTTCTTGCCTTTATTTGGGTGTCGCTCACCGATGTCGCTAGGCCACCACCATATATCTACTACTTATACATGAAGCATAGCTGTCCTCAAAGAGGGACCAACTTCTATCGACCAATAGGCGTTGACGCCGACGTAGGCAATATGGCTGTTTCCATCCTTCACTTTCCGTTCTTATAGATTCAAAAAGTACCTCTCATTTTGGTCCAATTTTTGTTGAGATATTGCATAGCGATGGGCCATATATATAAATATTACATATATGGCACATTGGCACCATTGGCACCACAGATTGACAAAAAGGTTTGTTTCAGACTTCAGACAACTGGCAGAAGTGGCAGACGCTAAAAGTTTTTGTGTTGTGTTGTGTTGTCAACTTGTCATCTCACGTCATCATCGTCGATTGGAGTGGAAATGGTGAAATTGGTGATATCTTGCACGAATTTAATTTAGTAGTTTTGAATTCGATACGTGGCCAGTGATTCGGGTACAGTTCTTCACATTGTTCGATTCAGCAGATCTTTCTACAAACAGCACTCAACAATGGGCCAATCTATCTTTTTAGTAGCATTATTTGCAGTTTTTTGCACTACTCTCTGCTCCTGCTGTTCAAATCCCCAAGTAACCTCAAAATCCTTCACAACTCTGGATGCAACTATAGTCTCCAATGTAGCTTATATATCAGAGTTTACAGTGAAATGTGGCTCTGGAGAAGTTGGAAATCTGTATGCTGAACTAGATGGAAACGTTTCACCTGTTTCTATTGTTGGACCAAACACATACCAGGTAATTTCATTGAACATATTGTGATCTTATATTCATGAGCTCATCTCATACCTTGGTGATAGCTGTGCATCAATTTTGTTCATGTGTCTTCCATGTGTCATTCCTTGCAAAATGTTGTTGATATGTAGTCAGTGAGTCACTGGATTTTCTTCATTTTAAAATATCATTTTCCACAGGTGAGCTGGACAGAAGAATCAAAATCTGCTCATGTGTCATTTCTTGCAAAATGTTGTTGATATGTAGTCAGTGAGCCACTGGATTTTCTTCATTTTAAAATATCAATTTCCACAGGTGAGCTGGACAGAAGAATCAAAATCTGCTCGTAAAGGAGACAGAGAAGTAAGGCTTCTCAATGAAGATGGCTTCACTGCCTTCCGCAGAGCCAGTAGAGCTAATGAAGACATTTCAGCTATACCTTCCCTATTCAGTGTTGTCATAAACCATCCAGGTGCCTTCAGTGGTCCATGGTTGCAGTCAGAATTCATTGCTACCATTTTATCCTTAGCTGTAGCTTATTTTGCTCTAGCATCTAGATCAAGAGTTGTTGCATAATTTGTTAATTGTTGATGATTAAATGTCAATTTCCATATTTATTGTCATTGATTATATTTCATAAGATCAGATTTTTAGATTTATAATAAAATCATGGAATAAGTGTTGAGGAGTTTGAATTAATTATTTTTACTGTTGAACATATTGATATATTTACGAGGGCCTGGAAGGGACACATAAAATAAAAAAAATAAAAACTTCAAAATTCTGAGTTATAACTCGGAATTTTGAAGTTTTTATTTTTTTAAATTTATGTGTCTCTTCCAGGCCTTCCTATATATTAGCATTTTTGATGTGCACATGGAAATAATTCATGGATATTTGAAAATGAAAGTAATTTATGTGTGTGTATGTAGTATGTAGACACCAATTAGTTTGTATGATTGATCATAAAAGCTTTTTTTATCAATACTATTTTTAAATAGTTTCTTTAAAAGACTCCTCCAGATGTAGTTGAACTTCTAAACAAATGTTGCCTATTTTGATGTAGTGTAATGAATTATTTCATTGGTAATTCAATATTCATTTGATCCTTTGTGGTAAACTTTGAATCATTTTCCATTTTGTTTGTAGTGTTAATCTAGGAGAAAATGAATGTACCCTAGAAAGCATAACTACAGCTCTCCTTTGTAAAACATCTTGTGGTCTCACACAATGTGTTATTTCATTTGGCAAGGTGATGATTCTGATGCCTCATCTGGTGGGAACATTTGAACCAGTTTATCAGGGCATTCAAGGTTATTTTTGTTATTGTTTGTTATTCTGTTCATTTATTTGTTATTTCATGTAATTCATTCTGCAAATTACTTTGATTTTCTTTTCATGATTTTCTTGAGTACAGGACAAGAACTTCATATTAATTAACAACACTATTCAACATCATTTCATAAATCATGAATCAACATATCACTCAAAAACCAAGAAATCAACTGTGTTCTGTTGATGGTTGCACTAGTAAACTCAAGAAGTCTTTTCTGAAAATGAAAAATCAGTTCAGTTGGATGGAAAAATGGATAATCCGAATATGAATTTGGAAACTGGATGTATAAATATGTACACACTACAAAAAGTTCAAAAACTTCCTATATCCTTCACCTTTTTCCACTTTCATTGCTCCAATTGATGAAAACAAGGTAAAGTTGTGATTCATAGATATATATTATTACTGATTATTAACTACCTATTTGTCGTAGTGCCCATCTGAAAGAACATGATTGAAATGATCAACAGTTTATATTTTGCATGGTAAGTTTCTGATGAAGTCTCCAGAAACTAGGACTAGGAAAAATAAGTATGTCCCTTTCTCTTTCAAATACCTATTGTGATAATGGACTTTTGAATTGCAATACACAAGGGTGGGCAAGAAAGATTACATTGAAAAAATGTGCAGGTCAGTATTTTATGGTTCTATATGAAATGCTTGCCTTCTCTGAATCATATTAAGATAATATTCATGATTTCCTGCATAGGATTTTATAGATTCCCATCATTGTAGTATTATTTATTCTATAGTAATGATAGCCAATTGAGATTGCATGTACTTCCAAAACTATTAAGTTAAAATACAGCCATACATGAGCAGAATAGAAGAGTTTTACCAAATTTCTGTACAACCAACAGATCAAATATCTATCTATTTATAAATGTTTATTTAGGACCAAACTAACATCTTTTTCAGCAAGAAAGAAGAGTTGTCATTCAGATTCCACTTTTTTTGTTTTAGAATATGTTTATTGGAATATTCCAAGAACATTCAACATAGAATATTTTTTTGGATATATTCTATGAATATCTGAGGAATTCCCATTCGCATATTTAGAGAATATTCCACAGATATTCCGGAATATTCCGGATTATTTCTAGAATATTCCAATATTTCAAAAGGAATATGATAGGGAGATTCATGGATAATATCTGCTGCTGTCTGGGAAGCTCCCATTGGGATCTTGGAAATATGAATTAGGGGGTTTTTGGGGATGCTCAATCTGAATCTGATAGACAAAGTTATCTAAAATAAGCCCTAATACCCCTTTCCCAAATAAAGGTCTTTTATTACTCCCCGCCGCAACATCGCACGCCAATATAGTAAATACAAAAATGTTCACTACGCCAAATACTTCATTGTTCTGACATACAATAATCACCACAAATTTTAAGAAAATCGCATCATTCATATAATTGAGATATTATAGGGCGTATTCAAAAGCGGGACACACTGTACAGTGTGGAAACCTATGATGGAATAAGAAAATCCGTATTTCCATAATCATAGAACGTTCACATTTGGGACACCATCTGGAATTGAAATAAAAGCAACTTTTCTTAATGAATTTTTTTGAAATTCAAACAAATAATAAGTCTATTTTTGCGATTAATTTAAAAAATATATAGATTTTGACATGTAACGATAATTATTTGACCCCGACCGAGGGATACTCTTGAAAGCGAAACGTCCAAGTCAAATTCAAAAAAAAAATTGTATTAAAAGTTTCTTCCATATGATACCAACTTTATGAATGTCACTGTATATGACTTGACCGAATAAAAAAAATGACCGTTGCATAGATATAGAGATTTGAAATGCCTTTTCAACGAAGTGTAACTTATTGACACATTGTACCATTTTTAGTTATTTATTATACAAGGGAGAAAGTAGTGGATTATTTTAGCTAAAGGTTGAGACAAAAAACCGTGAGCTAAAATCTAATATTTGCACAATGGAAAATAAAAAAACTCCACCGCGCAACGCGCGGGAAATGTAACCTAGAGGTTTTGCATGAGTTTGACTCTTACACGGGGCGGGGAGTTTTTTCATTTTCCATTGTCACTCGAAATTAGGGCTTTCCATCGCTTTATCATTATTGATTAGTAGCTTTAAATATCCGTATCTATAATTTTTTTGCTCAACAAAAACTACGAGCCCTGTATGAGAGTGATGAAAATATACTTGTTCATCACTTATCAGTTTGACATCAACCTTGTCAACCTATAAAATATATGTATGTACAGTATGATGCAAATGTATGGATCGGAATAAATTCATTTCAAAACAACAACAAATGATAATGATAATCCATTTCAATTTCAATTTTCTTATGCAAAATTTTGACTATTGAATAGACGATCAGTAGACCTTTCAAACGAGGTGTCACGTGACCCCTGTTTTCATTTGAAAATATCGTTCATTACGTCATTACTCCAACACCGGTGACGTAACATCTCTCATATGGATATCATGAGATGAGGCTTCAAAAATGGAACCTCACGTGTTTCTGGAATTTTTTCAAATGTCGCCCATATCTGAAATAATGAATTTATTCCATACATTTGCATCATTCTGTATAGAAATAGTGTAGGCAGAGATGTAGGTCTATTTAGGTATTCCTTGAAATAAATTAGTACATGCATCGATCTAGCATTTTAAATGAAAATATATCTGCTCATTCAATTTCAGTACTATTTTGAATAAAACAATGTTATTGCTTCATGATTGCTTCGATTCTTCAATCAATCACCCGAATCAACGGTATAGTGATAGTGGATTTAATCGCAGACGGTCCGACATCTGTTGAAGGAGTATAGAATTAATTACATGGTGTGATTGGTGCGCTCGCTCACTCGAAACTCAGAGATCAACTGTAACCTCTGAATAACAGATACCTAACTTCGTTAGCGATATAGGCAGCTTTTTTTATTCCAGTAGCACATAGTTAGTTCCCTTCCTTGAAGTCAAATCCAATTCTTGATGGTTGAAGCAGGTAGAAGTTTCTCTCAGATCATATTGATCATTGCTTTAGGCCTCAGAGCAATAGGGGCATATTTTTTGTAAAAGGTCAATTCGTCAGTCCAGGCCAGGAATTAATTATAATTTTGGAGCGATAAACCTATAACAGTGAATTTTCTGAATTAGGTACTATACTTGGTATGACACCCGCATTCGAATTTTTCAAATATCTATTACGAAAAGTTTTGTTAACGCTGGATAACGTTAACTTTGGAGGAATATTTATGATTTTTTATGTGTAAGCGGTATACTAATATTGAGAATGAACGTTTCAGTAGACAATCAATAATCAATCATTTAATTAATTTGAGCCATAATGGTAATTTCTGAAGAATATCCCAGAAGCTATATAGGTATGGAGTTAGCTTATTTTAACTTCATATTCAATTCTGACTGAGGATGACAATACAGTTGCCGAAATACGTATTTATTATAGGCTTTTCTAAATATTATTATTTTGGTATTCCGGTCAAATTGTCGTATCTGATTAGTTTTAGCCATACTCGAAACAAGAAATATGGACATCTAATGGATATCCAAGATGACATCCTGTGGTCCATGTCATATCTCAGACAGCACCAGATACCTATTCCAGGAAAGTCCCTAGAAATGATCTGGAATATTCTATAGAATATCTGTGGAAAATTATTTTAATATCTATATGGGAATTTCTCTGATATTCATAGAATATGTACAAAAGAATATTCATATCCTATGGATCTCTGGAATACACTCTAGAAATATTTCTTGAATGTTCGCTGAATTGAATATACCAATAAACATATTCTAAAATGAAAACAGGTGACCGAAGATGGTCCCGAACCCGTGACTTCCAGACTGTCCAGAAATTGAATAATGTTGTACATAACAATATCTTGAAAGTGCGTTGTTCAGAATCGAATCAAAAACACTTTTCGTTTCAAAATTCCGCTATATATAATAAATGTTTGATGAGCACATCTCTAAAATAATAATTGGTGTTCATGCTACATTGTTCTAAAAAATTGTTCTAAAATTGTTCTATCCGTCATTCGGTTGCCCCCTTACGAGCAACCCTCAGAAGTCTTCGAGAGTCTTGTGCGAGCAAGGAATGACGGGGGCCTTACCTTTTAACGTGTGATCCCACACTTGTTAACAATTTGTATTAGGGTGTTCAATTTGAAAATGGAAAAGTTGCTACCATACTTCAGGTGGACCAGAAGCATCGGGAGGTGAGAACAAAATCATATTCATGCCAAAAACTCCAAAATCAGGTTGTTTCAAGTTTCTCATATGAAAAAAAAAAAACTACTGCGATTTTTCCATTTAGTCAAAAATACT